TAATCTGCATCGATGAGGCATTTAAGGTGACCCCAGATAAGCGTCATTTATGAGGGATTATTTAAATTTAATCCTTAGACATTAATATTAAGGATTGTCGAATCCATTGTTTACTTTTAAAATAAAGGATTTCGGAGGTTGATTAAATTTTTTCTTAAAGGAATTCAAATTTGGCTTTTTGTAATAAATATAAAATGAAATTATTTTAAGTGATTAGTTGAAAACAATAACTATTGTTATTAAATTGTACAGTTAGAAATAAAATGAATAAACTGGCTTTTATGAATTTATTCTTAAAAGGATGGTTCACAATTCGCCAATTTAACGAAGGGTTGAATTTGAGGTCAGTGGTAGGGTAATAGAAAAAGTATTCATTTAAATATCGAATCCACTTAAGTATTTGATGAGAACTTAATTGATTATATTATTTAATTATTTTTTGTTATATGAATAGATTCAAAAGAGTGTTTAAAGATAACTTGATGATGATGATTGTGACTCTATTGGTGATGTTTCAGAATATCTTTGGAAATGGCAACATTTTAATAGCTGCATTGATCGGACTTGTTTAGGTTTTAAGAATTATATTATGTTTCATCACTTAAATCAAGGAGTATATTTAATATTTTGATTTGATGTAACAATGGAGTTTGCTTTTGGCCATTTATTTTGGCTCAAACCATTGCTCTATGTAAGTGTTAGCATTATGCAATACCAAAGAGTTCTTTAATACAAAAATAAATTTATAAACGATATAACTTAAGAAGCTATTGATTGTCCATCACATAGTTTCTGAAGTTATACTATTTATATTATGCTCAATCAACAGCGTAAAAGAAATTCACCTGTCGATTGTAGCGATTTTACTTCATTGGCTAATTTTATTTTATAATTCCAAACATAAAAAGCACAGGAGGAACATTGATAGTTACACCTAGGGAGAGATACCTGACAAAATTGTGATTGATAGTGCAGGCCATACGAATAATCATTCGAGAGTCAAATTCCAAGACAAACCAAGTCACAATGACAGTCCCAGAGACAACAAATTGGAGATCCTAAGCATCTTCCCTCAAGGGATAGGGCTATTCAAAGTCTGTGATAAGAAACTAGAATTGGAATATCATAATGAAAATATGTTGAAGTTATCTACGGCAGAGACATCTGATGAGATTCTATAGAAATTATTCCACTTGGAACAACAATAAATAACCGATGTTTAATAAAAGCAGCAATAAGAATAGAGAAATTCAATGAGTTCATTTTCTACATTTTAGCAAACCCCAATTCCATGTAATTTCATTCATAAGGGTTCTCGTAGCCAAAGGAGATCCCAAACCAATTAATTATAAACATCTCAGAAAATAGAAATACTAAGACAAAATTCAGTGTTGAGTTCCCTAGAAAGCAGAGGAGTCTTCTTAAAAAAATGTGATACCTTGTGTGAAGAAACAGTAATATAGATATTAAATTATTAGATCTTGGAACAAGAGATCAGATTGCTGGCTTAACAACTAAGTAAAACAGAATTTCAGAGCTAGATGAAGAATTCAAATGAACTAATTCAGGAACATATTGCAATTTATGGAAACTAGAAACCTTAGGATGGCAATAGAAAAAGAGTAATCGAAGTGAAATTGTACAATGCATTAATCAGTGACACACCCTATATTTTGATGTTGATAAGGGATATAACTCATCGAGATTACATTTAAGCCTTACAAGAATATAGCAAACAGAAATCAAAAACATTGTCATTTGTCAGTCATGAATACAGAACTCCTTTGAATTGTATTATAGAGATGTTGGAATTAGGGATAGATGAAGAATAAAAACATTAATCACAGACAGTAATCATGGAAAAAGAGTGCAGGAGAGTGATGAAGGCTAATTATCCTATAAATATAAATAAACAAATAAAAATTGCTTTGGACAATGCTAAATACTTACTAAATTTAAGTGATGATTTATTGGATTTGGCTCAAATAAAAGTTGGTAAATTTAAGATCAATAAAGCCAAATTTAATTTTAATTTATTACTTGAAAGTTGTGCAGATTTATTTCAGGTTACAGCTGAAAAGAAATAAATAAAATTATTTATAAATTATGAAAGCAAGGCTCCAAGGTTTATATACTCTGATTCAAGTAGACTAAAACAGATTATGATCAATCTGTTGGGCAATGCATTCAAATTCACAGATGATGGATCAGTAACCATCAAGGTTTCATTCATCAATCAGAAATTAGATGTGTCAGTCATTGACACAGGCATAGGTATCACAGAGGAGGATCAAGCAAAAATATTCTAAGCTTTTGGTAAAGGGAATAGTGAAGAACATAAGAAGATGAATAAATCTGGGGTGGGCCTAGGATTATTAATCAGCAACCAGATACTTTAGAATTTGAACTAGGATTTGCAAAGCGGTCTAAAATTTAAATCTTAATATAAGAAAGGTAGTTTTTATGAATTATGTTAGGCTCCATATTCTACTTTCAAATAGGATATTAAGACTTAAATGAAATTTAATCATTGAACAGTTTGGAAGAACGTAATCAAGATAGCGAAGAGTCTATAATTATGTAACAATAACAAGAGGAAAGCATCCATAAAGTATACGTGCACAACCACATCTCAATATTCAAAAGATCAACCAAAGCTATTATGACTTTTCAAATATTGATTGTAGATGACACTTGTATGAATATCGAAATGATGAAGTTGAAACTAGATAGATTGTAAATTTAAATAATATTATAAGAGGATTTGATTCAGTAGACTCAGCATGCAATGGGTATTCTGCAATAGAGAAGTGTGAAAAAAAATGGTAAATAAATCATGAGTTTTATAAATTGATTTTTATGGATTTGGAAATGCCAAGCATCAATGGAATTTAAACGACTAAGAAATTGTTAGAATTATCCTAGAAATTCGGAATTAATATCACAATAATAGGATGTTCTGCGTATGAAAGCAATGAATAGAAAAATGAATGTTTACAAGCCGGTATGAAGGATTACTTAACCAAACCAATTTAAATAAATGATCTCTAAAGAATATTGTAGTAGTATTTATGATAATATAATTCACTTTGTTATTTATATATATATTTATATACAAAAATAAGGTCAATATTCATCTTCCTCTGATATTTGAGATAAATTATTCTTAGATACATTATCCAATTTATCAAATAACTAGCATTATTAATACATCACGTACATTCTTCCATTCCAACATCTCCTTTAACTTTGCCTGTTTCTGTTCCTCGCAAATAATATCAATTTATTTGAGATCATTTCTTAACTTTTCAAATCGACTGTTTAATTCATCTGTCAAAGCAGTCAAATCTATTCTCTATAGATTATTAAGTAAATACCTATCTTTCAGATCTTTGCTCACAAAGTTGTGATAGTATTTATTCCTACTCTCGCATAGTATTGATTTGATTTGTCATCTCTTCATTCTACTAAACCAACTTCTTTATTTAGGTTTCCATTCTATATATCTGCTTTTCCACTTTTTTCTTCTAAGCAACACAACCCATTTTATTAAAATAATAATTAATTTTTGACAGTATTTCATGGTTCGCAATCTTAACATCAACTACTCTTATTTGTAAACTCATTTATTAGAAGTATAACAATTCTGCAAATAAAGGGAGAATTACCTCTCAAATTGATGAGAACCCTACTTACAGTAGGATAAATTTAATTGATAAATACTAATTAATTCTAGATTTCTAAATATGTTTGAATCAACAACAATAATGAAGAAGCCTTAGCTGTGTAAAATACGATGGAATAATCCTTACTGAATGTCTATTTTATGTTAAATATAATAATTAATGAATAAACCAATTTATAAGGAGTATCAAACTCATGAAGGTGACAATGAAGATCCTAATAATACCTAGATGGTCTAAATTACTGATGATAGCAGTTTAAATCGAATTAATGATACTATAAAAGATTCCATGAATGACTACAATAAATATGGAGCTCAAAACATTTATTCCCCATCCAACAGCATTCATTGTAAATAACAATTGAAAGATGACTCATCCTAAAATCCCAAACGCTTATAATTGGTTATTTAAAATTAGAGTGAATCGGATAAACTAATCGAATAGAATACTACTGATCATGGGGATAAGGAAGAAATTTCTAAAACTTAAAAGGGCATGTTGGGCTCATAAACAATTTAATACCAAAAAAAGAGAATTCAATTTAGGAATCCGCATTATGAATTTAAGTAGAAATCCATTAAGGAATACAATTGGAATTCTGAAGTTATGTAAAAATGGAAATTTAGCATTAATATTGTTATTTTTGTACTGAGTCTAAAAAGAGGAATTAAACAGAGGAAATAAAAAGGAATTAAAACTACTAATAGTGAACATACAAATAACATTAAACAATCTAATTTTAGACTTCGAGATTGTGGACTCACTATTCTTAAATTAATGGTTGGCATTTCATTGGCATTACTTACTAGTCTACTGCTCTTTCCTTTTATTTTAATATCCGATTTATTCATGAGAATATACACTTACAATAACTTATATGTGAGATATGCTCTATCCCATGAGAATCTATTCTATAAATTCATTTTACTGATTCAATTATATATGTATGCCATTGCAACTGCTTTTGCAATTGTTATCAATCTCTATCAAACCATCATTACAACTATAGAACTCATTTATAACATAGTTGGTACCTTGTAGAACAATATATCAAACCTCTCCAGATTACTATTCTAAACTATCCAAAATCCATTCTCAAAATAAAAATGAGTATAATTTGTATTATAAAACCTCTATTATTAATATCAATTAATAGTTTTCATTATATATTGATTGATTTACTACTTGTTAATTGAAACATTTATAATTGCAATAAGAATATATTTTTTTAAGGGTTATTTTTTTTAGCAAGATATTGTGATTTTCATAGTGTTGCTCTAGGGTATTTAATTAATTCAATAAGAGAACTGCTGAAAGTCTCATTAATAGAAATAAGTTAATATTATTACTATTTAGAAAATAATTAACTATATGTCTCAAAGTATTCAATTTCATTAATTTATAACTATTATTCCTCTTGGTTATAAGAATCTATGGATTTATATAATTCTTATATTTACTTTGATGGCCACTCTCCTACTAAAATTCATATAAATGGCTTTATTAATTGTTCGGCTGCCCCTACCCCTATATGTTTGTTAACTCTTTGATTATAATTAGCATCAATTAGTTGAGATGAATATAAATCCCATCATCTGAAATTTTTATATTTCCTTTAAAGAATCGGACACCTTCTGTGACCAATTTCTGAGTAGAAAATTTCAGCTTTGACATCGTTTTTAGAGCAAGGATTTACTTAGGAAATGCCTACTTGTTCATTAGAGTATGTTTGAAATAAATAAATTAATTTAAAAATAAATTTAAATAATGGACCAAGATTTATTGAGACCCTAATACGAGAGTGAAAAGAGAAAGCACAAATTAAAGAGATTGATTTAAGCACCTAATTCATATTTCATGGATGTCAAATGCCCATAGTGTTCAACCAATAACACTGTATTTTCCCATGCTAGAGGCATTGTCACTTGCATGTAAAGAAAGTGAATAATATGTTAGCAAATGCTCAAGTCAATTAGGTAGATCAACAGGAGGAAAATTGCAACTTGTTCTTGGAGCAAAATACAAAACAAAAAAATGATAGTATATTTGACAGTATAATAAATAACACATGGCCATATTTCAATATTCGCACTGCTATTTAAGAATGTTGTTTATACATTTAATTATATTCAAGTAGTTGCATTCTAATAAATGTGAATTGGATGCAATTTCTTATTTCTTATTTATAAACATTATAATAATAATTATTATCAGTATATAAGATCGATGTAAGCAGATAAGAAAGAATGGCCAGAAGCAGTTGGTAAAACAGTAGAAGAAGCTAAGTAATTAATATTAGCTGACGATGCTGGTATTATGATACAAGTGTTGGCTGAGGGATCTCCCACAACCAGAGATTTTAGAATGAACAGAGTGAGAATATTCCACAATGATAAAAATATTGTTGTTTAGCTCCCAAGAAGAGGCTGATATCAATAATATAAGAAATCAATATCTATAATACTATATGATATATATATATTAATTGTCATGCTGTATAGAAATAGAGACAATTGAGGCAAGCTATTGCAACAAGGTTTTGGGTTTAGCACATGCTGATTTTCTGGACTTTACGATTAAAATCATAAGATGATCCCAAATTCTCGAAATATTTAGGCGGGATCTGTCTCACCACAGTCTTCTTATTGAAATTCAATTCATATTGGGAATTGCATTCACCTATTGAGATAGTAATCAAGAAGTTATACCTAATCTGTCGACAACATGGAAGGTACTATTGAAATTGCCAGTAACAAAACTGTTTGAATCAAGTGTTGATTGGATTGAAAACTTATCGAAAATAGATTCGTTTTCATAGAGGTCACATAATTTGGACTTAAGAGGTTCGAATACTTGAACAGTGGCAACAGGTTTATTGGTCATGGCAATATCCCACACTTTGACAGTCAAGAAATCTCTTGAGAATATGTATTTTCCATTTCGACTAAAACAAGCATCTGAGATAGAAGTAACTATTTCAGTAAAGAAATTCTTTTTGGCTGGATCTTCTGGTTCTGCCATTGTAATAGCCGTATTGTCACAGATTCCTGATTTTCTCATATCACATAATTTAATGATTCCCTTGCTGGTTGTATATAGAAATTAATTATCCAATGTGGGATGAAATGTTGAGGATGTTATCACTTCACTTAACTCATCCAAGTTCTCTGGTTTCAAATCGACAGCCACGAATGCTTTGGATGGTTATTCAACACTCCATAAATACACTTTTAAGTCATCTGATGTTAAAACAAATTCTTCGTTGCTTGAAGCAGTCAATGAATTTATGTGATAATTATGCAAATTTGGAAATACTTTTCTCACACTTTCTAATCTTATTTATTATTTACCTTGGAATCAATCCAGTCTCGACAACTTATAATTTCGGCATTGCCAATTCCTTCCCACTTGGTTTGATAACTTTAGTTACGTTTTTTTCACTGACCTTCCACAACTTCACCGTTTTATCATTTGTTGACAAAATATACATATTCTTGCCTTGTGCTCTCAACCATTAAAGTTGATTAATCTTCTCCTCTATATCAGTACTCTTAAGGAAATCGAATTCCCTTGTATGTGATTGTAATTCTGTCAAATATCTAAGCAATCGTTAAAATAAATACTAATATTCAGCCTTGTCTTTCTTCTTACTCAATGGCACTTCAAATATTATCAATCGACCAGCTCTGTCTCCTAATCCCAACAATCTTCCAGTCCTTTCAAATTGCACTGCAGAAATGATATCCTCGTCACTAACATTGTCAGAAGATGCCTTATCCCCGAACACCTACATGAATTTCCAATCTTATTTCTTCATTTTGTTTTAATTAAAATATATAAACTTTATTTTATCGCTGTTTCAATCCTTCTTAATCATTCAAACCATTATTTATTTAATTTGTCACCTCATTATATGACAATAAAATTATATTTTTCTGTCATATTCTTAAATCCTTATTTAATATATAGCAATATTATCATCCCTAGAATTCTTAATATTAATTTTTATAACTATTGTAGAGAATTTAATTGATTTTATACAAAATATATAAATCATTCTATATAAAAATTCCTATAAATCTAAGCCATAAGTTCATAAATATCCAGTAAACTTAGGTATACGCTTTTGGGTAATATGTAGATCCAATACAATACCAAAAACACTAACAAGTAAATTGCGATTAAGGGTAGAATTAATAATAAAAATATATATTTCCCTGTGTAAAAATAAAGCTCAATTACTTTGGGGATTATTAATGAGGCTATTTCCATTCCAACTTAAAAGCTTTTCCCATACACTAGGATTGGAAAGATTAAGATTTAAAATACTATCAATAACAGTAAGTAAAAAGAATTCGTATAACCAAAATCATAATAACAGGTGCATGCATAATGGTTAAATAAATGGTGTTGTCTCTTACACAATTTACAAAATTTACAATTGCATTCAGGACACTCTAAAATTGGAGTGAACTCATTTTAAAAGTAAAATTAGGCTTTACATTTTTAACATTTATAATAGTTTCTTTTACTAATGATATTCTCGCAAATGACACAATTTACCGAAGTTTTGAGTGAATGAACTCTGCATTTTTAATGTTAGAATATTTGTAATTAATCACCATTTTTCTCAATTGAGAATCTAGTTGAAAAATATCAATTACTTATGCTTGGAAAAACATTCATGCTGGTTCTTGTAATAAAACTCAGAAATATAAGAATCAATTTAAGTGACACTCGATACCAGCTTTCTTTTTCGAAACCTTTTAAAGCATTAAGCGCAAGAGTTGTCAAATAATATTGGTATACTCAATGATTCTTCAAATTATGTTTATTCCTTAATGTTAGCTTAATAATCATTCTTTATCTATTTAATAAAATTAGATCGGTTAGTCCAAATTCCTTAGTTTTCCATTGATAAAATTTTAAATTAAATATTCTTTCGTGAAAGTTAATAATTATTTTTTCAGCTGATATTGTTAATAATATAGCATATGAATTTATAATTACTAATGTGATCAAAAATAGAACTCATTATTTAAAAGGTTCTCAAATCCCTGAATAAGACTTAACTATAACAAATCTTGTAAATTAATATAAATTGAAAAGGATTACAGAAACTTTTAATTAGTTTTTTATTGTAAAATCTGTTTTGAAAATAATATTAAAAACAACAATGGACAAAATAAATTAATGTAAACATAGATTGCTAGTAGAATGAGTCTTAAGAATTTGTGATATTTTTGCTCAGTCCCCAAGCCTTGGAATGAATCACAAATCTACCTTTTAATCGTCGTTTGGTGGTTTTACTTCCATAGTAACAATCTTTCTTGTGTTTCTATTTTTTTCAACCAATTTCATTGATTATTTGGCTGGAAAAAATATCATCACCAAGCAAACTTAGGTTTATGACGACTAACTTTCAAATCTGCAATTGAATGATCAAGATTTTATAATGGCATTGGGGATCGAATAAAATAACTTTATAAGCCAACCCTATTTTACTCTCAATTTACAATAAAGGTAACCATATTTAGGGATTATACAGGCAGTATGAGAGACTTTCAAATGGAACAATTATTAAAAATATTACTTAACTTCCTTTGGTTCCATGTACTTTGGATCGGTTCCACTCAATTTTCCAACGTTATGGTAAAAACTTCTCAGAGGACTTTGAGAGACTCTAACTCCAGAACTTGCTGTGCCCTTAGTAATATTGATATGTACTATGATAGAAATTAATTAAATATGAATATTGGAGGAACATTTACATGTATAATGAAATTCATATATCCAAAGCTAATAATTTTAACTTTCTTAAAATTGAAGTTACGTCATGCAATTAAAGTGAATATACCGATAGAAGATGTGCATCAGAGGATGAATTAAAACAACAAGTAGAGAAGATCGGGAATTTCAAGGTTTAGGTGTATATTATAAATAAAGTTATATTTCAATTTGAAAATAGGTAATAAACCCTAATAAAATTGGATCCGACTATGTATCTATATATCTGGATGATCGAAGTTATTTATCTTTTGTTCCGAAGCAAATTAATAAATAGGCAAACATATTCTTTAGATAATATTAATTCTAAAATAGTCTAGATCTTTATCCATTTAAGTAAGCACTTCTGTATGAATTTAAGTCAAGATCAAAATTCGAATTTTATTTCTATAGATGATACATAGACCAAAGAAATTACTGATTTGGGAAGAGATTCAGATGCCGTTTATGCATCGTTTTATTTTCGTAAAAGTCCAATCACCACCTTGGTTGAGAGAAAGAATTAAAGCATTATCGATTTGCTATCTAAATTGGGAGGTTTGTTCTAGATTTCTTTTATTGTTATGGGATTCATAATATCAACGTATAATAAAATAACAAGTTAGCATTATTTTTAAATTAAGTAGTGCTTGTAGAATTATCGAATAAGGTTTACGAGTTTAGTACTGATTTTGATGAGTAGAACAAATAACATTAATAAAATCTAAAAATGATAGATCATATCTATGAAGATAAATAGTTTAGACAAGAGTACTATGTAAATAGGGAAGGCTAATAATAATAAATTCCAAATAGTGAAATAAAACACAAAAGCAAAATTCTACAACTTTTCAGGAAGCATTAGTCTGACAAACATGTAATGTTGATCGATCGACCACCAACTGAGAATAATGAATATGTTAATCAAGGTTCAAATGAGAATGAAGATAAGAGTAATTAAATTACATAGTAGGCAATAAAGGATCATAACATTTTAGCTTAGAAGCTCAATTGTGTAAGTGGATTGGATTACTTCAAAAAATAAATCAATCTTATATTAAATAGATCGTAACCGTTGAGGTTTAATTTCAAGATATTTTTCAATTAATTGTGTTTTAGAAGAACTTTCTAGAATTCACTTTCCGTATTATTTTATAATTAAGCAGTGTATCATCTTATAAATAAAATATTAGTGATAAAATCAATGAATAATTGGATGTGTTTAATATTTTGACTAAATTAAATGAGATTGATAAACTAAAAGAAATTCTACTGACAAATTCTTAGTAGTTATTATTTGATTTCGCAGCAAAACCCATTATTTCATTGATTGAGGAAAAAGAAATGCACTTTTCTCGAACCTTTTTGGAAGAGAGAGCAAGAAGCACGTATTGTTATACACTAATAATAAAGGATTGAATAGTATAAAAATAAAAAGATTCGCAGGAGTCAATTAATATAATAGAGTTTAAGAAACCTTTTTCGTACTCAAAGTCTTGATAGGGATCATAGAATATACAAGAGAATCTATAGAGTATTTGAATATATATATAAGGCTTATGATTTAGTATTGCAATAGAGTATGGATTAAAATCCTCAATATGAAGTTAATCAAAAATTGATCAAGAAACTTGGAGATGAAATATAGGCCATTTTCAAATTGTCTAAATTGTTAGATTTTGATGGCATCAAAAGATTGAGAGCAAATTCAAATAACGATCAAGTTTGTAGAAATACTCAAAATATCCCCGATGAGATAATCCTCAAATGATTGATCTTTTATTTATAATTATTAAATGAATACTGCTATACATATATCATTAACATGTGTAATTTTACAATGATATATTTACATTTTTAGAAAATTTAAATATTTATACTATAAATATAACAAATAATTTTGAAGATTAGAAGATGCATGATAAACTGTTTTAAAAAGATCCAATAAACTAAAATTATTTAAATATTTGATAATATCAAAACGACAGAGGGAAGAGAGAATAATTAAAATAAAATTGTATTTTGATTAAGAAATTTAAACTATAGTTGAGTCCGATATAGTTCCCTGATTGTCTGAACTAATAGATACTCATAGTATAATTAAGGAATCTATAGACTGCTTAGGAAGAAGAAGAAGGTTCTTCTGTAGAAGTGTTTTATCAGTAGAACCTATTAAATTGAAAATTACTAATAATATGTTTATCATAATTAGAATACGGGTGGAACAGGTTTTCCACTTGTGATTTTACAACCAGCAACATTCAGTAAGGCCACTGCAGGATAAATAGGTCCAGTTTTTAACTTTTCATCTTTATATGCACAACCCAAGTATTCTCCGTTCCAACTGAACATCAATTGTCCTTAATTCATATTTAAACAAACTCCAAACACTCCATTTTTTAATCTCCTACCAAATCCGGGACCGGTATTACTATTATTATGGCGTAACTATTATTATTCCTGAAATACTTACAGATCCTAATGCATAAAAAGCCCAACCAAATTCATGATCACAAAAGGTTGTATTAAAGTTAAAGTCTCTGTTTGTTGTAACACCAATTTTTAATTCACTTTCATTTCTATCGTCAGCTTCAATTTCCCAATACGCTATTCCCGACGAATAGCCATATTTTGCTATGACTGATCTGAACATGTGTGATATATCTTCATGGAATGCTTTCTAATCTCCATCTGAGAGTTTGATATTAGTGGCCTTCCTTTAGCTATCCCATCTATTGGAAATAATTAAAGATGAACTAATAGAAGATTCGATGCTTCTCGGTATTCTTGAGGATATGACAATATTCTATTAAGAAACATTTTTTAAGTGTTCATAGATCTCTTATCTGCTACCTGATTTTTACACAAGATTAAATAATTGACATATGGTATCACAAAACTTGATGGTTATTATTTATTACTTTTTCTTTATTTTCTTTTGTTATTAAATTCCCGCAGCATTCAAAATTTGCACAATATTTATTACACTCCTCTTCATGTTTTTCAATTAAGTTTACTTTTACTAAAAGTTCACAGAATTAACCTTAAAATAAAATATACTCATTACATTTCAATACTAAATCATCATATATTTTTTTTTAAACTCTTGCCATTTAATCTATCTACCTAGGAGTTTCACAATTAATACATTAACTATAATCATATAGAATTAATTACTTAGGCACACAAGACATACAATAAACTTGCCCGCATTCACTACATTCCTTAGGGTCACGAGCGACATGTTAGCATACTAAACAATCGAAACAATCTGAATGGTAATTTATAAATCTCGATCTGTGAAAACCTTCTGTCTAATTCATCTCCTAATTTTGTTGAAATATTATTAATTTATTTAATGGAAATAAGAAATGCTTATAAATTATTATTTCTGCGAATATTTGAATCCTGAAGCTAAACCAGAATGATCTTTTGAAATCATTAGAGAAGTCTTTGCTTCTCTTTTTGTATATTATTAATGTTTCCAGTTTCCTTGCATAATTTTTCCATTACATTTTAACTGTCTCAAGAAAAGCATATATATGATATTAATCTTCTAATTTACTTGTGCTGATCAAATTAACATTCTATAACAACAATCATTAATGTAATTTCTCAATAATACTCCAATAGAAATAACTATCCAAAATAAACTCCTAAAGTTTCTAGTTAGATTTCCTTACATTTAACCATTCCTAAAAATACTAAATACGAAATCTTGAATTATTTTTTGAATATTAAAGAGTAAACTAGTTAATTATAGAGTATATTATTCAAATATGTACACTGAGCCAGACTTTGATTCGGCGTTTAAAGTCAAAGACTTTTAAATCATGTTAAATTTTAAATTCGTGAAATATTTAAGATCAAAGATTACATTTGGAAAATTCTCAATTCTTGTTAATAATCAAATAGATTTATTTATCCTTTGCCATATTTTCAAAAAATTTCAATTAAAAAGATATTTCTTAAGGTATATATATAAAGCATAGCCAATCTTACGAACTGAGAATAAATTAAAAAAATGGTTTGAAAATTTAGAAAATATCGGTTCAGACTAAGGATAGAAAAGATAGGGTAAGTCGTTCGAGAGGTGTGAGTACAAATATTTAATGTATTAATTTATATATATAATTCTAATTAATTTTATTTGAATTTCTTCAAAGGGCAGATTATTATTTTGTTCATCATATCATTTTCTTGAAAAATTACTTCCTTCTGAAGTAGTAAGTGATTGTTTAAATTAATTTTAATGAAAAATCTGAATCCCGAAGATAACTTTAGTAACAGTTTGGATCGAGAATTGCGAGCTGAACAAAATGATGACTTTGAACAATAGTATTTGGAATTTTGTCTCAAGGAATCTCGGCCAAGCACCGTTTTTCAAAATGGTATGTTCTCGTCGAGTAGAATAGATAAAACTCCAGATATCACATATACTCCCAAACCCGAGTAAGATTTTCTCTAGAACGATGCAATTTCATTATCAGAGATGCAAACTCAATTCAATAAAACATCTAAGAATACTGGATCAAGCCTGATGACCTTTTTTTTTATTCGAAGGTTTTTAGAAAAAGTTGGATAAAAAAGACGAAAACTAGAGACTTTAAATTGCAGTATTTTAAATTTAATAAGTGATAAAGCATCCGAAAAGTATTGCTTTACTCTAATTGTAGTTTAAATGTGATAGCATATGCCAAATAGTTTTAGCGCAAGGAACTATCATTCATAAATGTTCAAAGAATATTTACTTAATAAATTATTAAGCGACGAACACTTGAGGAATTCAAGGAATCTTTTGAGTATACGCAAAGACAGATTTTCAAATTTTTGTTATGGGTTATCTCTTGCATACCATTAATTTAACCAGAAAGCATGTTAAAGATGTACTGGGATTTCTTCGTCACCTTCATTAGAGGAATACTGGTATTTTTGGTACCTTTAGAAATTTCGTTTAATTCAAGAATTTTGGCATCCGAAGACAGGATATTTTCCACACTGATATTTATCGTATTATAGTTGGATTATTTTGTTAAAATAAATACAATCACATATAAAACGGGTAAAGCCATAGCAGATCGTTGGGAAATAATCAAGGTGTAAACAAGTAGATCTATTTTAATTGATCAATGTCTAACCTTTATTTTGTTAATCAATATCTATTTACCTGAAGGAGATTATGATTTAATTTTGATTCTTCTTCTGAGTTAACTTAAGTATGTCTATGAATCATTTTTGAAAGTAGATTAGATCTCATATCTTACTCGACCTTAGAGGGGTAGAATTGGTTTAATAAAGTTTTTGGTGTCTTTAATTTATATAGCTCATTTATTCAGTTGCATATGGTTTTGGTCTAGCAGCATAGATAGAGAGGATTCGTGGATTATTACTAAGAGATTAGGAGATCTGAGATGGTCATCACAGTATCTGGAAGCATTTTATTTTGCAATAGTCACAATGTTGACAATTGGATACGGAGATAATGTGCCCTAAAATTAGATAGAGAAAATAGTTACAATAATTTTTATTCTATGTGCCTGTTTGTGGTTCTCTTATAGTGTAAACTTCATAGGTGGGATAATTGACGATATCACCTAGAACTAAGTAGAGAGAAATAAAAAGATGAGAGTGATAAATAAGTATATGAGGGAGCGCGAGATTCCATTTGCCTTATAATATCAGTAATTGAAATCATTAATAAAACAATAGAATCAAGGAGTACTTGACATATCGATGGAAGGAAGACGACGAAGTAGATTTGGAAATGGAATAGGAATTACTGGGATAGCTGTCAGATGAATTGAAGGAAGAATTAGATAAATAGGCATACAAGATATTCATTTTGAAATGTGAGTTTTTACAGAAGTATTTCAGTGTTGAGTTTCGCAATGCTCTCTTTAAATCAATTAAAAGAAAGATTATACAACCTTAAAACACATTTTCAATTGAGTTTGATGGGGAATATCATCTATGTTATATTGAATAAGGAATATTGCTATATTAACATAGAGATGGGAAACAGAGATCAAAGATCAATTCTCATATCAGTCATGGAAGATTCATATGTGTCAAAGACTTTTTATTGTAGAGTCAAGATAGAGAACTATTCAAAGCAGCTGGATATGTGAGTTTATTGATGCTATCAAAATCAGACTTCCTGGAAACATTAAAAGATTTCCCTGAAGATTTCTAAAAGTACTGTTAATTGAGAGATCAATTGATTCTCAATTTAGATTAGGATCTAATTAAGGAAGGGTAATTTTGTCCTGTCTGCAATAAAACTGATCATCAATTGGATCAATGTTCTTAAGTGCAATTGATTCCCAATAAGGAATTAGTGCTCAAGAGACACATCTATAATTAGAATTAAGAAAGAATGCACCGTAAACGAAGAGTAATTGAGAAACCAATCATGACAAGAGCAGAGATGTTATTTGTTTAAGAATGTGCTAGAATCTTCGCTTTAGATAATCCTCAACTCATTTAAAATTAATAAAAATGTCAGCATGTAGTAGAATAAGACCCTGAAGCCAATGTAATCTTTCTAGGTGGCAATGAAGAATAGCTGCCTTCTGTCAAAGTATTCCACGTCTCAGAGGAATATCTTATTACTTCTGGTCACCAAAGGGCAGTGAAGTAAATTGGCCAAGAGGTGCAGTCTGATGCAAGAATAGATAAGCAACATAAACCCAGTTATAAGTACAATCCCAAACGAATCTACAAAGTAGGATCTATTTATGATCACAAATTCTTGAGGTAGAATACCAAGAGTCCTTCTCTGTTATCTAGTTTAAATGAACCCTCCATAGAATAATCCACTTATGAAGCCATATTCAATAATGAGGTCGATGCCTTTAGAAATAGGATTAAGAATTTTGAATAGATGCATGCTGAAAGCATTAAAATAGTTTATAATCAGATGCTAAAATGCATTGATGATCCTGAACTCATCAAACCAGTAAAGGAAATCACATATCTCTATATTCAATTATTCAATTAATCTGAGACAAACCTAGATTAAATCTATAACTATGAATACTATTTCCCTACACACAATATTACTAGAATAATAGAATAAATTAATAAAAATAAATCAAACTGGCAATAATAAATTTTAAATAGATTTTAGATGTACATGTTTTACCCCTTTTAATTTATACTGAAATTTTTGAAATACAAGAGAAACAAGGCATATGTCTCCATAATAAACAAATTCGAAACCATCCAAAGAGCTAGGCACAAAATGATGCTTCTACGAGTGACAAAAAGTCAACTAAAGAGAAATAAGGTTTCGCCGGAAATTTAAGTAAATAGAAGAAAGTAAATATGATATTGTTATACATCATCAACTTTATTGTTTTTTTATAATAATTCTAAGAGTTGAACCAATTGATACAATATGAGCAATAGCAATTTAGTAACATTATTCTCTACATAAATGTACAAATCAATTAGGAAGAGGAATGAGGATGACCCAAATGACGTAATAATAAAAATTATAATTTGGATTTGTTTAGTAATGAATGTGGATTTTGTGACTACTTTATGAAGATTCGGCAGTTAGGAGAGAAGGATTCTCAGAGCAAACTTAGATTAGAGAGCTATGATATCATAAATTCATATGGTTTGATATTTGGTTTGTAGGGTAGTGTGAGAAGAAATTAATTTTGAAATAGTGAGTTAATAGAAGAAGTTGGGTTGTTGATTTAAGATTGCTATGAGGTTGGGGAAATGAATATTGAATCATTTATAAATATATTAAGTAAATCAAGAAATATATATATATAATAATGAATACGAAAGATGTTAAATAGGCACTATAAAAATATTAGCCATAATTGGATTAGGATTACCAAAACAAATTACAAATAGCTAAATACACAAATTTGTCTGATATCGAAAAAAGCAACTTTTTATAAATTTCAGGTATTTTAGATCTGGAGTGTAGGTGTTGAATAATAAAATGTATGCTTTCTATTTAATGGGAATATTTAAGATCAGTTTGACAATACTAGGATCACTTATCACACTATAAATAGTTTAGATAATAAAATAGATCAAAAGTATTTGATGGCAATATAATTAGTACTTATACCATTGTATATATAGTGGCAAAACATAATGGACTCAATGAGTTGTCAAGATTTCGCAAGATTTTGAAATAACTTCCCAGCAAATACTACACTCACCTCAAATACCTTTACTTATTTCAGGCAAGTTTGTTAATCAGAACTCGCCTGTGGCTTCAAACTTCAAAGAGATGGAGTCTGTGGCAGAAGAAAACCAAATATATTTATGAGTATGCTTAAACTTATTGTAAGAGTAGAAGATCTGTTAGAAATACCCAATTTTCAAGCCAGTTGGATGAATCTGGTCCCGAATCAAACTTCGTCCATTGATTAAATGGAGCCAGCCTAATTAGTTAAATAAACAGGAGGTTCTTTTGGTTCAAATTTGACCAACTAAAAATTAAATCAATTTGGAATCCCTGTAATTCTTGATTGTCTGCTCTCCTACTTTGTAACGAATGCAGATAGATTTCTAAAACCAGACATATTCAGAAAATAAGGATCAATAAATGAGGAGGAACAACTCTACACATTGTTGAATAATGAGAATTATGAATGTTTGAATGTTGTTGAGGATGTCCGAATTGTTTGTAGTATGATCAAGAAATTCTTCACTTCACTCCCAGATCCGTTAATTCCATAAAACACTTTAAAATTTATTTGTAATTAGATAGTATGTAAGTTGCTATTAAAAAATTATTAGAAATAACTCCTCAAACTGAGATTGTCCTACTTGAAGAAGTATTTGGCAAGTTGCCTAGTCTAAATAGAGTGTTGTTGACAGTTATGGTGAGCTTTCTGTTATGTGTTGGCAATTATTCTGAGTTTAATCACATGAATATGAACAACTTGGCAATTGTATTTGCCCCTTGCTTTATGAGAGCTCAAACCAATGACATTTCATCTTTAGAACAGGTAGGTCAATCTGTGAGGTTCCTAAAAGTTTTATTTGACAACTTTGACAAGATGTTCCAAAACGTTACATTTAAACTATACTTGCAATATAAATAAACTCAATCTTGTTCATCAACCAGTAGCAATAGTTCCACAGGCCCAGAAACTATGTGCAAAAATCAAATTCTATCATCATCAGAAGATGAAATCGTTCCTCAATTCTAGCAAAAGTAGCAATGATTTTATAATAAATAATAAAACACAGAACTTTTTTAATTCGCTGCTTTTATTCCCATATTCTAATAATTTTAATTATGTTACAAAACAGCTTATAATCTTACCTATATTTGAGTCTTAATCACTGAAATCTAAGTCCAAAATGCTAACTTTACTGTGTAGCAATTAGTGATTATGATTTCATTAACCAACTGAAATTTAAGGAAAACACAGTCTTGTTTAAATAAGAGTTTAATTAATTTAAATATGAATTCTCACAATTTAAGCTAAGGCGGATTAATCAAAGCTCTATTTAAAGGATTATTTGGATATATTAATAATATTAAATATAAACAGTAATGGTTAGAAATTACAATGAAAGATGAAGACATATGTGGATTATTAAAAAGAATTAGAAATAATTAATAATTTGATAGTTACTGAATTTAATTGAGGAATGATGCTGTATGTATTTAGTTGAATTTTATTCATAATCTAAAATTATCATATTATGGAAATCCAAATTCTGATTTTTATTGTTGATGGTTCAAGACCATAAAATTTAGAAGTTTCAATTTTGCTTCCTTCTCCTCCAATTAAGTGCTTAATTAATTTTAAATCAGTTATAGTTTTTGGATATCTTATTTTAGAGCTTAATTCTGTTTTTTTAGATCATTAATTTAACTATCCTAAGAATGATATTGTATTCATACCTTAAGTTCATATTCTAAGTTACTTATGGGTTTTGCGATGTAGTTTTCTTTGGTAGACAAGTTAATGATGGTAGTTGGTATCGAAAAGAGATGAATTAATGGATGATCTTATTTTTTGGTTTGGTTTAGTTTACTTGTGTTTTGAATAGTTGAGAATATTTTCCAAGCATTACTCAATCTAATTTAAATTATCCTGCAGGTACTTTTCCTATTGTGTTTTCAGATCGATTTTGATTGATGAAATGCAGGATTTGATTGTGTCTTGTACATTGAATTTAATTTAATCATCTTGAGTCTGACATTCTGCATCTTGTGAGAGATGCTCTGGTTTGATTTGATCTTGAGATATGCTTTGTCGAAACATCAACTGCTAATAGATTTTGAGAGGTTGTTGAGATGTGAATGTGATGGTTTCCAACTTTGAGAATATATTATTCCAAAGAATGCGTATATTGCCATATTAATGAATTTATTGAAGTTCTTATTGTAATAACTAAACTTGTTGTTTTAACATTTATATTTCGATCGACTCTTGAGGCATAATTTTAATATTCTATTCGTTAAAAATATTTATAAATTTTCTCATTATTCATAATCTTCAGAATTGAATTATAATTTATACATAAAAATGAGTGATCATTTACTTAAGTATTTTCATTCAATTTATAATTTATAACAATAATTTCTCAATATTATTTATTAATGATATTGGGCACAGAGGTAAACGAGTTTGTGACGAATCGTCAGTAATCGAAAATACACTACCTCTCTCTCAGGAGAATAAGCTTTGCTATAAGATTACATCACCGATTTAGAGAATTCATTGAAATTAAATAAGCAGGCGATGACTTTGGCTTTGGACAACAATAGGCCTAAGGTAACACTTTTAAATTAATGATTTCAAAGCAAACAAAGGACGGCAAGCACGCTTTCAAGTGAGTAAAGCTTCAAATCCCGAATTGGCTAAAGCTCTTAAATGAGGAGAATAAGAAATTAATGGAGGCCTTAACCAAACAATAAAAAGTGAGTAGTCAGTTGCAAAACCAAAATACTGTTATAGGAGTAGATTGCTGAGGAGCAAACAAATTATTACAAAGATTTGATTAGTGATTTAGAATATAAGCTAATTGAATTGAAGCGTAACATTCACGATAAGGAATATGCCATATAGGAGTTAGAACGAATGAAGCCAATTTAGGAGAAGGAAGGTCAATTAGTTAAACTTATAGAGGTGGTGACACCTTCAGAATAAAATCTGAAATTGCATGAAGAGTTGGAAAGTGTCAGAGGAGTCTTGCAGAAAATTACAGCGGAAGCTCAGAGTGTTTCAGAAAGCAACAATGCCTTGAGAGAAGTCAATTATCACCTGAAAAGGGAAATATTCAAAATGAGAATTGTACTGAGAAGTTAGGTGACCTATTAAAATATGAAGGGTATCAAGTCTTCATATTCTAGATTTTGTGTATAATGAATATCTCGATAAAACAGATAACAATCTTGAATTGAACAAGGAGTTACAAAATTAAAGAGGTAGACTAGAACAAATGCATTAAGAACTTGTATGGAACCAGCAAGTTTAGGCTATGGGTTTTCTCCAGAACCATAGCAATTGAAGTATCTGAGCAAAAATGAAAGGATGATTTATCAAGAGAAGTTGCATAAGATGGAAATGATGGTTAAAGGATTCAAAGAGTTATTTGAAAAGGAAAAAAATAATTATATATATATTAGCAAATTGCATAATGAATTAGTCAAGAAATATGATTAGATTCAAGACAACAATGAATTATTAATACGTTCAAATCAATTGAAAGATTAAAAGAATGAGTAATTGATGGCAGAATTGCAATTTTACAAGAAACAAAATTAAAATTATATGGAATAACTCAAAACTAGAAAATAATTCAATTCTATATAGCTGAATCAAGAATAAGATATAGCTGTTGGCATATTTAGTCCTAGAATCAATAATGAACGAGTCAACACTTAACCATCCTATTTCGCCAGGCACTCCTAGTAATTATCGAATTTTGATGGTAAATTGGATGATACAGAACCAAAAGAAAATATCTCAGTCCAATTAAACAATTCAAATCAAAAACAAATTCATCAAGTGCTTCCTCAAGTTCAAATGAAGAAGCTCTAATTAAAAGAATTAGAGATTAATACAGATGATAATTTTGAGTAGGCTCCTTATTGTTAAACAGCAAGAGCTGACTCTAAACCTCTTGTTAGAAATCAAATGCAGCAGAAGAAGACCTCATACTATGATATGACTAGAGAAGAATGCGTTAATTTCATTATGTCAATGTCCAGTGAATTCTTTTAACATTTTGATGTATGATATCACTTAAATTTATAGATAAGTAACGTAAAGAAGAAACAATTAATTAAATAGATGGAAGATCCTTTGTCATAAATAAAAAGATAGAAAAGATCTTACAGTAATCCATTTTCTTATTTTTCAAATGAGAGTCAGGTCAATTTTACCAAACCCCCGAAATAATCAGTTGTGGCCATTGTAATTATATATTCTACCAGTTTTAGACCAAAAATGAAATCTAGTAATTATTGGGTCAATTGACTTGCAAAAGGAAATAGCAATCCGAGCATTTTGATTTATTCAGTGTTGACGTTTCTTAAATTGATGGTAATAAGAGCAAGAAATAAATGCTTGATTAAGATATTAGTTTTATTTCAAATATCGATTAACAAGATTGATTATCCTTGTTTATGTTTGTGTGAATAAATAATTTAATAATAATATTGTAATGAAAAGGAAAGTTCATTCAAAGAAAGAGGACAAATTCAAATTCAAAAGAAAATCACAAAAATCAAATAAACTTCATAAGATATTAATAACAGTATTAGTACCTTTGATGTTTGGAATCCTATTAACAACCCTCTTTTCCATTTTGATTATTTTGTTACTTTCTGAATATTGGGCAAATCAAGGAGCAAATAGTTTAGCCTAACAACAATATATTTATTAAACATGTACAACTAATTTATGCACCTAGCATTAACCACATTATTGGGAAACTCTTAATAATCTATATTTCAAACTATTTCCACAATTAGAACATAGATTATTCATTCGTTCTGGACTCTATAATAGGAGTCTCAATATCTAGATCTCTATTCCCTTTAAGTACCTTAAATAGTTCCGCTCTCAACGTCATCTTAATTTATACCTAATTATGATAAAAATACAGAACAATGTTTATATTGTATAGGATGGGGATTAGTGGATGTAAATAATTTAATGACTTTCAATCCATAATTGGGTGATTTAAGTGTAGAACAATATTCGTAATTGTAATAAATTGCTTAAACCTTTCAGATTTTACAAATTCTTTATAATAGTAATTTCTAATTGAATTATATTTACTATCATTTTGCAAATCAAATGTTTGTTTAATATCCATTTGTTGAAAACGATGACCTCTATTCTAAGTCTCCCTTACAGCAGATGAAAAAGTCATTCAACTAATCAAATATGCATACAGCCTTCTTAATTGAACCGACTTCTGAAACTGATTTGGAAAGTTGTGTGTCTCTTTTAGGGAGTGATAACAATTTTATGGGAATCGTTTGTTTAGGAATTAACGCATTAGGTCAGTAGGTGTTTGTTAATAATCTATATTAAAATATTGAGTATCAGGGTGAAATTTATTCTTTCTTTTGTAATCAGAATTTAAACATTTTTACTACTAATACTGTCACCTAATATGTGAATGGATCTATCGTAAAAAATTATGGATTTCCAAATTTGATAGATGTTGTATTTAACAACTCAAACTAAAATTCAGACTAATTTCTAAAATTATTTTATGATATCGTTTATCCCAATTAAGAAGCTCAATATATTTAATTAGTAAGTTCAGTCAAGTCTAATGTGTCAACTATGAAACAAATATTGTAAAATGAATAAGAAACATTTATTAATGATTCTATAAACCCTTTATTTTAATTGAGTAGCATATTGATACAATATGATATTGATTACTACAAACAATTTCTGGATTTTGTAATCTTTTTATCAATATTTTTTGAATAGTTTTCAAGTGGAATACAAAACGAGACATTTGTGAACATTATGACAATTGCCATCCCCTTAGCAGTAATCATGTGCGTCATAGCCTGGTACATATCATATAGGATTATCCAGAGTGTTTCCAAACCCATTAATGATTTGACTCATAAACTTGAATTGGTATGTATGACAATTTAAAACAATAGATTGCATAAGATACCTTAGCAATCCAGATTTACTCGAACTTTAGATAAAGCTCTCTGGAAGTCAATCTTCTATATGATGCCTTGGATTAATTAGTGACAGTATTGAACTTCTCTAATGACCGGTACTTCGAAGGAGATGATACATCTTTATTGATTAAATATGCTCAAGGGAAAGCGCTGTTCCAAAAGATGAAAAGCAACAAAGGGATGGGAATGATCTTGAACAATATTGGTAACATTCACAGAAGACAACAAAGATACATCGAAGCAATTCAATGCTATAGAGAATCCATTGCACTATGTGAAGACGATTTAAGAGTATAGATAGATAATATATAGATGCTTTTAGGAGATATCAAATTACTTGAAGTAAAGCGATTACAAAAGGGAATCAGTATAGATATTTCAGGTGAATCCAGATTCTCACAATCTGGTAGTAAAAGGGTTTCAATGATAGAGAGAGAGATCTAGACATCCCAATTAGAAGATATCTATTCAAGTAGGAACTTCTCTTTAGCTAATGTACTGATGTAATTGAGAATATATACTTAGTGAATATGCTGACAACAACTAGAGTTTGAGTATCGAGGAGAAGAGATAATTGTATAAGGAGAGTTTGGAATGCTTGAATATTACATTGTCTCTGGATCAAAAGGATAATAAAGGTTTATTATACAGATAAATCATAAGTCATATCTTATAATGCAAAGTCTTACTGAATTTAGAGGATTCCAACTCTGCATTGGCTGAGATTTCGAATGCGGAGTAACTATCAGATAAATATGAGAATTCGTATGACAGATCTGATGCTTAGGTAAATGATTCTTTCCCCATTCCTCCAGGTATTTTGAAATAGAGGATTTTGTATGAGAAGGGATTATTTATTAAGAGATATGATAGCATCAAAAAGGCAGCATTCATCTTTACTGAATGTTTAGAAACTAGTAAGTTTTATGATCCAGAAATTAGAATTAATTGTCTCAAATAATTAAAGGAAATATTCTAATCACAGAATCTACTTTATAAAGTACCAAAGATAGAGTAACTGTTAGAATTAAATGAGATCAAGAAAAACAATGACATTGTATTTGTAATTGATCATTCTGGTTCCATGGAGAATATCAAGAAAGAATTGGCTATCAAGTATTTTACTTACAATATATCAATAGTGGCATTCTCAAAATCTTTGACAATTATCTTCAGGATTAAGACAGAATCAGTTATATGCGTTTCAATCAAAACATTGAGGTTATTTTCGATTTAACTTCTAAATCAGAGAATACAGCCTATTTGAGAAGTGCAATTGAGAGATCTAAGAACATTAGGGCAGAGGGAATGACTGCCATGTTATCAGCTGTATTACATGCTTATTCAATACACGAAAAGGCAGTAAAGAAAGACAATCAACAATGGATAGTTGTGTTATGCGATGGAGAGGATAACTTGAGCAATATCACATATGAGAGGATGAAGAAATTTACGAGTAAGAGACCTTAGATTTCATTGATTGTTATTGGCATAGGCTTGAGTTTGAAGCCTGATTGTCTAGATGAATTATATGACTTATGTAGACTTAGTTAGAAAGGGTTTTTAATTGAATCTGTTTATAGTGAAGATCTGGACATTGCATTTTAATCAATCAGCAATCTTATCTTTGGAACTTCCAGCATTTACGATGAGAGATTGAATTGATACATTAAATATAATTATTTAATTTAAAGCTACTTATTTTATTTAAGTATTTTATTGAATTGTACTACTTTTCAACAGATAATGAAATGAGAGTCATCTAACTACACTTAGTTCTATATTAAGGGTTTTTGGTGCATCAAATTAATTATTACCAACATTTGTGAATTATTATAGCAATTTTAAAATCATCTAAATATTTTTATTAATATTACAAACTTGGTGTTCTGGAGAATTTCCCATCCCTTAAGATCACTTTTTATAATGGATGAAATTTAATTGTTACTAAAATACCGAAAGGGATGTCAAACTAATTGAATACAATTTTGAAGAAATTAAATTCTATTTGGATATTAATTTTTGTGGAGTATTTTATTGGAATACGTTAGGATTGCAATCCTGTACTTTAACAAACTAAGTCTATCAGTTGAAAATCCAAAAAATTAGGTCAGTATCTTCTTTATTTCTTTGTTTTAAGGGAAAAATTATAATTATATTTAAAGGATCTTGTTAGGCCCATTTTATAATGTACAATTATAGGTGAAATTAATCTTTTTTAAATGAGTCAAAGTATATGATATCTTTTATGATTTGCCAGCCTTCGCCAACATGATTGGTATCTACCCAAAAGTACTTCTCACAGATTCCTTCATTTAACACATACGAAGCCTAAAGAGATTTGTAAGAATATACCTTGAACTCAGATGTAAAATTTAACCAATACCTAGGGTGCCTTAGCCATGTGGATTTACTTAATGTGTGGGGTTTATATTCGCCATTTGTGTACTCTTATATGGTTCCTTATTATTGATGTATCATTTTTGATTATAAATTAGGAATCTATTCCCAAACAAAAATGAGGAATTCTTATGAATGAGAATGAAGGATGCCTTAGCTTCGAATGTTCAAGAAGAATTGTTCAGAAATCAATATGAAGAATTTGGTTGGGTTCCTCATGATTCTCACCATAATAGATATCAATGCATGGTCGGTTATAGTCATCCAGAGGATTCTAGTACAATGAACATGGCCAGTTTTAATAGTAAACCCATTTTTGAATATTCTATAGGAAAAGACAAGTATAAGGAACACCATATTAAGAGAGTCGGATAACAAAGTAGAATGACTGATTTATGAAAAGATGGATAGCACATTAAAATTTATTGGTTTGTCTTAGTTTAGTTAGGCTTCTCGTTGTATTTAATAGATTTACTTTTTATTCTAATTTATAAGTGACAAAATTTTGATTCGATTGATGTTCTTTTAGAATTATAATTAAATAAAAGTAAGAAATTATAAATTGCCACGTTATGGAAATTGTAAGTTCCCAATACACAGATATCACTCAGAAATTTCTATCCAAAGTACACATTAAACTTGTTGCGATCAAAAGAGAATAACCAAATTGTACCAAGGATCTTTATTTTAATTAGAATTTCTACTTACAGCTAAACTTGCCAAGGAGAAAGTAGATACAGCCAATGAGAGACTCCAGGAATTCCATACTAGTATATATTGATCCTATTATTTAAGCATCTCAATCGACTGGGCTATTTAATGACTAAGATTACAAATTGAACACAATTCTCTCCTAAGTTAAGGATGACATTGGTTAAATACATATCCATATAAATCAACTGAAAACCCAATTGAATAATGATCTCCATTAATCAATCTTTGATTTTGTTCAGCAAAAAGCCTTAAAAACATCTGATTCCTTCAAAAAGGTATTTGAGTTTAGGATTGAATTTATAGTTGGTGCAGAGCCATACCTAAAGGATTAAATAATAGGAAGAGAAAAGGAATCGATTGAATGGAGAAAGGGATAGAGTAATCAAGAGAGTTGGGTTTAATCAAAAATACTAAAAATTGAATGAGACTGAAGAGGAGGCCAATCATTAAACGATCTAAATGTTCGAATAAAAGTAGAATGAGGAGAAATTGGTTTCCATGCAGAAAATCGAATCTATGTTGAATGATATTGCCGGAGTATTCCAAAGAGTGGGAACCATGGTGAGACTATAAGAGACCATGATTGAGAGAATTGACAAATACACTGATGAGGCTTAATTGAATGTTAGTAAAGGACGCAAAGAATTATAAGAATCACATAAACGAATAAGTTCTAATAGAGGGTTAATATTAAAGGTTTTCTTAATTTTGTTTATTTTTGCTTTTATCTACATTGTGTTTATTTTGTGAACTAGATACATTAATTTGAGTATACTAATAAATATTAATTATACAATATTTTCTTTAAGTTCTACTTCAATCTAAACATTGTTAAATAAATGTAACTATAAATTAATATGGATAAATTTATAATAAACCATTGAAACTCCATAATAATTAATCCATTTTCCTATTATCTAATTTTGAAAGGGTTTGAAATCAAAAGCAATATGAATAATTTCAATCTTCTATCCTTTTTAACTTTAGGAATGCGAATCCTCCATTCAAATAGATGTATCACAATTATTAAATACTCATCAAATATGACAACTTGATAATATTATAATATAGGTTCATTAACTTTATGGTGAGGTTGTAATAAAGAAATGGTTAGTTTCAGTCTATTTTGTTAAATATGAATTTATATATAAAAAATGGGTATATATATAAAAAATTTAATTTCTGAACTCTCTTATTTTATGTCTAAAAACTTGGCCACTCAGTTGTATGTTCTTGCCTCATGGTATTGGGTCTATTATTTTAGGCTGCTTTTTTTTGAAATGCCTTTGTCGATGAAACCATTCAATATTCTTGGATACATAGAATTTAATGGTTAAGACCCAAGATGCGGTAAAATATGGATATGGGGAGAAGGGAAGAAGGAGTGCAATAAGGGAGGGTAGGAATAAGTAATGAAGTGTATATGGAAATGTAAAGTAATAAAAAAAAATGATGATTGGATTATTAATAAAATAAAAAAATAAATAAATCAATTGAGTTATGAATTTTATTAATAATATTGAGGTTCTGTGAACAGTTGAGGGCTTGTGTTGACTCATCCTTTGATTTATTTGGTTTTGGTTTAAAATATTTGCTAATATTAAATCTTTATATTTAATGAGGCAGGGCGATCCTACTATGCCACTTTAGAAGTCAGAGGTTTGGGATATAGAACTACAGAAAGTATGGAGAGTGCATTATATTTGAAGGCTGTTCCCTAGAAATAGATAGAAATTCCAAAATACATGATTGTTGAGAATGAGGCTTAAAGAATACATAAAATTCCTCTAACCTACATCCATACAAATATAGTTTATCCTGACGAGAATGATTATTCTTGTGACGAAGAGGATTACATAGCTGGGATTGATTCAAATGCAATTTAATAACTGGATATCAGGAATAACCTATCAAACACTCGGAACTATGTGAGACAATATGAATTGCTAAATTCCTTGAATTACCCTGCTGATTATTATAATGCAAAGATCCAGAGATTGCAAAGACCCTTATTGAGAGTGTTTATGAGAGCTCAGGAAGATGAGTAAATGTCATTTTTATATTGGTCACTAGTTGTCGATTCAATGTTGCCTTCCATCCCAGTAAGACTTACAAATAAAAAAGACTGAAACGACTCAACATTCAGCTTCCTGAGTTTGACATTTCTAGATAAATCATCTACAATGAAAATATCATTTCCCTTCATCTCATTTAATAAATTAGGCAGCGTGAACTATTAAAATTAAAACTAATTAAATAAGAAGAAGAGCAATTTGTTAGCAATTTCGACAATTGCTCAGAAATATTCAATACGCTTAAAGATTTGCGAGTAGCATTAAAGGAAGAAGAACCTACTGAAATTAAAGACAATCGATCTAAAATCTTTGATTCCTGTTAAGACATTGAATGTGCCTATTAATTCCATACTCCCATGATCTCTCAAGCCGTTATAGAATTTATGGACGAATAGTACCAAGCAATTAAAGATAAGCAGATCATGTGGCCCAGAAATCCAAATGTGCTTTCCGATTGGAATTTAAATAGTTATACTAAAATCGGGGTTTTTTAGCAGAATAAACAATTAATATACACCACCAATGACCGTACTCTATTTATCTAGGATCGGACTAAGAAGAACAAAAAGAAAGTTAAAATGATGCTTGTCGATCGCAATCGAGCCTCGGTCTTTGATGGAGTGAGGGCTGATTATGATCATTTCTATTCTCATTATCAGAAACAACAGAGCAAGATCGAATAATGTATTGATCTCCAAAAGAGAGAGATACAAAAATTCAAATAGGATCAAGCCAAAAAGGAGTTGGCTCTGAGACTGCAATAAAGAAAGGAGGAAGAGAAAAAGCTACTAAAAATTAGATTGAAGTTGAACTATCCTGAAGAACCTAAGATAATTAAGAGTGTAAAGATCAAACATTCAGATGATCTAAAGTTTAAGTTAGTTAAGGATGACTCTCCTGAGGATAACAACTGTTAGATTATCTTAAAATGATAATTTTTCATTTAATTAATTAACTTGATTACAATCATTGTTTTTGATTTTTATTCATATATTGCTAATGCTCTTTTTGTTTTTAATTTAAAATAAAGATTTAAAATATTTATTATTATGGCAGAAGTCGAATAATTATCAGAAGAACTCACTACTTTAAAGAGAGTCGTTTAAACATCATTGCATAGAGGTTAATTATCAAAGGGTGTACATGAAGTATGCAAAGCCATTGAAAGCAAATAAGTTTGAATTATCATGCTATGCATTATAGGCTAAGTTTGTTGTTTTGGCTGATGATTGCTCTGAGGATTCCTATAAAAAATTAGTTGTTGCTTTGGCTAAATAATTCTAAATTCCAGTTTGGAAAGTAGAAAAAGGTGCCTTACTAGGTGAATGGATTGGAATTTCTAAGTTTTTGACCAAAACTAAGAAAATCAAATCAAGAAAATGCTCATCTGTTGCTGTTAGAGATTTTGCAATCGAAGTAAGCGAAGCTGAAAAACAATTTGTTGAAGATAAGATCAAGGGATTGTGAGAATATTTATCTGTACAACATATAAAATGTATAATAATGGATTACAACAATCGAGCACTCCAAATCACTCATTAAACGACAGAGATAATACATACATATTAATATAATAAAACATACTATACATTATGTATTTGTATTAATGAATAATATTTTCAGAATAAAACACCCTTCTCTTAGATATTAAGTGGTCTAGCTGAATTTGGATTTGTATATCTTCTAATGAAATCTTACAAAATCAATTCAGAATCTTTAAAATCTGTCGCAGCATGATCATTAGCTTGTCTATGAACTCTGCACAAGGTCTCTTTGTAATCTTCATACCACCAGACGAATTTCTTGATGTCTATAAAGTAATTCACTTATATTCATACCTTCGTGTTCCAATAAGAATTCATTCTCCTTTACTAATTCCTAAGCTCTCAATTGAACATACTCATCAAACAAATTCACCTTTGTCAATTCAGATTTATATTCAAAGTATATTCTTCCAAAAATGAAACATTAGACCACTGGAAACAAGTATCTAAATGTTCTAAATCTTATGTTTTGTGTAATAACATTGTAATTGTAGGCATAAAGGAACTATCATAATATTAATGACATCTCTATACTAAATTCAATCCGAAGGCCATAGCCTAATAGCCAAACTTATTATATTCAATCACTGGATAGGTCATGTCATCTTCCCATTCAGCTAAAGGAGAAATAACACTATAAATGTACGATCTTAAGAACTCAAGCAAAAAGCATTGAATGGCACTTTTGGCTAAGTCCAACCAGCAGTTTCTATCAACTCAACCATCTTCTTGATTGATCTGTACCTCTTCAAACGAGCTTCTCTGTAATAATATTTATCATTTCAAACCTGAAGGGAGGAAGATTTTAGTTTCTCAATCCTAGTAAACTGATGATTGTGAAATAATTATCCATTTAATTAATTATTGAAAATTAAGATAAATATAATGCATTAATTATTATTATCAAATATATTCCAAACCCGCAACAACTCCCCCCTTTTATTTTACACTACTCTTTATTAATGCCACAATTTCATGTATAAATTAATTTAATTGTTTTATTTCTTTTATATTTATTTTAGCAATCCATTTCTATCCCTATTTATCTTCACCTTATATCATATTAAATTTTATTAAGTTGATTTATTCTCGATAATCAATCATATATTGAAACACCAAGATAGAATTTATAAAAATAATTAGAGTTTATATATTAACCAAGAGAGAACTTCTGTTGTAATTATCCAACATATTCGATATCTCTTGATAAATGCCTCTATTAATTAAATAAAATAATCTTTCAATCAAATCTAACTTCTTATTATTAAATTGCTACTTTGATTGTATCAAACTATTAAAATAACCATAATATCATTTCTATCTAATTAATTTAATCTATAGTTCGCATTTTAGTTGAAAATAAATTAAAATAATTATTAATATATTCTAAGAATATCTCTTTCTACTTTTACTAAACCAACCGGATATATAGATGTCAACATCACGAATCCTAATTTGGTTTTTATTGCAAATTCTTTTTTGGTTTTTATATATAACATATATAAAACTGTTTAATTTGGTTTGTTCCCCTCTAATTTCTCCTTATTATTCAGTAAATTTATGCTTTTTTTGTATATATAGTAATTAATATGAATTTATATAAATTTTTTGATTTTCGTTTTTAAATAATATAAAGAATAGTATAGCTTTAAACAATGTTGATTGGAAAATTTAATAAATGATATAAAAATTAAGGGAAATCTTCAAGTAAGATTCCGAATTCATTCAATTCTTAAAGCAGAGTTGCCTCACTAAAGACAATTAAGTGTACCATTAAGAGGACTTTGAGTTTCTATTGTAATATATGATTAAAGAGAGAAATCTCAGGGATTTTTTTGAGTTCTATTCCAATTTGGAGATGTAGACTTATAATACTAAAATGAAAATGCTAATTATCACTCATTAGTTTATTCATTCAAATGAAGAGTTCTCTAAATTATTTACTACTTTACGATTAACAAATTTTTGCTTACTCAAACACAGCCATAGAAATTACGAAACTTGGTTACTCTTTAATATATAAATTCCATTTTTATCTTACTTATAAAAATTGGCCATCAGCTAAAAAGAGATTAAAAGTTACAAAACCTGCATTTTTAGAAAATAACAAAATTCTAAGTATTTAACACAAACATATATTTCTTTAGCATTGTAATCGACAGTTTTAAAATCATAAATATCGTCAATGTGGCTCTCTCTCTTGTATCTAATTTGAAGACAGCTTTATTAAACTACCCCTATGATATACTACTATAAAGATTATCCTTTAATTTGTATTAAGAAATTCAAGGATTTCAAAAGAATTTAATAAATTCCATGATCTTAATCTAGAAAGAGAACCCTAAAATCTAAAATGTTGAGATGTATGAACTCTTAAGAGAAGTAATAACCTTGTATATAGTAGATTAATTTCATTGAATAGAGAATGATATACTATCATTAATTTCGAAACCTATATGACCCGAAAGAAAGTCTTCTGTCTCCCCTGTAGACCTAACAATAATTTGAGTACTATAAAACCCAACTAATACAACATGATTGTAAAACTGAAACAAAGAAGGAGTACCTTCAAAGATCCCCCAGGACAAGATAATCGACCGGGGGAGAAGCAACATCGCCGAAGAGTTAGAGGATGTTAAACTATTTTGAGCCATAATCTTCACCTAAGAAATACATTAAAAAATAGGTAATGGTCATTCAAGAAGAATCTGAAATATAGATAGATTAAATATGAATGTGTTTATTTTATATATAACAATAAATTTAAGAACTTATAAATCTTATCAATTAATCAACTTTAGCTTATTTAAATAGATTGCAAACTCTCACCAGTATATGGAACAATCGAATTCATCTTTGATTTGTTTAATTTTATATTTTTACTGGATGAAATCAATTTTTTTGAAGACAAATTATTTCTTAATTGGATTAACCAGATTTTTTTCTGAATTTTTTTGAACTTTGATGCCGCATTTATGGCAGCAGTTTATTACTAAAGTCTTTTGAGTTTCAAGAATTTGTTGATAAATTAATAAGGAAAATAAAGATATTTAGAAAATTTACTTATGATTTCTTATTGCCAAGCATGCTGATTTTTATTAGCCATATCTATGGTGTTCATGGAGTTTTATTGAGAAAAGTAGTGATCATAATTGAATATGGATTCAAAATCTTCAACTGTAACTGCATTATACTTCCAATAAATATATTGGAGTGAATTTATAGCTAAATGGACTGGAGGAGATTTATCATCTGAGAACTTTAGTAGTTTATTGTATAACATTTTTATGTTCTCTTTCATATAATAGTTGAAGTTATTCACATTTTTGAGGCGATCACTCTCATGCTGAATTAAAGTAGTTTCATTAGCTTCTTCAGCAATCTCATTCATTGAGAATAATATAGAGGGGGATTTTGTATTTCTTCTTTAAAGTAATTTTGAAGGTACAGAACCCTTTCTATTCATTCTTTAACTCTGAGCCATGAGCAAAGTGCTTTTTTAATTTTCACTTTTTTCCTTTTATTTTTCTTCATCAAATTCCACTTTAGGAAAAGTCTTGCTTTATGGAGGTTTGAGAGGACTTGAAATCTCGTTGATCTGGAAGATATTGAGAGAAGGCATAGGATCATAGACATTATGTATTTCTGAGTTGCCTTGATATGATTCAGTTTCTTGATCATACACCAATTAGAGTTTTGACTACTCGTTGATTTGATTTTGATTCTCCGTTTAAAAGTAAAGGGCACATTCTTAAACATATGTTAATTCTGCCCTAGTTTGAATTGGTTTATCGAAGTTTTTACGTTGGTAGACTTCTCTTTTTTATTCTCCAGTCATTTAGTGTTTTTTAATGATGACTTCTTTATTGGGAATCATTTAGATCTGGCAACAACTTTTCAAAGAATGATCAAAGTTATTACAAGCAGGACAGAAACTGCTGAATTGAATTTAGCAATTTTCATTTTCCAATAAGTAGGAATCTCTTAATTAACAGTACTTTTGAAAATCATCTGGAAAATCTCGCAATGTTTCTAAGAAATCTTATTTAGATAGGACAAGTAGACTGACATAACTTTGAGCTTTGAAGATTTCATATTCTGGGGTTTGCATAAGGAATTCTCTTACACAAAAGAATTAGCCTTAATGAACAGAGGCATTCATTTTAGATCTCTGTTTTCTATCCTTATGTTGATACAGCAAAACACCTTACTCTACGAAACAAAGGTGCTATAGTCCATTGATTTCACTTTAAAATGTATGTTATGGCTAAATAATCTTACGCTTAATCGATTTAAATAAGGCATTTCGAAATTCCAAGGAAAATTGTTTTTGTAATAATTCTGATTTTTGGATAAAGACTTTGTAAGCCTACTTCTCCAATTCCTCTTTTAATTCATCAGATAATTATTCTAACAAGAGTTGCTCCATCTGCAAATCAACTTCATCATCCTCTTTCCACCTGTACGTTAGGTATTCCTTGACTCTAAAATTGATTATCATTACAAATTACTGATGTTGCAGACTAAATGGAATCTTCCTTTATGTCATGTATTTATTGATGACTCTCATCTTTTAACTCCTCTCCACTTGATTCTGAGTGATATCATTCATTATTGAACCAATAAAATTAATACTGTAAGAGAACCATAAACCTTACATAATTAATTCAATAATTTACAAGCACCCAATATAAATATTATTGCAACAATTTTCTCTATTGAATTTTTTGGCACATTGTCTCCGTAACCTATTGTGAGCATTGTCACTATTGCAAAGTAAATTGATTCCAAATATTGGAGTTGCCAAGTCTACCCATCTAAGTCTTTAGTTAAAATCCATGAATTAGACTTATCAATACTACTGAACCAGAACCAAATACAACTAAATATGTGCATGATATAAAATAAACTGGTTATAAATTTGATTAATCCTATTATTCCTCTCTAAGGTCTAGTGAAATAGGAGATTTGATCTGTTTTTGACAGAGCCTCAAAGATATGTTTGTATTGAGTCAACAAAATGAGCAAAAACAAATCATAGGCATCTTGGGCATTGGAATTGAATAAAAATACCACTATTATTACTATTAATGAGAAATCAGTAAACCAAGATTTACTAATTTAACGAATTATGATCTCCCAACGATCTGTTATCGCCTTTCCATTTTCATAACAGAGAGTGTTGATCCTAATGAACAAATCTAATTGCAAGATAAATAGGATGGTTAATGTTAGTCCTATTTAATTCTGAAATAGAATTTAGGTATGGAATGAGATTTCTAATGGCACCAGAAGAACGAGGATCACTCTGAATAACGAAGCGAAAATGTCCCAATAGAGTTTGAAATCGTCCTCTGGTTGTACTAGTGGTATTTTATTGGCCATGTTTGTTATTTATCTTATGGCTTTTTGTTTGCCTTCCTGTAGATTTCTCTTAAAACTTTCCCACTTTCTCTCTTTTATTGCTATCTTCGTTTACACAATTCTATTTAACTAATTGATTGTTAATCCTTTTTAAATTTTTGTTTACTTATAAGCTAACAGGCTAGCTCTACAGAATTATTAAAATATCATTACTTATCTGAGGCTTTGTCATCTATAAGATTTAAATGGGTGAGGTTTAAATTCTACAATCTTTTACTTTGAAAGGTAAGTTTTTCCAAAAAACGTCTTATAAAAAAGAATTGCATAATGCTAGACCCTGTACTTTTTGGTTTCTCTTGATTTACCTACTTAGGCGTTATTACGTGACTTTATTGAGCTTCAGAAGTGACAGCGTTATTGAGATTTGTGTGAGTTGTTAATTTTGGCGTTCTGAAATCGTAACCATCGTTGCTTTTATCACTTTTTGTACGATTATGAGCATATTGATTATTGCTTATTGATAATTATCTACGAGTATCTCTTAAGCAATGTTCTAAATATTCTTACTCAAAATCCTCATTTTATACAGCTTTGAGTTCCAAATCCAATTCGAAGTTGTATTTGTGATTTTGATCAATTTTTTACATTTATTTATAAATCTTGAATTGAGAGAAACTACGAGAAAAATCTAGTATTGGAAAATCACAATGATTGCTAACCACATGTGATATGAAATAATTATTTGTAAATTTCAACTGTTATGGAATAGAAATGTTAATAAGTTGTTATTTAAACAGAAAACAACAAATTTAAAATATATTATTGATTTCAGGTATGAAAATTCATTTTCAATAAATTATGACATTTAACTATATAATATTATTTTTCAAATTGTTCTGAATTTCAGATAATTTAAAAATGGGCAAAATCTATTCAAAAATATTATCAGTTATTGAGTTGATTCCTTATTTCCTCTAGTATTTAATTTTATTTAACTTTCTTCTTAATAATTGTAAATATTATATTTTTTGTTTAATGTCCTAATTATTGGATTCAGTTTTAAGGCAATAAAAACAGAGGAAGTAAGTGTTTCTTTATATTAAGAGTCAAACAGTCAAAGGAATTTTGAAATTTCGCTAAGACTTTACAATACCACACTGTGATAACAACAGCGAAGACGCATCCTTTGAGCCGAACCTGTGTTCAAATAGAAAAATCGAATTATAATTGCCAGAAAAATAGTCCTTTAAAGCTGACTGCTTGAGTCCAGATCCAGATCAAGACGAAGAAAGCAGAAGCATGCTTCATGTAGAAACAAAATAAAAAGTGAATCTCTGGGTTCATGGTGGATTAAGAATCATGTTCTACATTACCAAATTTAGTAAGCAAATGAAAACCTACTCCACTGAAGTAAAGTTTAAGTCATTAACAAACTAAATTGTCTCGTTAATCTCTGATGCAGCTAGCGACTCAGATATATTACTCCATAAATTAAATAAAGTCGAATAAGTGATGAAATCATTTACGTGGCTTATAAATCAAATACCTGTGCTTGATCCAGACTCTATCATAAAAGTGCTTTGGGATATTTTTGTTTTAACCCAAATTATCATCAATATCTTTTACATTCCAATGAAATTGGGATTTGACTTTGAAAGAGAAGATATATTGTCTGGGATATTTTTAGAAACTTTGCCTTCTTGGACATTTGTAATTGATATAATTTTGACATTCTTCACAGCGTATTATAGTTAAGGACAAATTCATAGAGATAAATAATAAATTCTTAAACATTATGCCAACACGACATTGTTATGGGATTTGATGATTGTTATACCATTTATCTTATCCTCTTATAATGTGCCTTATACTGAATACATATTATTGCTAAGAGTAACAAAAGTTAAGTCTATGATTGAAGCAATTGAAGAAGTCACAAATCCATCTAATAATGTGTAAACAATTTTAGAGTTATTCAAATCCATCTTCTTAGTTTTATTTGTATCTCATTTTTGTGCCTGTTTGTGGAATCTGATAGGAGAAATGGAATTAGAGTCAAAATAAAATTCTTGGTTGATTGCTAAAAACATTACTGAAGCAGAATGGTCCACTAAATATATTCATGCCTTTTATTTTAGTACAATCACAACCTTAACAATTGGTTACGGGGACATAGTTCCTCAGACAGATCTTGAAAGAATTTATGTTATAATAATGGCGATGGTTATTTGTGGATTGTTTGGATATACTATATCTAGCATTGGAAATATATTAAAATAGCTTACTGAAAAGGAAGAATTATTCAAATAATAAATGATGCATATCAATAGCTTCTTAAAGAAAAAGAAAATTAATAAATAATTAATGTTACAAGTGAGGAAGTATTTCGAATATTTTCTGAAAATGGAATAAGAATATAATGAATTTGGTGAAAAAATGATGCTCAATCTAGATAAGAAATTAAAAGAATAAGTTGCAATAGACATGTATTGTGAAATGTTAAAGAAGTCAAGACTCATCAAATAAACTTTATCTCTAAAAAGTGTATAAAAATTATGTTCTTTTGTCCATGAATTGAAAGTGCCACCTGAGGAGATTATTGCGTATTAAAATGAATAAGCTAACAAATTAATTTTCCTCTAAAGCGGAGAGTTAAGCTTGATTTGTATATATACAATCTTAATACATAGGTGATTAAAAATTGAGAGAAACCATTTTGAGTAAAATAGAGAAAGGCAGATTTGTTGGAGAGAAAGAATTCATTACATAAGCTCGATATGAATATACAATTAGATCAGTTAAATTTTGTCAAATTGCCTTTATACAGTAATAAATTATCTAAATGATTTTAGTTATGATGATTTCTTAAGAATCATTAGAGAAGATTCACTGGAAGAAGAAAATTATTGCATGCTCAGAGATTAGATGTTGTTTACAGAAGAAAAATAGAACTATGGTGAAGTTTGTTATATATGTAAATGGACACATTAATTTAAAAAGTAAATTGAATAAATTAATCTAGATGTCCCTTAGTTTTTGTTCATTTCAATTTAGATAGAATAAGAAAAAAGTTTATGATATCAGAAGACATGAATAGAAAATAATATGAAAGAACCTTTGCAAAAAAATTGTTTTAAAGAAACATCATACGAGAACATGCTCTGGCATTAATTGTGAATGATAATATGATTTAAATAGATGATTTAACTGATTAGTATTTGGATACATTAGGTTTCAATATGGATGATGATGAAAATGAAAGGATTATTAAAACCATTAAGAGTCAAAAATCTACTAAATCTTTACATAAAGGACTTACAGGCTTTGAATAATTTAGTAGTGACTCCTCAGAAAGTGATCATGATTCAGAAATCTAATTAAATAAAACTAAAACCCCAAAATCATCTAGATATAATCATTTATAAAGTATAGATCAAAAGAAGGTCAAATTTTAAGAGATCTCTGAACCTGAACCTAAAGTCTTAAGAGCATAAAATTCATTCAAAAGAAAGGCAGATAACAGACACAAAACCTTTTAAAGATTAACCAGAATATCAAACAATAGATTTACTAATATCTCTTAAATTTCTCAAGAATAAAATTATTAAAATCAACCCATTTCTGTCTAAAATTCCAGTGTTCCAAAATTACGCAAGAATAATTCAAATTCATATTCTAATATGGATTTAGAATTACAAGCTAAAACCTAATCAAAATTGGAGGTTGTTGGCAGTAATATGATTAATTAATTGGATGAGGTAGTCAGTTCTAAGTAAGGTGATAACCAATATCAAAGAATTGATTTTGAATTAGACAGGTATTTCATAACTACTTATTACTTTACCAATTCCAATCTCGATAAGATTTTATAAAAACTTAAAAAACCAAAAAAATCATTCAGATCAGATCATATTCAGAGTATTATTAGAAAATCAAAGATAAAACCCAGCCTCTATAGTCCTGCATAAAAGTGAAATTCCATATTTTTATTTTCCCTATTTCTCAACCAAAACAAAACAACAACTATTTATTTAATTAATATTCTTAAAAAATTAACTATTTGATTTTATAAAATATATTACTCTTATTTTCTTAATATAATTTAATAATACAAATAAACTAGGCTACCTTGAAAATAGGCTCCGAATATAAAATTTGAGGGGCGATTAACTTGATGAGATCTTATGCTATCAAACTCCTTTTATGGTCTAAAGAAATTTAAAGAATAAAATAAATAGAAAGTTAAAGCTGCATTGATAATCATATTGAACTTGATTCTTAAAATTAAAAAATAAACATTGTTCAAATAAAACTGAAAAATAAAAGAAGGAAGAAAATAAATTAAATTTGATAACATCGCTTTTGAAGTTAAAAAAATAAAAGTGTTGATTTTTATAAATTATTTATAATAATTGATAGTAGATGTCTACCTCATCAAATCAATGTTTCAAGATAAAAGTCATCTTTACTTTTAACTTAACACCAAATTTCCTAATACTTCTCTCTCATATCAACATCTTAATCTGGATATGTTTCTTTCAATATGATTGATTTATCTTAATTTTGATAAAATATGTTGACATTATTCTTTGGAATAACTAAATGAATCCATTATTCATCCTAGTATTTGACCTGTATTTTACTAACTTATTATATTAAATTACTTTTAAGTTTGGTTGTCATACTTATAAACGGTTGGACAATAAAATGAATCTACTTATGGTTTATGATAGTTGAGAGGGGCTAATGCCTAACCATTATTTTACTTAGCCCTCTCTTTATTATAATTTATCATTTCGTTGACAAAACTAACTTTTGTATTTAAGTTGGCCTCATAAGTAGTATCATACAATTTGTAATTGTATTCTGAATTGTAATCCATTAGTTAGGTTACCCCTTTAATCCTACTATTTTCAACCTACTTCAAGATTCCATAATGCTGGTCTGTATTATTTATCTCTTTGATGAACGGTTTCTCTGTCTATATTTATGGAGAAATATTTAAGTTTTAAGGCGTAGTATCAAAGTTAATAGAGAGACAAGCAAAAATAGTGAGTATAACTATGAATGAAAATCCCAAATTGCCCAATGTTCTATTCTTGGAAACAGAAATAGGCGCTTCCTCTTCAAAGACAAATTGCTTGCTACCACAATTTACACAAAGTAGATTCTACTAATAGGATTGTAAATTTTAATTAAGTTTTTGAGCTTCTTCCAATTACTGTTGTAATTGACTAACCTATTCTGTTAATTCTTGGAGATAATGAGACTATTTTTAAAAATCCCTTTCCAAATTTTAGAGGTAGGCTTTCTTCCTATCTCTGGAATTTTATGCTGATATTCTATTACGGATCATTAATAGAGTTTTTTTATCTTTTGTCTCTGTTTAAAGTTGTTTCTCATCCTGAGTTCCTTTATTAGGATTTTGACTTTTTTTTGCTTTCTTTATTTTTTTTTCCACTCCTTTATACAAGAAGTTTTATACCTTCCTATGAATTGGAGGATTAGGAACCAGTAGATCCCGAAAAAATAGGAGGAACAATATTGGATGATTCTGTAGAACTTTCTTATTCCACTTATTATTGATAAAGTTTCTAGAATAAATTCGATTGGTCATTCTCATCTTAATATTTCTATTATAACTCTACTATTAGTTATGAAAGTGACTTATCCTTGGTTTGTTTTAACATATTACAATAATATATTATTTATTAATAAGCATACTAAAAGAATGGATCCATCTACGTGGATGTTTATATTTCCACATATATAAGGAAATTTAAATTTTTATAAAATGAGAGTAGATTAAGTAAGATTGTATTCAGCAAAAAGTTAAAGAAATCAGACTAAAAAGGTAAAAAGAGAATTACAATAGAGGAGAAAGGTTGTAAAAATTGGATAAGATCATTGAAACCTATAATTATAGAGATGGCAATATAAATAAGCTAGATTATATAAAGAGAAAAGAATTCAATTACTAAGTTGAACTAGATCTTCAAGTTCAAAGAAAGGAGAAAAATGCCATTTATATTGAGAGGAACACATGTTATCTATAATATTTTGGCAACAATATTGTCTGTCCTTTGGGAACCATCTTTTTTTGAAATCTTAAAAGAGACATGAAGGGAAAAATCAAGTGGGAGACAGAAGTCACAATTTGTGAAAACAATTCTAATTTGGTGATAAATGGGAGGAAGAATATGATGATAAGATTAAAGAGGAGAGGTTTAGAGGATTTTGAGAATAAGAAAACAATTCTATGGATAACAACAAGAAAAAAATAGATTTTAAATGAGTATATAATTTTATAAATGAATGGCACTGATATAATATTTTCAGCCTTAAGTTCATAACCTGAGAATCTTCAGATAGAATTATAGGCAGAACAACAAAATGAATATGAAAAGGAATATTTGGAAGCGGATTTGGTTTCAAGAATAAGGACAAGAAATCCAAGCACCAATAATTTCACAATAAAATCAACAACAAATATAGACACTCGTAGAAATTGTGAGGTAATTGTTTACACATTACGAAGCCATTAATCAACTAGGATGAGGATATTAAAAAGAACACTTGCAAAAAGACAGGCACTAATTTAATGAAATATTTTTATCTGAAACGATTCATCTAACGTATTAGGAACAATAGAACTAAGTTATCAAATGTCAATGAAAATCACATCAAATTAATTAACGATAATTCAAGTGATAGGTATCATCAATATTATTTAGTTAAGTGATGATTTAGATTCTTAAATTAAATAATCATTAGCATTTTCAAATACGCAATGTCACCAAATTATTTCGTGATAGCACTCTATCTTCGCATGAACATCCCTTCCTCATTTGGATTAGAGAGAAATATTAATAAAGCAGAAAGTCTATATATGAGATTCTATCTAAAATCCCATAAGTACATCCTGAATCCCTCAAAAAGATCGTTTGGGACTATTTCACTATTGTTTTTAGGTTGCTTTTATTAATATTAATTCCATTAGAAATTGCATATAACCCTCAAATTTTATTTGAGAAATTGCTGGGTCTCACAGTTACTATTATCATCATATTAATAGTTGATAATATATTGAGATTAAATACTATTTGTTACTTGAGTGGATAGGCAGTATATGATAGATGGAAAATTATCTAAGTGAATTTAAATCTATAGACAATTTCAGACTTCGCATTAATATTTTTATTAATCTACTTTACTAAAAATGAAGGAAATTAATTTAAATATTTGGTGCTATTAATATCTCTGACTCAACACTATCAAATTAACTAAACCTTATAAAAGAGTGAAGAATCCCAATACTTCACCAAAAAGCAAAAAGCATTCATCAATTTATTTAAATTGATAATCTATTTGATTTATGTTCTCCATTTATTTTCTTGTATATGGTTTTTCAACAGTTCATTAAACTAGGGGAATTCCTGGATCATCTTTAAAGAATTGGATCATTAATAATGGCAACTCTAATATTTAGAAGCATTCTACTTTGCTATAGTCACTATGCTAACCATTGGATATGGTGATAATATACCAAAAACGTGGAATGAAAAAATCGTTGCAATATTCTTCATCTTAAGTGCTTGCTTATGGTTTTCGTACAGTATTAATGCCATCGGCACTATAATAAAAGAAATCAACTAACATTTTATGGAAAGAAGCAGAAAGATTAGAGTCATCAACAGATATATGCATCAAAGAAATATCCCTTTTTCTTTGTAGTATAGAATCAGAGAATATTTGACCTTTAGATGGAAGGAGGAAGCAGAAATCGATTTGTAATAAGAAGAAACCTTATTGAATGAATTATCTGAAGAATTGAAACAGGATCTCAAAAAGTAAGCCAATAATGTATTTTTCAAACATTGCGATTTTCTCTTTAAAAACTTCAGTTTGGAACTACAGAATTCTCTTTCACCTTTTATAAAAAGAAAAATAATTTAGCCTTAGAATACATTCTCCATTTACACTCTAAGTGAGGTTTATTAACCTCATTTGTGTTTTGTAGAATAAGGCTAATTGTAATATCAAAATATTCTTAATGTGTCCTTAAAATCTGTATAGAATCAAGGGTAGTTCTTGGAAGTCTCAGAATTCATTGAAGAAAATGATAATGCATAAACCTTCAAAGCAATAGGATACGTGAGTTTGCTTGTATTAAGCAAGGTAATTAATATTCTAAGATTTCTAGTCAGATTTCGTGTCCATCATACGCTAATATCCCAAGGATTATTAAAAGTATTGTAATTTAAAAGATTAATTTGTACTCCAAGTAAATCCTAAACATTTACTATTTGGGTAATATTGTGCAGCTTGCAATATCAACACGCATGGATTAAAAGAGTGTCCAAATTTATCTCTAAGTATTGATAGAGAATTGATTGTCAAAAGATATCAATATTCATACGATCAACATAGGAGATATACTAGGAGATCTAAAAAGAGAGGAAAGACATCTTTTTCGACTAGATGTGATAGAGAAATCATAGAACAATTCGCAATATATTTTTAAAATGAGCAACCTAAACTAGTTTAGAATTAGTTATCAAAACAATTGACACAAGAACAAGATTTCGATGATGGCAAATCTGATATAAATGATTAATCTCCAATAAATAAAACATTTCATTTTAAAAGATAGGAATCAATTCAATTGCCAAGGTGTTCTTTGTAAAGTGGAGAAGCAATATCAATTTAGAAGTAAATAAATGTTAATGATTCTATTGTTTCGAGTGAAAATACTTCAATATAGAATTTAAAATTATCAACCAGGTAATAATGCATGATAACTACTAACAAATTTATGACTGCTAAATTATCAAAATACAAAAAGATGTGTTCTCAATAAAATCAAAGAATTCCTTTGATTGATACTGATGAATCATTGAAGATTGATATGCAGGATTGTATTTATTAGAATATAGAATTATTGTACAATAAGATTTTCAACGAGGAGACAATAATTCCAATTGATAGATCTATATACGATTTACAAATTTTGTACTTTTCACTTAAAGCGCAATAAGGTATAGAGTAATTTGAGGTTGTCAAGAACTTCAGCTCCTACATGGTCAATCATAATATTGAGAACATTATATTATAAATAGAGTAGAAATATCATACCTTACTGATGAAGCCCATTACCTAGCTAATACGATTTATGTATTATCCTTATGAATTTATAATGAAATTTTAAAAAATAAAGACGCAGAGATTGAAATTGCTCAACTTTTACAAGAAAAGATCCTTTAAGAATTTGAAATAGAAGCCATCGAAGATAAATGATTTAGTAAGAAAATGGGAGACCCCCAGAAAATCTTATCGTTTTAGTGTTATAATTCCAAATGATGAGTGATTAAATTGATTTATTATTACATGAAATCTATTGATTAATATTAATTATAAATAAAATGCTTCAAGGTAGAATGGATGATAATCAATGGATTAATGATGATCACATGGATTAGGTATGAGTATATGTTAAATGTAAGCCTGAGGATGTTGGATTTGACAAGGAAGAGATATAAAGAGTGGAATTGTTTGTCAATAAGCCATTTGATATTCCCAATTTTCCAAAGAATGAGCAGATAAAGTAGGCAGGAATCTCCTCACATATGTTTGTGATAATAACAAGACAAAATAACATATATCGATGGAGACCAGAGAGAGACGATCATTGTGTGTAGATGGAATTGCCAGAGGTTCAATAAAGTGGTTTGACAGGGAAGTTGCTGGGAGGAAAGAAGAATGAGAGGAAGGATATTATCTTAGAGAAGTTATTTTTATTTGGACCACATGCCTTGATAGTGTCAGACAACGGGGAAAGCTTTTATATCAATGTAAGATCAGACAGGATCCGATCAATGGAACAATTAAAGGGAAAACAAATCAAATGTGTGGGTTGGGATGATCAATGTGATGAAACTGACACTCATGAAATGCTACTGGCGACGAAAGATTCAAAAATCTATATTTATAGAATCGATTGTAGACAAGCAGAGGTAAGAGAAGAAGAAGCAAAATTGATGGTCACCATTCCCAACGAGAGGTAAATCAATTAGATTGAACAATTCACAGTGATGTACGATAATAATAAATACGCTTGTGTTGTTGTTTCCACCAACTTTAGTTTGTTCTTCTTTTATGGATTAAACAGTTTAAGCATTTTATTTACCAAATACAAAGACCCTCAAAGTGTTGCTAGAGCAGAATCATAACCATCTCGTTATCACACGAGTTTATTGGCTGTGTCTCAAAAGAAAAATTCATTTCTATTTACAAATGGCAAATCATTAAATTTATTCACACTTCCTGAGAAGGATTTGAATGAGTCAATTTTACAATAAGCTAAACAATTGAAATCAGTGAATAATTATTCAGAAATGCCAGTTCAAATTGGATTAACAGACTTTCATTACTTTATTTTGAGTGCTGATTCTTTGACCATATTCAGCAAAATCACTTAATAGGAAGTCTAAAAATATGAACTCAGAGGTATGGGTAGAATAATGGGTATGCAATATGAGAGAGATGGCTAAGTCTTTTGGATCTATTCCGAGAGGACATTTTGTAAGATTGAGACTGAAGATGAAGATAAGGAAGCATGGAAATTGTTGATGGATTAAAAAATGTACGTTGAAGCTTATGAGATATCAAACAAGTATAATTCAGAATACACTAAATACATTGCAGGATTATGTGGAGATCAACTATTCTAATAGAAAAGATATAATGAAGCTGCAACATATTACGAAAAGTCTTCAAAACATTTCGAAGAGATCTTCTTGAAATTTTTGAATTGCGATGACATGAAAGCTAGAATTGGATTAGAATAGTATCTCAAACATTTAATCAATAACTTGAAAGGAGAAATTGAAAGGACTCTAGTATTGGGATGGCTTGGAGAATTATTGATCTATAGATTGAATGAATAAGAGAAGTTAATACATGAAACTAGGAATTATGAGAATGATGCTTAGAGAGACAAAGATATCAAAGAAAAGAAATAATAATTAAATCAATTAAATGAAGATCTAGATCACTTCTTGAAAACTTATAAATTAGAATTAGATTAGAATCTTGTTTATTAAATTATGGTAAGTCATGGTAGATTGTAAAATTGTGTTGAATATGCTAAACTCAATAATAATTATGAGATGATCATTCAACATTATATTAATGAAGAAAATTATAAAGAAGCCATCAAAAACTTGAATAATGTAAAGGAAAAGAGTTCAATGGAAATCATCTAAAAATATTCATTTATTCTTATGAGACATGAACCAGAATAAACATTAGATATATTATAAAAGAATATTAAGAAGTTTGATTAAACTAAGATCATAGGTGGTCTTATGAATATTCCTGTAGAAAAAAGAGAATTTGGAATTAGATTCTTAGAACATTCCATCAATAAATTAGATTGTGCTGATAAAAGTATACATAACATCCTAATATTCTTCTTAACTTAGCCATTATAAAAAGAAAAGCTTAATTACTACTTATAGGAATAAGAAGCCATCTTAAAAAAGACTGAAAAAGTAAACTTTGATTTAGATTTTGCATTAAGACTATTCAAATAGGCTAGTTGTATAGATGCTCAAATCACTATTTATGGAATGATGTCACTTTATACTGAATCAGTTACATTAGCTTTAGATTATGGAATGATTGAGAAGGCTAAGGAGTATGCTTAAAAACCAGAAGATGATGATGAGAAAAAGAAGAAATTATGGATGATGATCGCTGAAAGATTGTTATCTTAGAATTAAGATATTGACAAGGTCATTGAACTTACGAAGAATAGTTAGTAAATTAAGATTGAAGATCTTTTGCCTCACTTTAATGAAAACATTAAGATTGAATAATTCAAAGATGAAATTTGTAATTCTCTTAAGAAGTATAATGAAGAGATTGAGAAATTAAAAGATGAAATGAAAAAGCTATCAGCAAATTCAGATTAATTAAAGAATGAATTGAAAATGACAAAAAATAAGTTCTTAATCATTGATACTTAATAAAAATGTGATCATTGTGCTAAATAACTATTCAATGATACATTTTATATATTCCCTTGTAATCATGGATTTCATAAAGTAAAATTATCCAATATAATTAGGATTGCATAGTTACAAAGATTAAATCCTTGCCTCAACACCAAGCCAATATTCCATAGATAGAGACATATGATATGACAATGTAATCTATTTTAGTCAAATCCAATCCCAATCAGAATGCTAGTAAAAAATAATAAGGTAATAAATGACTATATTTTCTATTTAGATGGTCAATCCTTTTTCTAAATTATGAACATTTTTGGAGGAGCAAAATAGGAATAGAGACCATAATCTACATTAACTCCAGATGAAGAGAAGCTATTGAGAGAAACCAAAGAAAAGTTTGATAAAATTGTTGCTAGTGAGTGTATCTATTGTGGACCTAAAGTTGTTGATTCTATTCAATTTGGATTTGAATTGGATGCAAGAGAGAAAGATACATGGAGTTTATGAATAAATTATATAATAAACAATGTTAAAATAAATGTTTATTGCTTAAGATACTCAAAAGTTTGGTAATCTGCTTCCGCCATCTAGTCTAATGACTTCTCCTGTTAGGTATGAGCATTAACATATTCCAATAACAGAATCAGCAAATTCAGAAGGTTAACCAAATCTCTCCAAAGCAGCTGATTTTCTCAATGGAGCCAAAACCTTTTCTGATAAATTATGTCCCATTGGAGTTTAGAAAACCTTAAAATTATGACATATAATAGTACTCCAGGTGCCAAAGTCATAACTCTGATTCCATACTTTCCTAAATCTCTTGCCATAGGTAATGTCATTCCAATCACGGCTCCCTTGCTGGCAGAATAAACAGTTTGACCTTTTTATCCTTCAATGCCTGCAAGACTGGCAACATTAATTATCACACCTCTCTCTTTGAATTCTCCTTATGGTTCTTATTTTATCATTTCTACGGCTGCATGTTTTGATACATTGAAGGTTCCAACAACATTGATTTTCAAGACTCTCATCATTTCATCGACTGGAATAGTTCCTTTGGATGTGACCAAGTATCCAGCAGAAATGACACCAGCTGAATTTACAACAATGTGAATTCCACCAAATTCACTTACTGTGTATTTAATCAATTTGATAACATTTTCTTCATTTGAAACATCAGTCTTAAAGAATTTCAAATTGGGGGTATTCTACTCTGATAAAATTTTATCGCCAGCTTCCTAATTGTATTACTAGACTATTACTTAATTGAAATCTGCAATGACTACTTTGCATCCTTTTGCCAAAAAGGCTAAAACTGTAGCCAATCCTAAACCTGAAGCTCCTCCTGTAACTAAGCAAACTGTATTCTGATCTAATTTCATAAATAATGACGTCTGATTTATTAATAATATTAATCATAAATGAGGCACACGTAATCCTCCATCTAAACGCAAAACACACCCCGTTAAATACTCTGATTAATATATCATTTCAACTAGCTATGCAAATTCTTTTGCTGCTCCTAATCTTCCCAAAGCCACTTGAGATTCTAATTGTTCTTTAATTTTAGGTTAAATCATTTCGAACATAGGTGTGTATATGATCTAATTAATTTTTACAATAAGGTTTTACTCCTGGTGCAATTGCGACTACTCTGATTCCATGTTTTCCCAGGTCTCGTGCCATAGGTAATGTCATTGCAATCACGGCTCCCTTTGATGCTGAATATATCACTTGACCTCTTTGGCCTTCAATGCCAGCCAGGCTTGCTACATTCACAATCACTCCCTTAACCTTAGAGTTTATCATGTGCTGAGCAGCATATTTGCAAACATTGAATGTGCCTATAACATTGATCTACAACAATATATTCATTTCAGATGTTGAAGCAACACTTGATCTAGTTGCTGTCATCTAGGCTGATGGGATCCCAGCTGAATTCACTACTAAATTGATTTATCCAAATTCTTTGACTGTAAATTCAATCAAGTTTTTTATCTCCTCTTCGTTTTAGACATCACACTTAAAGTATCTAAGATTGCCGTTCTCAAAACTCTTTATTAATTCTGCACCTTTCTCCTTGCAAATTCATTTATATTTCAACCTCATTAAAATCTGCTGCCACAACTTTGCATTGTCTTTAGAGTAATAATTCAACTGTGGCCAAACCCAAACCTGACGCTCCCCCTGTTACTATAGCTACCGTCTTGGAACCGAGTTACATTCAATTTAATAATAATTAAAATAGAATACTCTCAATTGATTACCAGAAATCTAGAGATTCTATACTATAATTAATAACTAACTACTTTAAATTAAACATTTCAGAATGCTAATATCATTCTTTTGACTAATTAACTAAATTATATAGATATATAAAATAAACAACCAAATACTTAGTAAATTATGAGATTCTTCTTCTTTCTACAATGGATTAATGATTTAGAACTCTTGTTTTAAGTTCAAAATTGAAAAAAGAAATGCTAATATTTCTCTAGATATACTCTTCATAAAGACTTAAGCGTTTCAAAATTTATTAATTACTAGATCTTAAATATATACTTTGGATATCATTTCATTTAATGATTTAATTATATTGACTTTAAAAATTAATTCCAACAAATAAACTAAAAGGAAATAGCCTGAATGGTAAGTTTTACTGGGATTAAACCAATTGATGAACTTTAAATGTGAGCATGAAAAAAGGAGTTAAATCAAATATATAAATTAGTTTATAAAAAAAAAAATTCATCCTTATAAAAATTAAAGATAATAATATTAGTTATATAAATAATTTTGAAAGATAGAATTTAAGAACTCAGGTACAACTATTATTTTTCTATTCTAAAATGACTGATATTAAAGTAGCTAACGAATATAAAATCTATTTACTTAAGAATTTAAAAATTAAAGATGTCACCTGTTAAAAATTAATAAAGCCCTTGATTAATTTACAAGTAAGATATATACTATGTGAATAAGATATATATTGGTGGTCACAAATATCAAATACAATATGTTTAAAAAAAAAAATTCAGATATATAAATATATAAAACCTTAATATTAAAATTTCCGAAGATTTTAATGAATTAATATATTCCTATTTATTAATTATTTGAATCATGGCTTATAAGGTTTGAGTAGTTGCTAATCAAGGCTTATCTTAACCAATAACTGGAAGCAATATTATTAATATATTTAAATGGATATGAAAATTCAGAACCAAAGTATTTTAATTTATGCCAGGATTTCTGGAAGATAAAGAGTATCATAAAATATATTATAGATGAAGAATTAATGAAAGTAATTTAGAGGAGCAATTTAGTTGTTTTTTCTAAATACACTCATCATATGAAATTGTATCTTGATATTTTCTAATTTTTTATAATAAATAAAGCATTTGATCATATCTATTTCTAAATTAATTAAATTAATAATGATTAAACTAAAATTAATAATATATTAGATTATATGCAATTCTTTAGCAGCTATAATAATCAGTGCCATTTTCGAAGAATACATATCCATATCGATTTATGGTTCCATATTATTATTTACAATACTATTTTGTATCATGAAATAATCAAAGCTCTAACAGGTCATTTAATTTATACTAATACTTCTAATTTAGGAAAACTCTAGGTATAACCAAAAGGAATATTAACATTTTCAATTTTAATTGAGTTGGATTTATTTGGCTTATAAGCTAATTCAAAATAATCCTAACTTAGAATTACTCATTTTATTGGAATTGCTATTTTCGTCAGTAATTTAGATGATTATTTCCTTTGAAGCATACAATTCCACATTTTATTTGAGTTTATCGACTACAATAATCTATACTCTCATTATTATCGCATACTAGTGTTAAAAGAGAAAGGAATAGTACCTTAAATCATTAGACTTAGAACTAATGACTCCCAAAATGAATGAATTCTAGCGAATATTGATAAACAAGGCATAGACTACAAGAAGCAATGAAATATAAATATTGGACCATTTACCGATTGGGTTAGTTGTCCTAACATTGGATCATAATTTCTAATACATGAATAAAAGAGCAAGAATCTTATTAGAGAGAGCTTCAAATACTCAAATAACAGAGGACAATGTTGTAATCATCATCAAAGAACTACTAATGAAGTATGAAATCAAAAATATTTTAAAGATGCTTCAATGAAAAAATAACAAGCCTCGGAAATCTATTTCGTCCTAGTTAAACTAGAATTAATCAATTAATAACCAAATTCAATCAAAAACAAAGAGTGAGCATGCCAAATCTTGATGATAACTTTATAAAATAAATTGATCCTATTAATAGTATATTGAATTAGTCTAATGATTTTGCTCCCAATTCTTAATAATTTATGGATGCACCACAACATATATTTATAGAACAAATATAGAATTCAATTCAATTATAAAGGGAAAAAAAGATGTTTTAGATTTCGTTTTATGAGGCTTCGTGATCAGATTATGATAAATTTATTAGATGAGACATCTAAGATCGTTAAATTGGATTAGGAAAGTAAACACATTTTTCAGAATTAACTGCTAAACTCATTTTCTCATGAACTAAAAACGCCTTTAAATTGTATTTAATAGTTGGTGGAAGTTGTTATGTTGAAAGTGAATACAGATCTATAAGAAAATATATTGAAACCAATAAAATGGCAAACTGATTTATTGCTTTGTTAAATTAATGATATACTTGACTATGCATCTTTTGAGATTAATGATTTTCGTTGGGATTTTTAATTGTTTTTTTTAGAAGATTTGTTGCAAGAATGCATTTCAATATATTATTAGGCTTGCAAATAAAAAGATATAGATCTAAAATTAGAAATGAATTCATAAGATAAACATATGGTAAATAACGACTATAAAAGGATGAAATAGGTAATTGTAAATCTTTTAAACAACTCAATCAAATTCACTTAATAGCAAGGTGAAATTGTTTTAAAAGTATAAGAGGCAAAAAATAATATGTATTTAATTTAAGTAATTGATACTGGATTAGGTTTATCATCAGAATAGCTTTGGCAATTGCAAATGAATATTGAACAGGATAATTTGCAAAGCGAATATCATCAATTTCATGTGGGGTTAGGATTAAAGGTTGCTAACAGATTGATTAGAGGCATGTCATCCTTATAAAATGGGTTAAATATAGATTCAACTTTGAATAAGGGCACAATTATATCCTTTACTATTGAAGATTTCTTGGAGGATAACAATAGTTAAGGATCAGGATCGGAAACAATAATGAAAGATGCTTAATTGAGTAGATAATTGAGTCAACTTACCACTAGAGAGTTTAAATTTATCAAATAAATCATTTGTAAATGTAATAAGATTTTGATTGCTGATGATATTCCTTTTAATCATCATGCTTTGAAAATGATCCTATAAGAATTAAATTATCAAGCCGACAGTGTTTATAATGGCTAATAAGCTATAGATGTAGTTTAATAAAGAATTTAGAACAATAAGTGTCACCCATTTTATTCATTAATTCTGATGGATATAGAGATGCCTAAGTAAAATGGATTTGAAGCATCCCTAAAAATCAAATAGATACTTGGGGATTAATGTGATTAAACTACAATTGTAATGTGTTCAGCATATGATAATTAAGAGTGCATCAAAATGTGCTAGAATTGCTTAATGAGCGATGTGTTGCCAAAACCAATTACCAAAATGAGTTTACAATATATCATCGAGAAATATCTAAGATGAATATTAGTAGAAACATACTTAAGTCTGACTGAAAGATTCCTATTTATGTATTTATTAAATAATAATATACAGTTTAATTAAATTATGGATAATTCATTCTTGATGTCAATGGCTTTACTGGTAAGCGGGATTCTGATTGCAATACAAGTAATAGTTTTCAACTCAGAAATAAATAGATTACAATTGATAATAACTATTGGTTAAATAATTGCTAGTGTTATTTTGTTAATCAAGCCTTATCAGAGGAGAAAACTAATATATCTAATCTCTTTTATGAATGCCCAATAAATTTTACAATAGACGAATTTCACATTCTTATTTATTGTGTTAACATAGATTTTAAGTTGTGAATTGGAGTTTGAAATTCAATTAAATAAGGCTTTTAGAATATTACTCTTAATCTCTCAGGTCTTTAGAGTCATATTTTTTTGGGAAAATCATTTTTTTGAAAATACTCAAATCATTATTTCAGCAATTTTTTCTGCTATATTATGGTTGAAATCATATTTATAATCTCACAAGAAGAAAAAATGCATAGTTTAAAATTCCCATAACTCTAATAATCATTTATAATTCAATTCTCCGACAAATCTAATAGTATCCTTGAAATAATTAGATAGCGAGTTAGCTATTCTTGACAATCTGCCAATTGGAATGATTGTACTGGATATGTAATAAAATATTAAGTATTTAAATTCATTTGCAAAATAATATTTTAAGAACTTTGAGTGTGAGAGAAATGAAGATATAGTTATATTGTTAAAACAATAATTGATAAAGTAATAAATTGAAATACAATAGAATGTTACTTGATCATATGGGAGGACCTGAAGATTTAAATATTCCAACTGATAATTAAATATCAAATCGACCTTTTCTATCTAGTATTTAAATAGATGATCCTATCTCAACTATTTTAAATTAAAAGGAGGAGCAATTTAATCTAATTTTTAAATTTAAGGAATTAAGCAAAAATGGAATTTCTAAGATAAAATTTATTAAAATATCATTGATACAGTAATTTTTAAAATCTGAAGAAATCACATTAGTGATGATTTAAAATGTGTCAAGTAAGGAAAGAAAGAAGGAATTAACACAATTTATAAAATTTCAGAATAGTATCCTTAATTCATTTTCTCATGAATTAAAAACACCATTAAACAGCTCTTTATAGTTACTTGAAGCAGTGTCCAAGAAATTAAGTCATTCAATGAATCAAGAGTTCATTTAGCCTGCATTAAATTCTAATAAATTGTTACTATTCTAAATAAATGATATACTCGATTATGCAGCTATGTAATCGAATTAATTCGTACACAAATATTAGTAATTCAATATTAAGGAGGTTGCAGAATACATAAAATAGTTATTTACTCAGGCTTGTGAAAGCAAAGGTATAAATTTAACATGTAAAATTCATCTAACAAATTTAATTGTGACGAATGATAAATAGAGAATCATCTAGGTTCTCATAAATTTGTTAAACAATTCAATTAAGTTCTCTCCTTCAAATACACACATTAGAATTCAGTTCAAAAACAAATTCAAATCCTCAAAATAATATATTAAAATTAAAGTCAAAGATTAAGGATTTGGCATATCAGAACAAAAATTGAGTTTCATCTTTCGAGAACTGCACTCGGTATCATCTGAAGAAAGTGTATATTGGATGACTCAGAATCAATTGTCTTCTGGAATTGGATTGAAAATTTCTAATCGTCTAATTCAAGGATTGGCATTTAATGAACACAAAAAGAGTTCTTTCTCAATAAAATCTGCACTCTAGAAATATACATAAATATCTTTTTATATTTCTGATATGATTATATTAAAAGAGGATAACGAATCAATTTCAAATGCTTAAAGTGATGATGCACATTGTATTTCAATGTACAAGAGTGTTGACTATAAATTGATTCAAAACATCCATCTAAAATCATGCAATTGCTCAGCTATTTTACTTGTAGACGATGTGCCATTTAATATCCAAGCTTTAAAGACTATTTTGATGCAGCAAAAAATAACAACAGATTCTGCCTACAATGGAATTGAAGCAATAGATTTAGTTATCAATAAGTATCAATAAAAAAAATGTCATCCTTTCTATTAATTGATAGTTATGGATATAGAAATGCCATTACTAAATGGTTTATAAGCAACCTAAAAGGTAAAAATAACATTTAGAATAAGATAATATCATTCTTCAACTCAATAAATGTAAAACCTCCAGTTATCATAGCCAGTTCTGCTTATGATTCAACCGAAGAGGACTTGTCCATATTTTCGGATACATTACCAAAACCTATTGATCAGTGGAGGCTTAAATTTATTTTAAATAAATATTTGACAAATTTTTTTTGATTAAATATGAATTTACTATTTCTATTCTTAGATTATTAATAATATATAGGCAGCTGTTTAAATTTAATTGTTGGATTCATGTAGCTTAAACAACCAGACTTTCTACAGAATACTGATAATTTGGGAGCAATACAATTTACATTCTTATGATTAAGTTTTATAGTTTATTTAATTAAAAATGGCATAACTTCCATTATTAATCCCATGCGAAGAGATTTACGATTTGGATGCATTTCAATTAGAAGATATGTAAACTACGATAAAATCCTGTGTTACTGATGATGCTTAATGGAATAAGAAGGCCAAAAAGATTTTGGATCTGATAGAGTTGGAACTTAAAGAAAGATAGGCCATAGAAAATTTTGCTTTTAATATTCAAATCGAGGATTTCATTCAATAGCCCATCTATTAAAACAATGCTCTTTAAGCCATTTTGAATGATATCAAAAATAGGCCAGCTAATTATTTAGATGTGCAAATTTCAAAACCTCCTTTATAAAAACATGAATAGCCAATACAGAAGAAATCAGAACAGCCAATACAGCAGAAATCAGAACAGCTAACAAATCAATAGCAACACCAACAATTAAATTAATAACCCTAATAGAGCACTTAAAAATTTTCATAATAGTAAAGTTAATCAGATGCGATGTCGACAAGTACCATGACTAGAAGCAGTCATCCCTAGAGTAAGGTGCAACCAAAAAAACCAAATTAGCTTTAAGATTTCATGAAAGATGTCTTAAAGAAAACAGATGTTTCGAATTAATAGTTTGTAATAGGAGCTGCGATTAATCATAGATATATTCCACCGCCTCCAAAACCTCAACTAAATACTGTGGAAAAAATTAAATAAGAGAAACTCATGAGAAAGAAGAAGAAGAAAAAAGTAAGAACGGAGAGTTAAGGAAAAGCTGTTGAACATCTTCCAGCCATTGGAAAACAAGCTTCTGTTGTTAAGACATAGTCCAAAATGGAATAATCAAATGTTCATTCTCAAAGCAGTGCTACTAAATAGAATTTTGAGTTGAAACAAAAATCATTAGACTTCAATATTAACAACCAAGAAAATAAGGAGGAATTAAGTGAAAAATGTGCTATCAATTCTTAAACGCAATCAAACAATTTAGTTGTTATCACTAATTAATTGGATCAAAATGACCCTAAAGAAAAAATTAAAGAAAATGAACATACCAAAAATATCGTGGAGCAAAATGCTTAAAACAATATTGACTCATATGAGGAAAGTCATGTTAAAAATAATGAAACTAATTTTTAATAGCAATTAAAAACACCTAATAATTAAGTAGAATCTTAGAGATTCACTAATGAAAATAATAATAGTTAAATAAAAAGTTAAAAGAATTTTGAATTAAAATAATAGGATTTAGGAGATCAACAAAGTAATATCATTTAAAAAGGTTTAGGGGATCATCAATTTATTTCATAATAAAGATAGGTCTAAGATTCTAATTAATTTTAAATTGATAATGTAGATTAAGATTACCAAAATGAATTTCTCCACAAAAATTAATAACATTCTAATGAAGAATTGGAAAGGAAATAGATTGGGGAATAAAAATAGAATAAGATGTAAAGCGAAGAGTTGGAATAGATTAAGATGAGAAATCAATTAATATAAAATCATTATAATAATGTCATCAATTAATATATAAACAATGATGAATTGATTGGGAATTAAAATTCAAAAGATGATTATTTAAAATAAATTTAACAATTGCAAAATAAACAAATAGAAGAAGAAGAATATGAAGATAACATGAATGATGAAGTGGAGAATGAGAATGAAAATGAGGAGTTTACTCAGTAACAATCAAAATTACAATAGCCAAATAAATAAAAGAAAAACGATCATGAAAACATGATTTAACTTAAGTCACATTAAGAATAAAGAAATTCAACTAAAAACTAAATAATTGTAAAGCAAAGCGTAAGTCAATAATCATAAAGAAAGTAGGATTTGAAAAATAGACCATCAATAGGGCAGAAAGGGAATGTATAAAAACAATTAACAATGGAATCCAGAAGATGTATAATATTAATTATAATAAAATAGCTGATGATTTCCATGAGGTAGAGAGTGATCATGATCAAATAAATGCTGCCAAATAAAAACCAAATAAAGAATTTGGGATTAAACAACTTGGAAAGGTTGACTAATCCAAATAGAAAGCAGTAGTTGATAGTAAATAAAAAGTTGTTCTTACTGATAAAGAGAAAATGGATGAAATAAATAATATTTGTAAGGAAATGGGATTGGATGAATTCAAGACAAAGTAATAGTAATCTGCTAACCCCCCATAAATAATCAAAGCGATAACTCCAAGTGCTAACAGTAGACCAAAAAATCCATAATCTAAATACATTTAGAAAATGCTTTAATGCATTGATGATTCAAAATTAGAAGATTATTCTGATATTGTCCCAACATTTTAACACCTTTTTAGCGGGTTCTTCAATAATTAGCCTCATTATAATCACTTAGATGTAATGAGAGAAATATTTAGCATTTTCTCATAACACATTGATAAAGTTGATAATGTTGATTCTCTCTTAGGTAAGTACAAATCAAATCCTTTGGCAATCAATCCAAATGAACTTGTCTACATTAATGACCCTCATAGATTGATTCAATACTCCACAAGAACTGGGGTTGATATACAATAATACATCTAGAGACAGATGGTTTTTAATAAGCGACTTTAAAACGATTCAACGAATTTAGGAAAGTAAGAACGATATTTTAGAGTAGTGAAAACCAAAGAAGAGGTATATGGTAATAAATATAATAACAATAGATATAATAACTAGGTCGTTTATGAGAAAGTAAGGATGGACAGAGTTACCTCATGGAATTGGACTTAGAACATCATGGAATGTATTGTGGACTTGGTCAAAACCATAGATCGATTTAAATAAATTGCTTTTCTTTTAGAAAGTCAATCACTTCCCTTTTAATAAGAATCTAGGGAGGAAGGATCTATTAAAGAAAAACATCGAAAGATGTTAAAAACTAGGAACCAAGGCATAACAAATATTTGATATAATTCCATCAACATTTTTGTTGCCAAAGGAATATGTGTAATTTATGGAAAAGTTTTATAAAGACTCAGAATCAGAAGGACAATAGAATATTTGGATTATGAAACCCACAGGAAAATCTAGAGGCAGAGGCATAACAGTGTTAAATGATATATCTGATGTCATGTATGCTGAGCCTGTGGTGTTACAGAAATATCTTAAGAATCCTCTTTTATTGAAGGGACATAAATTTGATATGAGAATATATGTTCTTGTAACATCATTTAATCCTTTGGAAGTATTTCTTTACAAAGAGGGCTTTGCTCGTTTAACTACACAGCCTTTTACTCTTGATATCAATGATCTCAAAAATCAGCTGGTTCATTTGACCAACTTTGCAGTGCAAAAGACTCATGTGCAAATACAAGATTTGGAGTCTCAATTGGGAGGTTGTAAAATATCTTTACGCCAATTGAGAGAGAAACTAATAGATAGAAATATAGATTGGAATAAGATTTGGGAGTAAGTGTAAGATATTGTATTAAAATCTTTGGTTGCCTGTTAATCTGAAATACCAAATAATCCAAATAGTTTTGAGTTATTTGGGTATGATATTATAATAGATACGAATTAAAAATGTTGGCTATTGGAAGTGAATGCTTCTCCCTCTTTAGCTAGAGATTATATTTTGGATGAATTGATAAAATAACAGTTGATTGATGATATCTTTGATTTGATTGATAGTCCAAATTACGACAGGTAGAGATTGTGTGAAGTGTTGGAAAGGAGGATTCAAGAGGAACAAGGATGTAAATCAGTCATAAACACTATGAACAACTCTAAATTACAATTGCAAAGAGATCTGAACTATATTTTAAATGGGAGTCACTTGCGGAGGTATGGGGAAATGCCAAAATAGATGGGAGGATTTATGAGATTGGCTCCTTCAGAGAAGTATGATAAGTTGAAATCTTTAGTTTAAAGTTATAAGACTATCAATGGTAGAGGAACTATAGATTGAGTTTATTATTTATTTTACAATATACTTTTTATCTTACACAATCGATCGTTTTAGGACAATCTATAAATAAAATTAATAGTAATTTATTATGTTTTAATTTACAGACAGATAGATTTAGATTCCAGAAAACAAAAGAAAAAAATCAGAAATATCATCATTAATCCATGAGTTAACAATGGATTAAAAGATTTCTCTATGTGTTGAAATTTTGGAAAGGAATCCAGAACATCGTAGACCAGAAGATCTGCAAGTAAAATGCATATCATAACTAGATTATTTAAGCATTTACAAGCAAGAACAAATTTTTAAAATAGATTCAAGAGGAGGAAGGAGAAGGAACCCTAAGGGAATGCTACAAAAGAATGCTCATTGAGTTTTATGACGAAGTATAGATTACATTGATATAAAGAATTAAGTAGTTTTAGAGTAGGGAGAAAGGGCTCATTAATTTTTTATCATTTTGAGTGGGAATGTTTCGGTTTATGTGTACAGAGATCCAAAAGTTGATGTGCGAGAAGAGGGTTTAGATAAAGCAGCTCTAATTAAAAAAAGGTATGTCGATTAAAAATATTAGAGAGATCATTCAATACAAATAAACTCATTTCAGGTGAGAGTTTTGGAGAAATGGCATTGTTAAATGATAACCTAAGATCAGCAAGTATTATTTGTGATAGTAAATGCATCTTTGGAGTTCTAAGTAAAAAGGATTATAAGGAAATATTATAAAAAGCCCATGAAAATAGAGTCAATTAACAATTGAAAGAGTTCCATGGCTGTATGAAGTAGTATAATGTTTCCACAAAATTATTGGATATTCTCTTTACTGCTTTTCAAAGTTTCCACTACTAATTCAGATAAACTGTTTATTTTCAAGGTCAATAGAGTAAATAAGAAATATATTTGATCAAAAACGGGGAATTCCTAATCACAGAGAGCAATGACAATTTATTCAGTCCTAAGAAATTTGTTTCAAATGTGGCATTATTGTAAAAAGGTCAATTCTTTGGAGATCACGAATGCTTTTAAAATATTGAAAAACGACAACAAAATGTTATCTGCAATTCTGAAAATGGGGTTGTCTTAAAAATTCAACTTAGTAGTTTAATTTAAAGACTGTAATCTACTAATCAGATGCACTTATATGATTAGTTGCGAAATGCTTGTTTATAGAGAGAATAAGTAAGATTGGAAAGGAAATCAAGACAACTGACTCAGGATGATAATTACTTCATTGATATGAAATACGTTAAATAAAGAAATCTCACCTATCAAGTGAAAAGTGTTCGATCGGCTAAAAGAAATACCTTTAGCATTCGAAGTCCCTTGCAGATAGCTTAGGATGTTATCAGGAACAAAAAGCAAGTCTACTTACAATTATATAAAGAAGAAGACTATAGACCTCAAACTTAATAAAGACTAAATCATACATTCCGACCAAATATTTAATAACTAAGGAGACAGACTTGGGAATAATTCTTAATAAATGATTAAAAGTATATCAATTGATACGAATTCCATTTTTCCATTCTCCATTAGATATCTTACCGTTTGGTAATCTTAGTTAGGCCTTCCCATGCTGTTTGTCATTCTACCACTCTCCCTCATATACTCTGCCATCTGGAAACTTCAAAATACCATAACCATGCTTTTGATCATTCACGAAATCTCCTTCATACACTTTTCCATCCGGCCATAGATATTTTCCCTTCCCATTTCTACTCTAATCATTTACATGATGTACTTCTTATTGTTTTTCCAATACCCTTGGTAATATTTACTATCTGGCCAAGTGTATTTGCCAAACCCATCTATATTATTACCTCTAAACTCCCCCTCGTAGATAGCTCCGTCAATCCACACAAATTTACCCAAACCTTCCTTCTTACCATGCTTATAGAACCCTTCAAAATAACTACTTTACACTTATCATCATACCTCCCATCTGGCCATTTTTCACTTCCTTTGCCATGCTGCAAATCGTGTTCCCATTGACCAGTATAAGTGGCTCCATCTTCATGAATGTATGTGCCCAATCCATGTGCTTCGTCATTCTCCCATTACCCTTCGTAAACCTCCCCATTTGAGTGTATCAATCTCCCTCTCCCGTGAGCATTGCCCTAATAAAAGTAACCCTCATATTTTGATCCATCCTTTGAATATATTCTGCTTAATGTACCTCGCATATCAGAATGCCTTTGCCATGTCTAAGATCATTTATCCATTCCCCAAAATACATTGCCCCATTCTCCAACTTGCTCGGTGCCTTCAGAACTTTCTAGTGTACAAGTTAATCATTTATATCGTCAATTCCAAATTCAAATGGAGGTAGCTGCCTCTAACCCACATTAATCACACTTGTGGAATACCTACCTAAAAAACAGAGGCTACGTTCTTAACTATTCATTAACACTATCGTTGTATTTTTGTAATTGCATTTTCCAAACCCTTTAACGAGCTTACCAGCCACGGATCCAGGACTACACCCTTATGATCTTTTGTTCCTAACTCTTTAACAGTTCCAAACTCTACCATCTTGGTTTTTAACTCCCCCTAACCTCAATCTAATTTATTGGGTCATGCTTCCAACAGGTACAATTATTTCCCATATTAAAAAAAATATTTATAATTAAATGGGATTAAGTTAAACCTCTGCACACGAACCCAAGTTCTTTTCATATTAGATACCCAATCTCAAATATGCTAACGAACACAATTAATAATGGTTCGATAGAAAATTGTCAATGCTATCGATATTCCATTTCAGCATCCTGGGTCAACATTGGCTGAATGAAACCATGATGATAATTATCATTAGAAAATAAAAACATTAATATATGTTAGCTTATCAGTTGATTAAGTAAAGTGAGAAAACTAAATTCATTTATTTGAAGTTTGTTTTGAAATTTCTAAGGTAGGAGGCACTGTTTTGGCTTTTAGGATATATTTATTAGTTTGATTAACTCCTTAAGGCTTAGTGTGATAAATTAGATTTCCTATTTCTTGAATATCGCTTACATTTTAATATTTATTTTTACTTCCTTGATTTACTATTAAGAAAGAGATAAAAAAGTTGAAATGATAATTTAAACAATAGAGTTTAGATTTAAAAATAAGCAAAAAAATGAATTAGAAATGAATGTTATTTAGATTATACCTTAATTTTTAAGATTTTCCTTAAACTTTAATTATCTGTTGTCTGTAATTTACTTAAAATCAAAATAAAATACTCTAACGGTCAGAAATTATTAATTTTAGGATGAAATTCAGAGACAGAATAATCAACCGAACCAGTAATTGGAAATTTTCTTTCATTTATTAACTCACTTTGATATAGATACAAGGGTTAAAATTCTTGTTAAGAATTCAAAATCAGCAATACAGCGATATATCTTATTTGAATAAAAAGATTGTTATTGCATGGTGAGGTATGGACTGCATTTATCTGTCCATTTAAATTTATATTGAAATTTACAATTCGTAACCTTAAGAAGATCATACAAAAATAGAAAATGATTATAGCTATTGATGTCATTCATTTAATTAATTTTGCCACAGTAAATGATTTACAGTTTAGTTGGGTTGCATTTCTTAAGTAAAGCTTTGTCAATTGAGAACTCATCAAATTCTTTTAATTCAGAATACTAGAAATTGAATAAAATGCATTTAAATTCTCGCTATAATAATGATTATTTGCAATCCTAATATATAATTACAAGATTGACTAACAATCTTTGTTACATTCTTTAGTTGCCATATTTATCTGCCTTTTTCCATTCAAAAATAAAGAGGTGATTATATCAAATCTAATAATAATTATTTTATTTCTTAATAATAAATTGAATATTTAATAAAAAGTTAATAGAATTTTCTAAGCCAAAATATAGTTGATAAAATTATTCTTAATTCTCTCCTCTATCAATTAATTAAATTTATGACCATTACATCTAATTCTCATTCTATATCAATTAAATATCATAATTTTACTCCTTTTGCAATTTTGATATCAGATAAAGAATTATGATTGTTTATATTCTTTATCCTTTTTAATTACAAAAAGATCATTCAGATAAAATTTAAAATAAGAAATGAATCTCAAATTCATTAGATCTAATTGATCCTGTTAGATTATATAGAAAGGTGAGACATGGATTTCATATCGAGATATTTTTGATTTACAACTCCATAATGAAATAGAGATGGCTGGTCACGATTAAAATAATAAGTATATGAGAAATTCGATTATTAGGAACCAGAGATCCAGGCATTTGTAGAATTATAATATTAATTAATTAATAATATGTATGTATTCTTATTGATGGTTTGTATAGCACTAACAAATTAATCAGGTAATAAAATTGAACTATGATTTGAGTGAGATATATCAGTTTGAATGAAGTACTAGATGATGCAATAGAAGCCTACGATTATAAAGTTTATAGATTATAAGTGCATAATGCAGAGAAATTGTAGAATCGTACTTTGATAGTGTAATTGCTACCATAGATTGGAAATCCGAAGGTAGCAGTGGAGTGTGACACGTAATTATGAATAATAAATTATTAGGGAACCAAAATTGTTAGATTATTATGAGTGGCAAACAGGATCTTGGTTCATGCAATAACTCACAATTTCATACTAAGAAAGAAAAGCATTGAATTGTACAGATAAAGAATTTTACATTGGTGTTTCGAGTGAGGTTGTATCTGGTTATTAATTGGTAACATATGTTTTGGATGGCATTCAATAGTTGGATTACAACATTCCACTAAGGTAAAGTTAAACTACATAATAGTGGTGAATTAGTTGAGAAGGAAATCCTACAGTTTAAATTGAAGCCAATCTAATCGACGGAATAAATTACTTTACAGATTACAGCAAATTAAGTGGAAAAGTTCTTAAAGCAATGCACAAGTGAGGATTGCTCAATCACTTTAAGTGATTACGAAGGTAGTGACACTGATACAGCTGTCCATCTCACTTAATCATCGCTTACCTTTGTACACGCAAATTGCTAAGATTGCTATTATTTGGTTGGATTAAAAAGTGAAACAAAGACTCAATTTCGTATATTAGCCAAACGCAAAGAATAACACATCATTTTAAGAGAGGGAGAATAAGAGCAATTTCATGTGGAAGAAGGATTCTCTGTTTATTATTTGTACAACATCCCCAATGATACTAATATAAAAAGTGTGAAATTCCAAATCACTCAATACAATGGAACATGTATGATGTTTGGCAGTTCTTCAGATCAATATCCGAATGCTACTAATTTTGAAATGAGGAGTTCTTCATAATTGAAGGCTAGCAATACTCAAACAGTCTAAACAGTCTATTTGAGTGTATATGGCTATACTCATTGTTAGTATGGCATTTACACTTAAGTGGAAAGATATCAAACAGTCAATTAAACTCACTTCATACAACTCCAAAGTGGAGTGCCACAAAAATATTTATCAAGTGATCAATACAGTTTCTTTTACATTCAATTAACTTAGAAATAGAACTTCACGATTACATTATAAAATCTTGAAGGCAACTTCATTATGTATGTTAAGTCCAATTTAAAGGATAATGAAATCCCAGATAGCAATAGTTACTAATGGAAGGATTCCAAGTAGATTGAAATAAATATTGATGATGTTAATTATGCAACTCAATATTACATTGGAGTCTAGAGATTAAATGATCAAGGAGAATTCATTATCCAATATAGTATGCATGGAGACATCGAGTTTTATCAAGTAGGATAGTAGATTATAGGCACTGTTGCTAAGAAAAAGTTTAGATATTATAAATTGCCTATGGAACCTAGAAACATCACTATAACCAAAGACATTTACTCAGGCAATGATGTAGTTGATTTGGATATGTACATCTCTTTTGATCAAAAGAATACCCATCCCAATCTTAAAAACCATAACATCTATTTAACTGGTAAGAATCTAACCATTCCTGAGTCTGATTTGCAATGTCAATAAAATACGACCAAGATATATGAAAGGAATCCCTGTTATATTTACATATCGGTGTCATCTTCATCAGGAACTATCTTCTATACAATATCCACAAAGTATGATAATAGCAGAATCCAATTGTATGAAGGTTATCCCCAGACTGTCACCTTTGATCAAAATACTCTATTCTATTACATACTTAATCAAAAAGAGATCTCACTACAATGGTATTCCTATGGGGGAAGCCAAGCCTATGTGGAGGCCTATTTTGGTAATAAAGACAATCCTGATTTGAAATATGAAACCTTCAAGGCTCACTCTTATTTCACTTAATTTCAAAGCATTATAATCCCAGAATCGGAGAAATATTCCTTATTGTACATTCATGTTTAACCTATTCAACCTCATTATCAAGGCGACACGTACACCATTGGTATCTATGAAGAAGTCCAATTAATGACTTTATCAGATCCTATAATCGACAAGGTATAGAAAGGTTAAACCAAATTTTACAAATTAAGTTTAACTCAGGATGTCAAATCAATTGAGGTTAATGTTCATGTCAAAGGTGGTGGAGATGCTCTGACTCCCAGAGTTTCTAAAGGGAAGGACAAAAGACCTAGTTTATATGAATATGATATATATTGGACAGAAATAGTTGGATCAACATATATTCTTTAAGAAATGAGTGATCGTTATTTGGCTAAGGATGATTATATCATTGGTCTTTATGGTCAGATTGATTGCGAATTCTAGATTAGTTACAATCTTGATGATGCCAAATTTTATAATGCCTTCCTTGGTTATCCTTTTGATGTTCTATTCGTCGAAGATATTCCTTATAATTATCTTTTTAGAGACAATCCAAGTGATGAAGAATTTAAAATTATAGTGTTTGCAATTCAAGGCAAATTATAAATCAGAACCAAAAAATTGAGTATTTTTGATGATGTAAGTGCCATTACTAGTAATGATACTTTAATTATTGATGAAATTGTTACCAAACAAAAATCATTTTAAGTGAAGACATGCTAGTAGTCTAGTTGTATTTATGTAGTCGAGATCACTGCCATTTCAGGTGACACCAAAGGTTTGATTGAATTTACCAGTCACCAATATTATACAACTCTACAGGAAGGTCATCAATGGAGGGAAATCCTGAATGAATCAGAGACTTCCCTCTACCACTTTAATTCATATGTGAATGTTCAATTCAGTATCTAAATGATAAGTGGTGATATCAGATTATATTTGAAGGAAGGACAAGAACTTAAACACAATGATGAGGCCCATCATACACAGAGAATTTAGAATGATACTTAAATTCTATTCTAAAAGAAGAGTTCCAGTCCATCGATAATTACAATTAAGGTTGAATCCTTGGCTCCGACTTCTATCTTTAAAATTAGTGCAATTCGATAGTACAATTAGGTCATCACTATTCATTTGGGTCAGATGATGACTTATTTCGTACAGGCTCAAGAGACCGTCCAATTGTAATATCAATCAATCACTCAACCAACCAATAGTCAATCCAAATTCATCACATTACAAATTTAAAACATCCATTAATCGATAGACAATCTATATTTTGAAATTACTCACACTTCCATCAAACCTATCAATTATTTTAACAAATATCCAAAAGCCATTTCATATTATCTGTATGATTAGTTCGGGTTGTACAATATTTCAATCAAGGCTTTACATAACAGTACTTATGTCAGAGTGATCATCACAAATGGAGAATTAAATGCTTTGACTGATGGAGTGTCACAATACTAATTAACCAAAATTGGATAACCGAACTATTATGAGATCTTCGTACAATCAAAATCGAAACTCCTGTTGGAAGTATTCACTTGTTCAGGATCTATCTTAGTGCAGGGGACAAAGAACGAAACCAATCTCGCCAAACAAATCTTTGAAATATAAGTAATGAACTCATCGCAAGAACACATACAAACAATCCTATCACTTGAAGCTGGTACATACTATTTCCTAGTGAAATTGATATCCGCTCATACTTAAGATGAAAACAAGAATAAAATATCATCATATTATATCAAGTAACAAACCTTTATTTAAGGGGAATTAATCCCATCAACATCATTTTAATTAAGTAACAAATCCATAGATTGGTACAAAGTAGATAACAATTTGATCATTCATATTCCAAATCTAATCTAGGTTAAAAAAGATATCACATTAGTCCACGTCTATTTTATTGTTAGAATGCAATAGGCAATTGGCGAAAAGAGTCTTGCTTGCATGTTTGAATCCAATTATGTGAACAACAAGACCAATGTTTATGGTAAGTATACTCAGGTTGTGGAATAAAGCAATTTCAGCAATATAACGACTGTTACTTTTGCAACGAAGGACCAATAGGCCAAGTATTTAAGTGTCGTTGGAAAAGTGTAATTGTAAATAGAGAATGAAATCGAAGAACTTACATATCCGTTACCAATCATAGAAATGAACTATACTAACCATTAGCAGGAGTCCATCCAACAATGGGTCTTACTAGGCATATTTCTGACAATCTTGCTTATCACTGGGTTCTTCGTGTACTTTAATATAAGGAAATAAGTGCATCATTAAAACCATAACACACTCAATATTGAAATGAATTATTAAACATTTAATAATTGATGAAATAAACCCACTTTAAGAATCTTTCCCTCTTGGTCCTTGTTCTCTATGGCCTTAATTACCTAGTCGATTTGCTCACCACCTAATTTTAAAACGTAATTCATCCCACCAATCCTAGATTTATTACCTAAAACTTCTAGTTTTGATTATAATCGTTAAGAAAGTCCTAGAGCTACCGATCTCAAGATACGTGTCATAAACTACTGGATATGTGATGAATCTGTACATCCCCAAAATTCTGAGGTAACATTATATCAGTATGTTAGAATACCTATTTACACAATATTCAGCGAAATCTACAAAGTGAGAAGACAAGACATGATCCACCCCTTGAGTTACTACCAAACATTCAATAAATTCTTTACTAGATAAATTAAGCCAAGAAAGATTGAACATGGAATGATCAGCCCAGCTGACTCAAAGATCTTATCCATCAGTAAAGTAACAAAGAATGAATGTTTACTTGTCAAAAGAGTGACATACTAAATTGGATAATTTTTGACAGGCATCAAGGGATACGAGATGGAATTCAAAAAAAAGCAAGAATCATCAAATCTTTGGTCATGTATTTTTTATCTTGCACCTGGGGATTATCATCGTTACCACTGTCCTGTTGACTTTATTGCAAAAAGCAGGTTGCACATTCCAGGGAAATTAGCACCTGTCAAAGAAAGCAGCCTTAGATAAGTATATTCTTTTTTCAAATTCAATTAGGGATTATATGAAGGAAATGAAAGAGTGGTTCTTGAAGGAGAATGGGAACAAGGACTCATGTACATTATATTCATTGGTGCAACTAATGTTGGTTCGATGAAGGTCAATTTTGATTCTGATTTGGCTACAAACACCAACACGTATCATAAAAGTGGCTATCGAAATTATTCAAATCTAACTGTCACTGCTCCTTATTCATCTTGTGAAAAAGGTGTTCACATTAAAAAGGGACAGGAAATAGGTAGATTCGAAATGGGTACTATTCGCGTTGAGTATTTTAATAGGATCTACTGTTGTGGTCATTTTTGAAAGTACATCAATCGAATGGAGTGCGAAGGCTCAATAAAAGGTTTATTTCGGACAGTCAGTTGCCTCATATTGACATAAATAATGCGTATATGTACATTATAATAATATAAGTCAAATATTTGAATGAATTTTAAACATTGCTTATATTCTTTCTAAAGTTTTGTATAAAGATTATTATGTAATCTAAAAGAGGAGAATTTTTATAAGAGCTCATTTTCGAAATCGAATAATATTCACTTGACTATGAACACAATGAGTCCTAAATTCAACTGAAATTAAGTCAGTTATGTATCGAACCATTGCTTCAACATCTATTACCGAAAAAAAAATCAATTCGTAAAAGGATGACCAAAAAATTGGCAATAAAAAACAAAGAGTCCAAAGATTTTCAATAAATCCAAGAAGGCCTTAAAACATTATGTCTAAATGACTGTTCCTAATCATTCCATTAAAAAGCAAGTTTTAATAATTTCTTAAAAAATTATTGACTGAGTATAATGATTGAACTTGTTTTGTATTTTCAAGTTAAATAATTTTATTATGAATCAGAATGAGTATCTCCCAGTCAACATGAATGCTCAATCACTAGCATTTCCATTGTACATTCCTCAGTTTATGAGTTCCCAATAAATCTTTTTTCCCTTCATGTACTACTAGTTCCCATACGTTCAACCCTTACAGCCATAATAAACTATCCCACAACCTCCTTAACCGAATGAATAAGAACAAAAGAAAAGCTGTTCCTAGTTTGTATCTGTTAGCGGTACACGAATAACGCTGAATCTAAAATTGATCAAAGAGCTACCTCAAGCCACTCCAACTACCATCCATGAAGAAAATGAGTCGGAATTATTTAACAAATAGATAGACAAACATTTTAAAATTATCAAATAGAGCAAGAATATTAAGAGACACATTTCCACTCGTAATGTGCACGTAAACTCAGATTAAACCAATCAACCCTATAAGTTCTATTTTAGGAAAAATGACGGCTTCATTCATATAGGCAAAGGGCATTAGACTGAGATCACGAAGAACAAATTCAATTTCAATATGATGAGAATGAAATTACAATAGTTTAAGGTTTGGAATCAAGCAAATATGCCCTTATGTAAGAATGCCTTTATGTTTAGATGATGAGATCAAACAGCTCTTGAATTTGACTGATGATAAAACACTTTAAATATTATCGTCATTCAAAAACATTAAGCTACTACACAGAAAATTGATGAACGGTGATCCAATTGCATATGAGGAAGTTTAAAATCTACTAATAAAAAAACATAGTTAATGATTATTGAAATAAATAGATAATCTTATTTTACTCTTCTTCATCATAATAAAATAACTTTGATCATTAAATTTTGATTCATTACAATAACACAAAACATATCAACACATGAGTCAAATCGTTACATATCTAATTAAGGAGTTTGGCTTAATATTTGTTATAGCAAAAGTTAATAAAATTAGACATTAAATTATTTACTCTGATCTAAAATAAATATCATATCGCAAATGCATTCTAAATGTAAACTAATAAGTTCAGCAACAATAGATGTTGGTTAATTTCTTGTTTGCTCCTAACTTTGCAAATAAAATTTATTTTATAATATAAATCTTTATCAGAAATTATAAATTATTTTCAGTAACATTCAATTTTTATTTTGTCATTAATAATATATATAAATTATAAAATAATAAAACATCAATTCTTGGTTTAATTGTTGGATTATTAATGTTTGATAAAGAAATGCAATTAATTCATAAAATCATAAATTAGCCTTCTAATTTACTTATCCCTACATGTACCTATTTTAGTCTATGATAGATTCTATCGAAAAGCCATATAATCTTCATCTGATATGAGTTCGCTAGTAAATATTTTTAAATCCCAATTATTTTTAGCTAAAATTTGAATCAAATTATTTTTAGAAAAAAATTAAATGCTGCTTCTTTTCTTACCATTCTTAATTTTTTGTCATTCTCGCGTCCATGGGATTGTATTGCCTTAAATTACTCCATAATACTATTTTTGATGTTGCAATTTATTGATTATTTATTTTGGCTTTTTATTCGCATTTAATTTATACTAAAAGAATAACAATCCCTTAGTGATTTCAAATCAAATGAAATTTTTATGATAGGAACCTTAAAGTTTCATACATTTTTTACCAAATATGTTGTTGCTACGAATTCACAATAAGCAAAAAAAGAGAAGAATCAGAAATAAGCATTAAGGGGAGGATTATAATTATTGGGATATATAAATTAATTAAATAATCAATCATCTTCGCATTTTACAAATTAACTTACCTACTTGCTAAATAATCCTCTTTTATTATTTTAATGAGATTTCTATGTGTGTTGTGACTTGTGAGATTTAGCATCAGGGGCAACAACGCTTTCTTCAATCAGAGGATTCCCAATCTGACTGTCATCTTCATCCTTATTTTTTTCTTCATCCTCCTATCGTTACTCTTGTTGGAAACTTGACCATTTTTTTGTCTTCATGTTATTTCTTAAAAGCTCCCTTGGCTGGTTATTTGTGAGGATCGTACTTGTACTTATTTTCTAGCTCATGATCCTGCTCTTCTGCAACTTGTTAGGCACAACAAGATGATCCCATTTTAATTAAATAATATAAATCAAATAATACTCTCTAAATTATATTAAATTAAAATCATAGAAGTATTTTAAGATTCTCTGTACATCACTTGGCTAGTTCTTACTATCCTTCCCATTTCTATATACTGATAAACAGATCAACCACGGAAAATATTTAATCAAATGATTAAAATGTGTTGTCCCATTCAACCTAATTGATATCCGATACCTTTGAGATCCAATGAAGCAATAAGCATATCATATGTGAACTAATAAATTTATATGGAATTTTGAAGAAGCATTTACATTCAATTAAATATTCTAAGATGTTAGAATCAAATTATTAAACTAATGTTTAACTTTCAATAATTTCTAATTTTTTTTATTCCCTTGAATTGTAAAGGGAGTAATTCTCAGTAAATTAGTAATAAAATAATTAGAGATGTTTCCAATTTCCCTTATATATATAAAGGCCAATAAAAAAATTGAGCCTTGTTGCTATTAAGATATTATAAAATAAGCAAGGTATTATGATTTAAAAAGTGTAAAAACTAAATTTTCACAATTTTTTTAACTAATAAATTATTACTCCAAATCGAATTAATAAAAAAAGTAATATTATTTTTGCAATTTTTTTAATTTTCTGCATTATGCTAGCATTTTAATATACCCATGCAAACTAAAAATTGGAAGTCTCAATATATATGCCAAACTAAATTTAAGAATGAATCCAAAAGTTATATACACTCTCTACCTCGATTTAGATATCTAATTGTTAATGCAATTATATTCCAAATTGTTTAATATGAAAAAATTTTATCAAAGAACTTCATCTCACAATCAAGATCGAACCCCGGATTCTTATTGTTTATTTTATTTTCTTTGTGCCATTCTTAAGGCGGAGAAAAAAATTTGATCGCAAAATTATTCCAAGAAAACTTGTGAGATCGAGTATCAAATTAACGTGATAATTATCTTGATACTCCTGTATCTCTAATTAATTACACATGGTTTTATTGATTTATTCCTTGGCAATAGGTTAAGTTAGACTTCCCTATTAGAAACATGTAAATAATCATATTTCTGTTTAATTATGATTTGTACAATTCTGCCTAAGAAATGCGTAGATTCTTTAGCTAATTTAAAACTTTCAAGGTTTTGTAAAATTAATTGAGCATAACATGAAACTATTAAAATCAAGCAGAACATAATTATATTAATCAAACAAAAGGATTGTTTCTCAATTAATCATACTTGCTCGGCTATTGAGTATTATAAAGGTTCCTTATGTCTTACACATCTTTTGCAAATGGATTATTTTAGTATTTTTAATTTTAAAATTAGTTAGTTGCATCAAAACTATTGAATTATTAGTTATTATAAAAATTAGTATTATTAGTATTATTATTATTCTGACTTCCTTAATTAGTTTAAAATGAGAAATTGTTAAAATCTTAATATATTTACTAATTATTATTAGCAACATTATTATTTTAATTGTCAAATCCGAAATTTTATTTATTATTTTAGTAATTTTGATTAGTATTTTGATATTATTAGTATTATTAGGAATTTCCAGATTGCTATTTATTGGCAAATTACTATTGCTATACCTAAGGTTATTATTAATTTGTTTAATAATTAATTTGATTAGGTACTTATTATTACATTTAAGGTTATTATTAATAAGCAAAATTTGTTGTTTAATAATTAGTCTAAACATTTTATTTTCCAGGAAGAGGAGGCTTGCTACTTGCTTAATTATACTACAATGGTGATTATTACTATACTTATTATGTCTATTATGTAGGTTATGATCCCCAGCCCTATTATTAATTATTAGACCCAAAACCATTATTTGTAGGATTTATTACTTAGTTTTGTTGGCACTAGTAATTCATTTACTAATTCGCTGGTTATTATTATTGCACTTAGGCTTGTTTCTAAGCTTACTCCCATGATTATTAATTTACAGAATTACTTTATGGATTGTGACTATTGAAATGTTAATGAGTTTATTGTTGTAAAGCTGGTTGGTGAGCTTTATTGTGAGCCGTGAATTATGAATTATCAGCTAAGGTTGAATGGGTTAATAAATCAAATTCATTTAAGTTACTATTTTTTGGTTTAAAAGTGGGAGATTAATCTTCATTCAATTATTACTTTTTAGGAAATATTGAAAATTGGTTGGTTTACTATGATTGATTGTTGGGCACCCCTGAAACAGTGGAGAAATGATTAAACGAATTCCAATCGAATTGAGTTCCCTTATCTGGTGAGATAAGATTAGCATCTTTTTGTGTTTATCTAGAGTCTATACTAAATTGCCTATTATTTCTTTGAATTCCTTATTGCTAAGTAGAAAGAAATTGCTTCATATCATCTTTTACCTGTTAACCTTGACTCCCATTTTCACTAAAAAATGTGTTTGTTTTTGAAACTCTAAAAGGTACTCCGCTCATTAGACATTAGGTATATCTGGTTTTTGGATCAGCTAGTCCCTACTTTACCCAAGTTCTCTTTACATACTTTTCCTAAACAAAATATTTGATTTCCTCTGGAGTGGCAGAAGGTTAAATCTTATTATTCTTTTGTAATCTGCTTTCCCAATACCTATATTTATTCTTGTTAATATACTCGTTCTGATCGTTTCCCAAGGCGTCCATCATATCAACGTTTTCTTGAGTCCAACAATCTAATTTAGTTGATCTCACTCTAGTTATATTTTAACCGAGGGCTCTGTGTTATCCTAAAAGAATATAATATTGAAATACCTGAACAATTATAGCATACAAAAACTCCGAAATCCAAAGACGTCCAGGTGGGAGACTTTGATGAACAATCTGCACAGATCAAGTTGCATTACTTTTTAAGTATTTTCAAGAAGGCTGCTTCTTATTGCTTTGTTGATAGTACTCCTTAATGACTCATAAATTAATTATAAAATTATTTTGATTAAAAAATATTCCTCTTTTCTTAGGATGTCAACCATATATAAATCAATTATAAGCGACAATTTTCAAATTACATTTTGTAAGCCTTTCCAAATTATTAAATAAAATCCCATTAAATTTACATTCCAAATATACTTTCCAAGTTTAAAGAGTAAAATTGATACTTTAAATTTAAAGATCAAATGATAATAAAATACAATTAAGTCATACAACATTCCTAGACATATTGTGAAATAATATTTTATAAATAATATCCATGTGATTATGTTTTCTGTATAATTATTAGATCATTTTTCATATTTAGCCTAGTCGAATTCAAAATAATCTATATTTTGAGTTTATCCAATCTGTTTTCATTCTTCCTTGTGGTTGTTGAAACAATGGGAACAGTTTGTTGGTTTTTCTTGTTTAATTATTCATATTCCTGATTGTCTCTTTGGGGAGCAATCTATTCAAGTACGATTCGTCATGTGATATGTGACTTTAAGATGTGGCTTTGCTTTTAAAGGATGTTTGCGATGAAGAGATATTACCGAAGATTTGTTTAGGGGATTATACATATTTCATGTTGTTAATGTCAGCTGGTACGAAGTGTGACCTAGTAGATTTATGTGGTTTTTATGGTTATTTGATAAGATTGCGTCTCAAGAGTTTCAATTGATTGAGAATGTGCGAGGTTTGTGGACGCTCTGAATTCGATTTGAATTCATCCATGGAAAAATAAAATTTTATATGCAAAATCAATTATGTAATAAAAGTAATTAAAGACGATTGGAGATTCAAATCCAGTTAAATATGAATTAATTGGATTTTGTTAATTGATATAATCGGAGTATTTGGTTGCATAATAAAATTATATTAATCAATATTTAATTCCGCCAAATAAATGCGCGTAACCACAATAATTTAATATATATATATATATTTTGAATGACCACCTTCGACGGAGAGAAAATATACTACACCAATCAGAAATTCACAACAGACGAGTACCTAATTTTGTTCACATATTTAATAGAGAATTCAATCATGAATCAACGATTACCGACGCAGGAAAAAGAATTTTAAAATTTCTGAAGGAATTTCATTTCCAAGACAAATTCATCTATAGAGATCAACTCAAAGAGAATGTGGCCAACAATGAATACATTTTGAGAGTTGAAATTAACGATATTGAAAACTCTGATAAGGAATTATACTCATTTATTTTGGATCGTCCACAAGACATTCAAGAGACTTTTGAAGATAAAATAAAAGAAGTAATCGATTATTCCTAAAATCAAGCTATATTCTTAAGAAAAGATGATAAACAAGAGCGATTGTCCAGATTTTCAATTGCAATTAATTTCATAATAAAATCCAGATCTGCTTCGTAATTTAACAGCCTAATAAATTGGAAAGTTGGTTACAATCAAATGCATTATCTCAGCATCCAAATCAATAAAAGTGAAGGCAAAGAAATTATTAATAAGATGCAGAGAATGCCAAGATGAATAAAATATCAATCTTGGATATGGACCAAAACCAGTCAATTTACCAAGATATTGCTTAGGAAAGGCATAATAAAAGGGAGCCTAAACAGATGCATAATGTCCAACAGATCCATACGTGATAATTCCAGAAGAATGCTAATTTATTGATTAATAAACTCTCAGAATCCAAGAGCTTTCTGAAGCAATACCGACAGGAGAAGTTCCAAGGAATTTCATGGTCTATTGTGATCGATATCTAGTCAACAAACTAATTCCTGGATAAAGAGTGATAATCACAGGAGTTTATTAAGTGCCTCCAAAAGGATCAGCCACTATTAAAAGTAATGCAATAGATGCTGAATTACTTCTCCCATATATTCATGTATTTGGAGTATAAACCAATAAAGTGAATATCAAACAAGCATTATCTGAGGCTTTAAGACAAGAATTCAAATCCTTAAGCAGAAATAGAGATGTCTATAAAATCATTACTAATTCAATAGCACCAGCTATTTATGGGCATGAAGATATTAAATTGGCAATTGCCTGTTTGCTCTTTGGAGGAACATCAAAGAACCTTCCAGATAGTATGAAATTAAGAGGAGACATCAACGTTCTTTTGATTGGTGATCCAAGTACAGCAAAGTCTCAATTATTGAAATTCGTTGAAAGAGCAGCAGATATTAGTGTTTACACAAGTGGTAAGGGAAGTAGTGCAGCTGGTCTTACTGCAACAATAACATATCAACACAATACATCATAATTTACTTTGGAAGCAGGTGCATTGGTATTAGCAAGTGGAGGAGTGTGTTGCATCGATGAGTTCGATAAAATGAGATCAGAAGATAGAGTTGCTATGCATGAAGCTATGGAATAGTAGACTATTTCTATTGCTAAGGCTGGTATTACTACTAGATTAAATGCTAAATGTTCAATATTGGCTGCTGCTAATCCTATCTTTGGTAGATATCAGGAGAACAAGTCGATCTAAGAATAAATTGAATTGCAAACTACTATCTTATCTCGTTTTGACAATATCTTCATTATTAGAGATGTGAGATCCATTGAAAATGATTAGAGATTAGCCAATCATATCATTTCTCTTCATACAGGATAATTTGCTGATTAAGAAGGAATGTAAATTGAATAGGATAGCAACAATTCTATGGATCTCATGAAATTAAAACAATACATCAAATATGCAAAATCTATTGTTAAACCTTTACTTACAGAATAAGCAGCCTAAATGATTCAGAATCTATATGTCGATGACAGACAAATAAGTCAACAACCTCATCATTCAAAAAGTGGAGGCAAATCACACATACCCATTACTGTAAGATAATTGGAAGCCATTATTAGAATCAGCGAATCGTTGGCTAAAATGCAATTGCTTGAACATGTCAAAGAAGAGCATGTCAAAGAAGCTCATAGGTTATTCCAAATATCTACCATGATGGCAGTTTCATTAGGATCTAAGTATTTTCTTATTCTATAATTTTAGAGAATTTGGCCTTGACTTATCCAATGACTTAAAATAATTAGTTGCTAAAATTGAGGAATCTATCCTTAGAAGAATAAGCATAGGATCCAAACTGCCAGCCAACAGATTGATTCAAGAACTATCTGATAGATTCAATAATTAAAGGGCAGTAGAGTTTGCCATACATAATTTAATTTAAACCGAATAACTCTAATAAGTAGAAATGAAGAGAATGCTAATAAGGAAAAAGTGATTTCTATATTTTTCTGAAAGTTTTATATTGCTGTAATCGATATTTAATTGATATAATCAAATTTATGCTATTTTTTCGACTTACAAGTAAATGCCATTTTAAATGAAATTCAATTTCTCAGGCTTTTAATAACTGTAATTTATAGATAAATTTATTAAAAATATAATTGTATTTCTGCTTCAATTGCATTTTTGGATATCACTTGAGGGAGATGAGTCAATAATTAACTAGGAATGGAGAAATTCTTTAAACCTTAAGGACTCTAATACAAATCCAGAAGTATTCAATACTATTTAATTTAGAATTTGGATAATGGAATCAGAGCCTTTGTTTTAAAAGGGCTGAAAAAATAGTTTTTAAGAAATATTATGGAACTTGGAAAATTAATCTAATGTTTCAAGGGGATGAGTTAATATATTGTTTTTGCTCACAGTTTTCATATTTAGATTATATATATATAAAATAATTTATTAAATGGACGCTAGCTATAATTATGATTAATATGCTTAAAAGGCATACTCGGCAAATGTATTTAAAGTGGATGAATCTGAATTTATTATTGAAAAGAGATACAAACCAACATAGTAGTGTAATTTTTCTTCATGATTTCAGTGGGAAGCGGTGCTTACGGCATAGTGATTGGTTGTGAAGATACAAAGCCAAATACGCCAGAATAAAAAATGGTCGCCATAAAAAAAATTGAAAGAACATTTGAGCATCGGTTTTATGCTAAAAGAACACTGAGAGAGTTAAAGATTTTAAGAAACTTAAGGCATGAAAATGTAAATTTGTGATAAAATGAATTTAGATTGTTAATTTAATCACTCTGCAGTTACCGAAGTCAAGAAAGCATTTTTATGATATGTAAATACAACACTTAATTGTATTTATAGTTATTGTGTAACAGAACTATTGGACACTGACCTAAAACGAGTAATTGATAAGGAACATGCAAAATTGAATTAAGATCACTTTAAATTGTTTCTGTATTAAATTCTCAGAGCCTTAAAATACATGCATTCAGCCAACATTTTGCATAGAGATCTTGTATGAACATAAATTCTAATCTAGAAACCAACAAATCTGTTATTAAACAAACAGGATTGCATGTTGAAGGTTTGTGACTTTGGATTGTCGAGAGCCTTATTATAGACAACAAAAACACAATAGCAAAATCCAAATATAATGACAGATTATGTTGAAACCAGATATTACAGAGCTCCAGAATTATTGTTAGGACTTAAAACTTATACTCAAGCAGTGGATATATGGAGTGTGGGATGCATATTCGCAGAAATAGTTAGAGGCAAAACCCTGTGGAGAGGATAAAATTGTAATTGATACACATTATTTTAGCTAAGCAATAAATCAAAATGATTTTTGAAACTCTTGGAACACCTTCGAAGTCAAAGATTATGTAAGTTCAAGATACCTTCGTATCCTCTAAACTAATTGAATTAGTTTCAGAATTAGGTACTCTAGAAAGAGTTCCTTGGGATAAAGTGGTTAAAGGTTTACCACCTGAAGGATATGATCTTCTCGAGAAACTATTAGAAGTTGATTATAAGAAAAGGATCACAGCTGCTGAGGCTTTAAAACATCCATACTTAAAGGAATTACACAATCCAAGTGACGAGGTACTCAATTTTTACTTATTTTTAATAGCCTACCAGATCTCCAGTATCCAATATGGAGTTTGAATTTGAAATGTATGAGTTCACTAATGAATAGCTTAAAGGTAATTAATTCTATTATTTTAGATATGATTTATGAGGAAATTCTCTTGTATCATTATCCTGATTTTAAGAAATAATATGAAGAGAAGATTGCCAATAATTAAAGTGTGATAAACCACATTATGAAGGGTGAAAGTGCTAAAGTAATTGATCCGGAAGCGGATGACGATTATCCCATTTGATCTTAAACAAAAGATATAAATATTTTATATAATATACAAAATTTTAAATAATCTAAGCAAAGTCAATCATTAACTATGAGATAGATGTTATAAATACTATCAGCCAAAATGAATTCTATCAACAGTTCAAGCAAGACATTAAAATGTTCTTCCTTTTGGGATTGGGTTTTATCTTTCACGAAAATTCTAGTGATAATTAATATGTTTTACTTATTCTCTTTGCATTTCTACTTTGATATCTTATGGCTTTTATAATATACCTAGTTAAACTACAAAAATACTCTTTTCCATTTTTATTCAATTTATTTAAACTTCTATTTACAAAGAGGGCACGTGTTTTCAATCTAAATATTATGGATTATAGTACATTTGACCATTTTTTGATGCAAGTTAAACAAAATGAGTGATTGCAACTATCCAAATGTCCCTGAAAGTATTTGTTTCAATTTACTTATTATTCTATTGCATTATAACATATTCCACATTATTCTGCCTTCGATTAAAATCGTGTCTGCCTTTATTATGGTGCTTTCATTTTTGTTGCTTTTAATTATTAAATTATTAAATTAATGAAATTTTTCCTTTTTATCTCAATTTTTAAGAACAAGTTGAATTGTATTTTTGATACAAAATGTTACATATAGTATGAAGAAGTTGATGCATATCATAAAAAAGTTTTGACTTTTCATTTTATTAAATAAACATGGCAAAGATAAATATCATAGAATTAATTTATGATTAGTATTTAGAGGATGATAGGAATATAATTTATATGTATTATAGTAATTAGTACAAACATATCATAAAGTATTCAAATTGCTCTGAAATCTAAATCTAAATCTAATTTTATAAAATTGCCCTTTTTCTGTATCAATTCAGCTCATTCAATGAGTAACCACTAATTTACCTTAATAAACATTAATTCAACTTTTAATCAAGTAACTGTTTGAGTTTGGAATAGGAATTAAATTACAAATGATTAGAAAAAAGATGGAGTATAAGCATTCCTATTATCTAAATGGAATAGAACTTATTTTTGATTTCAAATAATGGAAGAGTTTCATCCTAATGAGATAGCGCATTTTGCTTTCAAAATTCTAAAGGTTATGAAGTATAAACAGTAATTAATTAAGAATAAATAAATATATTTTATTCATTGATTGTGTTAATATTAAATTCACTAACTTGCAAGAACTGTATGATCTTCCTCTTCAAATGATTGGAGTTGTGCAAATGAAAATGTTATAGATTCCATGCACTGCTAGTTTGCAATGAAGGAGGTTCTCTAACCTTCATACTTTTCTTTATTAAAAAGATATAATCTTCTTGATACTGGGACTGTTAAGGATCTGATTGGTTTAGACCATCCATATCCTGGTAGATCTGGAATTCTGTCACAAACAGTGATTGAGTCTCCTTTAAAGTTGCATTCAGAGAAAAGTTCAGCACAATCTGGATCAAAAATTTTGTAAGTGGTATCAGCAACAAAAATGGCAGCTTAATGGAAAACTCCATACATTTAAGTGTCCCACCCTTAAGGTATAATAATATGATTATGTACATGTCACTAGATTGTATTACAATTTTGATTCAAGTACTACTTTATTGTATGACAATCTCATGTTTCTAGCTCTTTCGACATCATAACCTCTGAGTGTAACAATAGGAACTCTTGGACCGCTCTACCACACTTTTGGTAATTCAATGGTTTATTAGACTTCAGCTGCACTTGGTGCTCTTTTGACGAAGGGATGACTTGAAGCAGGATCATTGTAGAATACATATGCAGGTGAGACCCACAAAGATTGATCAGTACCCAAAAGAACGTTGAATCTTACAAATTCCAATTATGCTTGCCAATATGTTCTAGCTGAGACAGTAACAGATTTTGGTGTTACTTGTTCGACCTAAAATGCAAAACATTGATTACTTTGACTTCCACTATTGGATTTGTCAGCAAGTGTTTACAACCAATCAAACCTACAATTGCGTTTGTTGCATCTTTGAGACTGTGCTCAATTGTGAATGATACTTTTCTTTCGCCTTATCCAGTTTTTAATTCTTTGACATCTGTTGATTCGAATGTGACCACTTGAATTCTGGGATCATAAATTGCATACCAATCAACGAATAAGGAATAGAGAGGAGAGGGACCTACAGCTACTCCACTCAATTTGAATCCTTAGGATTGATAATTTTATATTATTACCTGTGGTTGTGATATCGCTAACTCTCTCCATATACCCATGAGGTAAACCAACACTCCAATCTAGTAATTATGCGGAGATGAACACTTAAGGAGGAATTTCGAAGGCTTTCTTGAATTTTACGTCCACAACCACTTATCTTGGAACTCCTGCTTGGGCTTCCAATATGTGACCGGCAGCATATTGCACTATGACCTATTGAGCTGCCTCGAATTGTGGCGTCCTGTAACAGAGCGCCAGTGATAATATCGCTATCAGAACTGCTATCTTCATAAATCCGTTTTTATATTATATAAATTATATTATTCTCTTGATCGATAATAATTTTAATCAACTCTATAAAACAATGGCTTTTTCTGCTTCTCCTTAAACAACCAGGAAATTCCTCAAAAATTTATATTCTATCTTCAAAATCAATTTCTCAATTAAGAACTAATCTTTTAATCGAATTACATAATCATAAATCATTTTTACATATATATTTCATAAAATGAATGTATGTTCCAATTTTGCATTGTCCTTGACAGGCAGTTTCCATGAGTGCAGAAATTGTGGTAGAGAAAAGAAATTTCATCGTCTTGACTTTGAAAGCAACAACATTGAGTACGTCTAAAAGCCTATCAACAACAACAATGCTGGTATTAGCTTATCCATTATTTCATTAGCCAAATTCTAATAGGACAAACTGTAACAAATAGCCACCTAAAAACAAGTGGAGGAAGATGATTTAAGAGCCAAAGCCTGTAATAACTTTGTATTAGCCCTTGTCGGATAATTTCAATAATGTGGCAATTGCAAAATAGAGAAAAAATATCATAAACTTGACACAGCGGGCTAAATAGCTTATCAACCCAAATCATAAGTAACTAAGCCAGCTGAATAGACTAAGTCATAAACAAAAATTACAGCTGTTGCTGGTATTAAACATATATATTCTTTGTAGAAGTTGTTTAGGAAACAATGATGGTTCAATCTGTAAAAGATAGAATTGCTTAAATGAATAAAAAAGGCTCAAGTACAACTGAAGCTCCCTTCAGACCAAGTGTGAAAAGGGAAGAAGTTTAAGAAAAACTACCTGGGTAGGCTGAAATAGTCACCGAATAAGTCTTCACATCCGTATCTGATAAAAAGAGTGTTTTTGACAAATAAAGAGTCAGAAAAACTATAGAATAATCCACATAGCAAATCAGAGAGCAATAGAACTCAGAGGGAATTAGAAAAGCTGAATCATAATTTATTACATCATCAGAAAATACACAGGAATAGTAAGAATAATTAATAGAAAATCAAAATGAAAACTAAGAAAATCAATAAGAAGAACAAGAATAAGATCAAAAGGTTGAATCCTAAGAATAACATTAATAGGCTGAAGATGACTAAGCCAAAGAATAACCATAATAGTATCAATAAGAAGAAGAATAATAATAACAATAGGAATAAGGAGAATACTAATAAGAATAATAAGATGTACAATAGTAAGAAGAACAAGTTGAATCTAATCATTAAGAATAATCAAATAATGAAAACGAGTAGGTTGAGGAATCCTAATAATAACATCTTGATGAACCACAAGATGTTTAGGAGTAATAGGAAGCTAATGATATTTATTGAACAAAAATTGAAATATTAATAAATAATAATAATTTATACATTTAGATATTATATCTCGATGCTGTTTAGACAAAAGGAAAAGGTTCCTGATCTTGGAAGAGACAACTTTCGTGATTTCATGAGAAGAGAAGGAGATTCTTGTTTGGAAACTCAGATGAAGCTCTCGACATTTGTACACAAAACTGTTCCTAATGAATAAACCAAATCTTAATTAAGGTACATCACTCTTCAAATCCCTAGTCCACTTCCATTAGCCTTGGATGGTTCATTAAAAATGACAGGCAATACATGGGATGCCTAACATTTAGGAACTTTCCTTTAAAAAAGTTAATTTGCTTCTGTTGGTGGAAACTCTCTCAAAAATACTGAACCCTTTTAGAACAGCATGAAGAACTAAAGCTTCTTCTTTAGAAGTTAACAACCTCGAATTATAGATGACCATGTTGATTATCTACATTAACATACAATCAATCATATCATAAGTGATCATCCAATGATGAAAAGCGGAAGTAAATATTTACAGAAGAAACTCCTCTCCGTACCTGATAAACCATTTGACGAATCTAAACTTAATTACATAACTGAAGTAGGATTAAAAAAACCCAAAGAACAATTTCAAGAAATGCTAGTCACCAAAGAAAATCAATTGAAATTTCATTAATGGAGATCAGAATTTCAGGATGTCAATCGAGCATTTAAGAAAGCCAAACAATGCTTTAAAAGTGGATTGTATGGATTGGATAGTCCATTCAATGACAATACTGAACTATATAAGGAAGAAAATGCAAAATTGAGAGGATTGGAATAACAGAGTGTGAGGAGCTCATTGTAGAGATATAAATGTATTAATCATTTCTAAAGAAATAGCACTTGAACGATTTAATTCCAGCAATCCCTCTATTGAATTCAATAATGTAGCCCATCAACCCATCAGTTCTAAATAAAAAGATCCATTATTAGCAAAGAGCAGTTTCCCTTCACAAAACTTTGAATTCCACGATTAATGGATGAAGAGAAAATAGATCGAATAATAGATAGATACCAAAAATAGACTATTTGGAGAAACATCTCAAAACAAGGCCAACCCCCAGAGATGTGTCTTTTTGAGAGAACAGGAAGTTAGAGGGAGAAACTATAACCCTGTCAACCTAACTAGAAGTGTAATTGGTTGAGTATTTTTAAAATGAATCAAATGCCTTTAATAGACTTTTTATTTTTTCTCTCTTCCTTTGTCGTATTCTTTAATCAACATTTCCCTACTTCTTTCTTTGGGGATATCTAATCTAAAAATTCTGGCTGGTATAGTAGTAAAAGTATAAATTAAATTTATGTAGGATTATATAAAAATAATAGATGCTTAGGTAATGGAGGAGTCTCTTATAAACTATACTCAGTACCAAATCAAAGGCATACGTAAGGGGGAAGAGTTTTTAATCAATAAGAGATATAACGATTTCGTTATTCTGAAGGAAGTATTTAATAGGACTTGGCCAGGTTGCTTCATTCCACCAATTCCACAAAAAAAATCTCTGGTATTTTGATTCGTAAAATATTTTTAGGGCAATTTAGACTCCAATGTTATTACTTACCGTTCGAAATACCTATCATATTTTCTGAAAAAGATATTAAAAATTCCTTATCTTTGGTTAGGTGAAGAGATTAGTATTTTTATCAAAGGGACGACTGAATAATTGCAGGAAATGGCAAAAAATAAAACTCTACAGCAAATTATAAGCAAGTATGAGGAGACTTTCACTTTCAACGAGAATCAACAGGTCTATGACATTGATTAATTTTATTCTTCAACTTGTCATATAATACCTATGATTGAAAATTTTTCAAGTATGGCCAAGAACCTTATGAAGGAGAAGGATTCTTAAAATTAAGGATTTATAATGTTTGTAGAACACTTTTTACCATAATTTGAAAAATTACAATAGTAAAATCATTAAGGTATATTTTCACTATTAACTATAAGTATTTTCTAGTTAAGAAACCCAAGAATAGTTTCAATTATCCAAAAAATGTTGCACCAAAAATGAGTACAATAAGGTTTTTGAATACACAAAAATAGTGGAGAGGGAATTAATAGCTTGTAAGGAAGCGTTGGTTTAAAGAAACGCTATTGTATAAAGAGTGAAAGAAGAAGATGAGAAATTATATAAGCTGAATATTCAACTCCAAGAATTGCACTCGAAAACTGTGCTTTTTGGAAAGAAAGAAGAAAAAGTGGCAGCCATCCAGAATTAAATTTAATAATAGTAATCCACTGTCGAATCATTGAAATTGCTTCTGTTTTTAATGAATAAATTGATATCCCAATAAGAGATCCCAAATTTTTATAGAAATACAAAAGAAAAATACCTAAGATTAATAAAAGTGTTTTCAGATTTTCAGATCAAATATCACTAATCATAGACTGAATTTTGGGAAAAAATATAATTAAAGATTTGAGTAAAGAATATATTTTAACAATGTATCAATTTATTTTAGTGCATAATCATTAATTAAGTTATCATTTAGAATGAATCATCTGCATTTATTTCTTGTTATTTATAAAATTATACACAGGGCTGTAAAATTATTATAATCACAATTTAATTATAATATGTAAACTCACGCAAAATAAGTGGTTGGATTAATCAATCAATTGCCTAAAAAAGATGAGTTGAAATTCTTAGAAAAACAACCAGGAAACAAAAAGGTTATTTCAGAAACTAATCAAGCCTTCATCTCAGTCATCAATGGATTGCGATCTCTGATCGGAGATGTCTAAACTAATTCAACAACTATCCCATTTAAAGTATTCTCTCTTAAGTATATAGTAAATAGAAGAAACATTGGATTAATTCTTAGAAAATGCAGCCATTCAATATGACAAAATGAATAAATTAAGTATAGCTCCAAAACAACCCCAAGTTTAAAAAACTAATTAAGCTAAACCAAAAGATATTTATGGATTTGCTGATGTAATCTAACTCAATAAATTACCTTTTATTCCTGTTTTAAAATATAAGCATTATGCTTAAACAGAATTAGATTAAAAAATAATAGAAGCCTAAAATAACCCAACTTTATTTTTTGAAAAATATGCCATTGAAGAATTTACACACCCTTACTATGAAGAAATAACAAGGTTGACACCACAAGATTTTGTACTTGATGTACCTCCCAAAATTAATAGATATCGAGATTTAGAACCTCCCATCATGATTAATAATGCTGATAATTTGGGGGAACTTGTCCTTAAAATATAAAATGAAGTGGATTAGAATGGTTTTAGTGAGATTGCTGTAGATTTGGAACATAATCATTCAATATCTTATTTGGGAGTGACCTGCTTGATCCAATTAAGCACAAGAACTCAAGATTACATAATTGATCCTTTTCCTCTATGGAAATAACTAGGAGACATGTTAAGTGTTGTCTTTACGAACCCCAGAATAGTAAAGGTTTTTCATGGAGCTGATAATGATGTACAATGGCTGTAAAGAGATTTTGGTTTATATATTGTAAATCTATTCGATACATTCCAAGCCTCAAAGGAGTTATTGCTTATGTAAAATTCCTTTTAGTTTCTGCTCTCAGAATATTGTAAGAAATCTACAGATAAAACATATTAAACTGCAGATTGGACATAAAGACCATTATCTGATGAAATGATTAAATATGCTTAGATTGACACACATTATTTACTTTACATCTATGACAGAATGAGATAAGATCTGAAGAAGTTAAATAAACCAAACGAGAATCTAAATAATGTTCCAAATTATTATATTGAAAGTGTATTAAAAAGAAGTAAGGACACAGCTCTCAAGATTTACAAGAAACCTTTATAAGATTAAGATTAATCCTTGCAAACAATTCTTAATAAACAAGACAGAAGAATGGAAGCAAAAAATTTTGATTTAATGGTTAAATTATTAGAATTAAGAGAAGAATTAGGGATTTAATATGATCAAAATCCAAGATACTTTTTGCCCAATCCATTCTTATTCAAACTGGTTGAATCTAAGCCTACCTCAATCTAAGAATTAAAAAGCCAATTGGGAGGTGATAAGTATATTCACGAAATTATCAAAGAAAATCTCTGGTAATTTTTAAAGATATTGTTGGAATTCGATGAGAAAGTTCCGATAGTCAATGTCATATAGGAAGAATAAATAAATACAACATAGATATAAATTGAGGAAATGCGACCTAGTATCTAGGTTGAACCATTAAAAATTGTCTAGATCTCAGTTAACATTAAGAAATTTGACAATCAAAATAAAAGTGTTGTCAAAAATCATTTTAGAAATGAAAATGTTGATTAAATAAAATCGCTATTCCTTTGTGAATCTCCTTTCAAGTTGTTAAATGTATTTTATGATGGACTGGGTTCTTAAATATTCTAATCGAGTGAAGGAATAAAGTTTATAGCAAAAGTAATAAGTTGAAGAAACACAGCAATAAAAAATAGAAAAGATTAATACGGGCGATTTCATATAGCTTCCAAAATTAGAAGAATAAAATAGAGATTAATAGAAGGATTAGGATGTTAGATTAAATAACACACTTTAAAATCAATATGGCACTAAAATTCTAAAAAGGCATTAAAAAATAGAATAATAGAAAATATAAAAATCTAACATAAGCAACAGATTTGAAATTCCATGATAATAAAATGTATATTAATATTCATTAATTATTGTTATAATCAATTGGATATTCGATAAAAAAAATAGAATATTAAGAATAATTATTAAAGTAAAAAATGATTATTCATTCTAATCTATCCTAGAGATATAATTCATATTACAAATTCTTTTCTATTTATTTATTATATTGATTTAAATCATATTATTATAAAAAAAGGAATTAAAATTATGTTATATTATTTTAGTTAATCTGTGTAATCATAGTAATCAATTTTTTAGTACTTATCTATAAATTTCTTTAAGATTTGATTCCAATTTTTTTTGATTTGATCTTGATAATCTCCTATTTTCAATTACATCTTGAAATATTTCTGTTTAGGTATTTATTAATTTTGTATATTTTGTTACATCTGGGATTTCTGTGTATACTTTAGTGCTTATTCTTTGATAAGTATACCTAGAGCGATTATTAATATATACCTGTCATATATCTTTTATATTCTAATTTTAGCATCTTTATCTTACAATCTTGAAATAAAATTATCAAATTTGATTCCATATTTTAACTGGTATTTAGAATTATCTTAGGGAGGTTTAGTGTTGGCCAAAGATGCATTCGACTTTATTTGTTCTTTTTTAATTAGTTCTTTCTGAATTCTTTTAATTTGAAAATAATTTTGCAATTTAGGATACTTTTGTAACTAATTTTCTAGACTAATGATTTCGTTATTAGTATTATCTGTTTTTAATCTTGACTCTTATTAAAATGATTAATGGACATGGTATTGGGGCATCTAAATTTCGTTGATAGGTAAAATTATTTATGGCATCTCATCCTAAGTTGTGTAAGTGTTGCTAATAAAACTGTTTTCGTGTAAAGAATTGTGTTTATTTCTGAGTTTATTGGTGGGAGAGGATTTCTTTCTAATCAATGAACTCAATCTATCATGTATACTTTTTGGATTATTATTAAGTAAGTATTTTCTGGAATCGTGAGCCTTAATACTTGCTTTTAGAAATTATTCATCATGATTGGCTGTAACTTTGCTTTTAGGTGAATTTGAATGACGCGAAGATGTCTTCTTTCTTTGATCTTCTAATAAGTTGACTAAATTTTAAAACTTTTACATCTGTAATATTATTAATAATTTTATAATAAATTAAGCAATCTAAACTTCATTTCTAATAAATACATTTTACTTTTTTTAATTTCTTTTGATTGTCTAATTAGGTTTCACAAATATTTGAATACATTTTATGATCTATATAATATTGATGACAATTATTTAAGAAAGAGCATAGCCATTTTCTACAATCATTTTTACAAGATAATTCATCAGCCCTATTTTAAAACTATTCAAAAATCAACTCGATAGAATGGCAATATGAAATGTTAGGATATTCTATTTATTAAATAATGAAAATATCTATAATCAATTCTACCAAATTATTTTATATTGAGTAGTTAATTAACAATTATAAACATATATTTGAGTCATATAAATAATGATTAAATTTATTTTTTCACTATTCTTAATGTAGATAAACCAGTTTCTTTATGTAATTTAAACGCAACTTTCAAATGCATTTTATGTTTATTTTAATTCAACCAAGATAAATTCATCTTATAGTAAAAAGAACAATCTAACCTAGGAGCTAGGAGGATACAATTTTAAGGGAAATCGATATGTTAAATTTGTAAAAATAATTGAAACGAATAATGATAGTGCTGTTATTTCGCATTTTTTAATTTACTTTACCAATAAGGTTTTCATTCTTATTTAAGAAAGTTCGAATTTGTGTTCATATAGAAAAAAACAAAAATAAGTTTGTTAAAGTATGATGATGTCAATAAATTAAATTAATTAACAAATTCAGAATGCCTATAACGAGTAAATTTGCTTTATATATAATTAGGTGAAATCTATCAGGAGTTACTTGACTTTGAGGAAAGATACCACAAAGGATCTGAGAAGTACGATGTTATATAAAAATTAATCGATTTGTATGCTTTGTTGATTGAACATTATGACAGTATTTAAGTAATGATTGAGTGAGTGATTGTAGGATCCAGTTGGGTATTATTTCAATGAGAAACTGTAATCGTTGTTTGCTTGTCAAAGAGCCCTGAAGAGCATTCGTAAGACAAACTAAGATTAGCCTCCATCAATGCCTACTCACACACAAAGTCTAATTGTACAAGAGATTAACATCAATCAAAACAGTCAAGAAAGTGCAAAGGGAAAGGTATTGAGATGATCTTATAATAAGTAAACATTATGTGTGGAATAAAAAAAGAAAGAACGTTAAACAAAGGCAAAGATTGCCATGGAAATATAAGATAAGATTGAGGGCAGTTAAAATGATTTGTAGCATCTAATAAGTGGATATCAAAAGGCTTCAGATTAAACATAAAAAGTGATTGAGGAGGATCTTAAGCGATAAGATGATCTATTTCTGTAGAGGAGACTTAAAAGAGAGAGTATAATTCCATATTCATAAAAGAAACAAATTTAATGAGAAAATCAAGTAGAATGTGTTCGACCAAATGTAGTACTGAAAGATTAGACCTGTTTGAGAGTTGTATTGAATTTTCAAGCGGAGGAGTGGATTAGATTTAGGAGATTAATAATGCTCGATTGATGTTGCTTCTTAAAGAATAATCTGGCAAAATTAGTTCTGAAAAGACTAATCCCATAGCACCAGAATAAGTAGAGGAAGTGTAACCTTTTGAAGAGATACAAATAGAGGAAATGGATGACACTGAAACAATAATTCCACCAAGGAGATAGATAAGAGAGTCGTCATCTGAAGATGTTACTGATACTCCACCTCAGCCAAGACGAAAAGTGTAATAATTTGGAATGCTGGATAATAATGGTGATTTGTTGTTAATCGAAGATGAATAGAACTTAATAAGTGACTTAAATATTGAGTTAAATTGAATTAGTCAGGCTTGAATTAATATATTTGCATTAAGATTATATCTAATTGTCATCAATTTCTCATGCACTCTATACGAATGGGGCATAACCATGTATTAATGATTAATTTATTATTAACTACAATTTATTTGTTGAATAAAGAAGTTCAGAATTCGGATTTGAATTATCACTATATTTTATATAATCTTATTGTTATGATTTCCAAATATTATCCTATATAATCCATTCGATTCATTTGTAAGGGTATGCCGACTTATAAGATACAACAACAGTTTATTGATTGGTAACTGTCTGAACTAATTGAATATCCAGATTTCGCATTATTAATTAATTTAACTCGATTCTACATGTCAACGGAAGAACCTGAAGCCTAGGGATGTGAGTTATTGGGAGGATTTGGAATACTAGTGTAATCCATTCTGGGATTCCTTTGCTTTTTAGTCCTTGTCTGTAATGAGTTCATTTTTATTTAATAGTCAAGAGACACATTGAGAAACCTAAGAGAGTTTGGAAAATATTTTTAATGGTAATTTTAGAGTAGATAAGTAGGATACTGCTAAATAGTTTGTTAGTGCCGTTGTGCAACACTTCTTAAATATTGGTTTAGCCTTACTATTGAGTTCTGCTGATAGTGGAGATTAATGTTAATGGTACATAATATAGTTAAGAAAGGTATTTTATTACTTACATGTTGGATTGCACTCTGGGCATGCTCATCAATTGTCTATTAATCACTCTCTTTGAAAACCTATTTCAAAAGTTGGGCTAGACGGTATGCATTTAAGTAATTCTTCTAGCAATTCCAAACTGGAAATTACTATACTATAACCTATCCTCAAATTACAACCTACTCTCTAAGTTCTGAGGATTAGACTGAAGCCAAAAAAGCCAAACCGAAAGTTGAGGTTGCTTATGGAGTGTACATGTTTTAATTAACATTGTGGATTTTAATCGTTGTTGCAGTAAGTTATCACTCAATAAACAAGAGCAAAGTTATCCTCTACTTCTTCTAATTACTCTTGGGAGAATATTTATTGACAGCAGTATCATGGATGTTTCAACCTATAAACTAATATCCAGAACTTGAACTTGTTATTGTACTCGTCATCATCCCTTTAATATTTAATGCTCTTTGCGTATCAAAACAGGTTATTATAGTTTTGGGTACAAGATTCATTTCTCAAGAAAAGCAAATTTAAGAAGAAGGAGAAAACCGTTGTCTTGGATGCACTATACGAGAAATCTGACGAGCCTGTCGAAGTGGAAATAATCGATGGAGACGAAAGCTCTAGACCTTCCATAATAGGCATTGAATTACAGCCATAGTAGAAAAATAATGATTTAGTAATCACAGAAACTAAATCTGATATTGAATTAAGCGAATAATAAACTAATTCATCAAATGAAATTTGATGAAGATAGTAACTTTTTCTATTTTTATTTAATAATACTGTTGTTATTTAAGTTCATCATTATATTTATCAACCTATTTATGTTGTATCTTAAGGCTAAGATTATAATGTATTTTTGAAAATTAATATTTTACAATTTAAGATACAGAACTGATATTTTTATTGAGATAATAATTAATAATAAAAATAATCAATTTGTTAAATTCTGTAAATCATTTTTATCAATGTTATTAAATAGGAATTTAAACTTAATTATTTTAACTAGCATTGATTTAATTTTGATATTAGTAATATCCAGCTTGTTAGATGTTTGGTTAAGGATTTTGGAACTAATTAACATATACATATGGATTTTATTGTACCACTTGAGGATTCTAAAATTTAATACAATTAATTACATATTATCCTTAAAGCAGAGTCATATTTAAGGGGATCCTATGTTTTTAATCACTTCTACAAAAGAAGAAACTAACTATCAAGGCTATCAACCCTAAAACAAAGACAGAAAATGTGAATATTCCGTAAACACTACTACGAATAACCGAATTATAGCAGAATGCTATAAATGATATCTTTACAACGACAAAACAAATCAAAATTATCCACTTTTTATCACATTTGCAGGGTTATTCGTCCACAACCAGTTCTCTGCATTTTGAACATTAATAATACATTTTATTAATTATAATTTTTATATTATCTTTTGAACTCTTAAATATAAAGTAACAACAGAATTTAAATCAAATTAACAGAATTTTTATAATGCCACAAATAACTTTAACAAAGGGAATAATAATAGATAATCATAAATATTCATGCTTTATTCAAAAATCAGTAAAACACAATAAATTGTTAAGTAAAGATACATAGGATTCATAAAAAAAAGCAAATGAAAAAATTATTAAACTAATATTTGCTATAATTGATTTCTTATTGAAATTTCAATTTAAACAATTTAAAATATTAAAATCTGTCAATTTCTATTTTTATCATCATTCCAAGCTTAATTAAGTTCGTAAAATACTCGTTCAGCAATGTATCTCTATTATGCAGGAGTCTAGTTATGCTTATCTGGATGAACAATCAATAAAGCTTGACGATACTTTAACTAAAATATTTAGAGATATTGAGTACTTTAACTTTGCCATCCGTCATCAAATCACCAAATGAACATTACCAATCTGTTCCATCCCACAAGACTTCATTCAAAGTTGAAAGTAGCAATCTTAAATTATTTCTTACGTTATTCTTATAGGCCCATTTTAATATTTTGGGTTCTATTTCTTCTTTAGCTTATTGTCTTTACTCATTATAATCTGCCTCATTTTACCAGATCTTTTGTAAACCCTCTGCTGCTTATTCTACCCTCATATCAACAATTTATTTATCAGTCAACCCCTCATATTAATCATTAGATTATTATGATTATGTCTATTGATTTGGAGCATCGAATGAAAACAAATCTTGTCCATCTCTCTTTTGGGATTGATCATTTTAGGGATTGACTTTCTTCTCTACTTCAAATTCAAATAGATCCTCTCCCTTTTTTGCTTACTATTGTGATGGTTTTTGTTAGAATTGTGTAAACTGAGCATCATTCTATTCTGGTCGAGAATCCAATCCAGACATATGAAATTAGTCTTAATCATTTTACAAAATGGTTGGTTAGAATTGTTGGAAATTCTAAAAATTAGTATTATTTTAATTGTTCACATCTAGATCTGCCTGACTGATTGGTTAGGATTGAGTGTGAAGATTATTTGGTTTAAAATCGAATTTCTCAAAAGCTTCCAAAAGATCTCCACTTTGACTAGTCCCATTTGATTAATTACTCAATTATCTATTGCTCTGTCTCTCACCACCTTACTATGCAACAGGCTGCAGAGTTTATTTTGAATTTAGTTACTATTGCAATATTGGTGATTAATTGGATTATTATTGCTATACCCTATTTTGAGTTTATGGTGATGATTGAATAGTATTTTTTGGGGGCTTTAAATCTCCTACCTTCTAATCTTATTGCACACTTTCAACCATTTTTTTGGCTATCCTACTATACGAAAGATCTTAGAGAGTCAATATTTTAGCATAAACAGTATCATTGACAACTGGCACTTTGGCATTTGGATTAGAGATATCAAACCAAGCATGACTAAGAATGAATTTAATCAATTACGTTTTTGGTTCGATGTCTTAAACAAATATTTTAAATCGAATATGGTGACTAGTAATTTTAAAAGGAAATTGCTGTAATATATTTTTAACAACAAGCTACATTATAAATTACATCATTTCTATACTTCCTCTCCTTAGAAAAAGAACATAAATTGTGTCTTTGGTTCATTCTGAAAAAAATATACAATAGGAACCTGTTTCATTAAATTATATATTAAATTTTTAATTCATGAAATATTTTCGAATTGAATCAGCAGAATAACACCATAGTATTATCATGGCAATTCATATAATTACTACATAACATCCTTGATTCAATTGGGGACCTTCAAATTTAATTATTTAGTTTATATAAGAATAACAATATTTTTGTATTCATTAAGTAGAACAATATAAAAAAATAATAATAAAACTTAACATCTATTTTAATGATATTATGAATTAAATTGAATAAATCAACCACTGGTGTATTTGGTGACTGCCTTTGTTCCTTCTGAGATGGCATGTCTGGCCAATTCTCCTGGAAGAAGCAATTTGACTGCTGTTTAGATTTCCCTTGAACTGAGTGTTCTTCTCTTGTTGAATCTAACCAACTTGCTGGCTTCAAGAGCAATTCTATCAAAGATATCGTTGATGAATGAGTTCATGATGTTCATAGCTTTTCTTGAAACACCAATTTCTGGGTGAACTTATCTCAAAACCTTGTAAATATACAAAGCGAATGTCTCTTATCGTCTTCTTGCCTTTTTTTTATCATCTGATCCTTTCTTTGTCTTGACTGTTTTGACTGTCTTTTTAGCTGCATCAGCCTTTGGTGATTTTGAAGGTGCCATTTTAATTAATTTGAAAATAATATTTATAAACCAAAACTTAATGTGCCTTTCTTGCAATTTGATTGGCTAATTAGGAATATTCGAAGTATGACCTTTAAAATAACTAACAAGCATCTAAAACAATACGACATCTGTTATTAGACTAAGAGAATGAGTTTGTGTAGGTTAGCCACTTTTTAAACAAAAATATAATTATTGAAGATGGCTCAATGATTAACTACATAATGACACTAAATTATCCATTTGAATAATTTAACTTAATTTAATAATAAATGCTTCAAGGTATTAATATTGGATATTCAATTGAAAGGATGTTTTGATTAGGAAGACTTTCTAAAGAAAAAAGAAATTTTAATTATAAAAAATTAATAATTATAAAAATCACTATTCCTATTACTATCACTATCATAAAGCAGATTGATTAGTTGCTAATTCATTATTTTAAATAGTGATCATAACTCTTTAAAATCTCAAACAGGTAGGATATAATATCAAAAAATTAATATAGTTTAATATATATATCTAATTTTATAATGCTGATTGAGTGGAGAATGATCTAAGAAATTACTAATAGAAAATGCAAAATATTTATTCATAGTGCTCTTGACGATTCCAAAGCTTTCTTGATTAGCTTATTCATCGCAAAAACATCAAGGCCTCCGAATTGAGCAATATATTTCCCTTTCTCAAATAAATATACATATGGCAATGTAGTTGGAGCAAATTACTTGACTATTTGATAACATCCCTCTTTTTCATGATCCACAACAAAGATATTAATTGCACCTGTCTATTGGCTTAGTCTCTTCCTCTATTGATCCAACTCTTTTTTCATTTAAGTAACTAGGTTCAAACTTGGTTGACACCTTGAAATTATGACTATATAAAACCATTCTGCAGTAAATATTAAGATGGCCACTCTTTCTTCGATGAGAATGGATGTCTTGAATTCATCAATGTTTTGAAGTGGAATAATTTTTGAGTCCATTTAATAAATTAATTATTTACATACAATTTCATAATACACTTTTCTTACCGGCTGTGTTAATAAAAGTTCTTAATTGCCACTCTACAATGGCTTCCTTTTATCCAATAGTACCTAAGGTTATTTTATATGGTTTTAATTCAAATCGTGGACCTTGTTCATTTAAATCAACTTGATTGAATGATTTCTAGTAAGTGTGATGTCTAAATTGAATGACTCCATTTTCATTGTGAAATGTAAGAACTCTTTTGCTGTCAATTTTCGGAACTGGAAACAGATGCTTTAATATTGTAGTCACTCTTTCGCCTAGTTTGGTTGAGAAGTTGTCAAATATCAAATGAGGATACTGCTCAGAAAGAGGGTCTATGATAATAATGATATTTAACCTGCTTTAACATCTAAATCATGACGTAATACAGCATTTTTTACTCCAAAATAAATAGTAGGACCTAAGGGCATATGGGATATGATTAATCCATCAGGTTCCCCTCGATGTTCATGTACAATTATTAAATCTGAGTAATTTTTTTGTTAACAATGTATTACCAGATCCTTCACTACTTATGCACCTCTATTGACTCTAGTACAATTTGGAAATATCAATCCCATCTCTTTCATTAAAGTAACCAATCTCTGAGATGGAGATCTGCTTGTTGTCAATACAATCTGGGGTTCTCTATAAAAACTCATAGCATATTCATCATCTAAATGAGTTCTTGGCACTATCGAATAAGGATACTGATGAACCTATGGTGTTATCATCCTAAGCATTCATTTCCTTTCTCAGATTCTCCTCATCCCTATATAGATCAGTAGGAACATTTTTCCTCTCAATTTCTGCATTGAGCAATCTCATTTTATTATCATACTTCTGCTTGGCTCGCTTCTCGTCCTCTATTCTCATGAGGTACTCTTTTCTAAGTCTCACGTTCTTTCTGAGCATTAATTAAAATTATGAATAATGACAATCAAAATGCTTAGGTTATTCTCAAGGCGAGTCTCGCAAGGACCAGAATTACCAAGATTCTATAAAAAAAACCAGACTTCCAATTAAAACTTAAGCTAAATGCCCTTGACTCGATTCTTTCCAATTTGCCCACTGAAGAGGAATCTCCACCATAATAGGCATCGCTACCACTTTAATCTTCTTCAGTACTCCACAGGGCCAAAGAAATAATTACAGCCAGAAAGCAAAATATAAATTTTGATTCCGTATACATGGAACTCAAGAAAGAGACGTTCGATTAAGATTCTTACAATCAATTGATTGTCGAAAATCTCGACAAATATACTCAACATCAAGATACAACCTTGAAAAAAGCCCCTCCCATGATAAAACACAAATCTGAACAGCAAATGGTTCACGGATACTAGCTGTTACCAAAAGTTGCTATTAGTAATCAGATAAAACGAAAAAAGGAAACTATGAGGCAACTTAATTAACAACTAAAAAGTGATCAATAGTTAGTTAAATAATAAACTTTGAGGGAGCTTCAATAAATGAAATTGCCCGATATATTTTAAAGCGTTACTATCAATGATTTAAAATAAAAAGAAAACATCCAAAAATTCGTATTATAAGGAGAGTTTTATTAATAATGGAGGAAGTCCTTTAAACTAAACAAGCCTCCCTCTTTGGTTCAATCTTTTAAGAGCATTAACTAATATTTATTAGACTCAGCAGACTACTTAGATAAACTAAATAAAATTGATAGAAAATAAATCAAGGTGTAGATGGAGTCGTTGAATGAGTTCGCTGGGATTCAATATGGTAAATTGAAGATCAAAACAGATCCATGTTGATCAAATAATTCCTCTGATATTTGTTCTACCATTTTATGAATTTATTTATATCTAAATAAAAGAATTTTCTATGTATTCTACTTTTAATTAATTATCAACACAAAAATTATTACTGACTGAAATTTCTTAAGAATCGAATAAAATTTGATAGCATAATTCTTGGCATTATTTTAGCGCTTTTGGTAATCTATTTTTTTAAGAATAGTAAATTATCTTTATTTTAAGTTTGTTTCATGAAAGGTTTACCTGAAGGTATAAATATTTAATCGTATGAATTCATCAAGCAAAATTTTATGAATATCAGTAATTATAAATTGTTTTCATTTTTTATATGAAGAAATATTTAAACATCAATTTCAAAAGATTGATTTTATTTAAGAATGATCCTCTGAAACTAGTTAAGTGTGAAAATATTATACAATATAGTTTTTGCCGAATTCCTATTAGTGTTGGTAAGATGTTTATGATGATATTTGAACTTTTTTGATTTTAAATGGTTACATAACATTTAAATCAATAGTTATATTGATTTATCAATAATTTAAATAATCTAAAGAAATTTCCTTACTTTATTGTTTTTTGAAAATTTTTTGCTTTGAAATAAATATCTAATCTTTTTATTATATAATATTTAAGTTCATTTAATATATTAGAAACAAAGAAATATTAATTTTGTAAAATATATTATATATTTATTATTAAATATTAATTTTTCATGATATTCCTTCTTATTCTTTTATCTTAAGCCTTTGGTGATTAATTAGTATTATCATAAATTTTATGGAGAAATGGTGCATGTACACCAACTTATTGTAATTGGAAATGCAAGGAATTTGAATAATAGGGAATTTTGAATGGATAATTGACACCAATAGGAACAAGATAACATTATGTTCTAGGATAATGGCTAAGAAAGAGATACATCGAGGATTTGAAACTCTTGAGTTAGTTTTACAATGAAGCAGAAATTTACATTGAGAGCACAGATGTTAATAGAACGATACTGAGTGCATTGAGCAATCTTTAAGGCATGTATCCGGCAGGAACAGGGCCAAAAATAAATCCAGATTTGAATCGCTCTTATTTACTTCCTCCAAATTAGAAAGAATTTGAAGATTTTGGAGATGCAGCCCTTCCAGGGTTATAACAAGCTATTCCAGTGCATGTTAGAGAGAAATAGTTAGATATATATCTTAAAGGATATGATGCCTTGGCTTGTCCCAGAAATGAGGAATTCAGAAACAGCAATATCAATTCTAAACTATACTACCAAATTAATAGTAAGGCTCAATCCTTAATATCAGATTTTACATAATAGTTAGGAATTGTTGCATCACAATTAGTATATTTGAATATCATTTAGAACATTACAGATTTATACGAATATCAGGACACTTTCGATTCTTGTGAATATAATGGGTATGACTTACCGAAACTAAAGGAGAGTACACAGTCATAAATGAAACTTCTATAGTATCTCTATTTTTCTCTTGAACATAATATAGATTTTGAGTATTTGATTGAGACACATATTTTAGATAAACTCGTCTTTTAGCTACTCCATTTTTTAGAAATTTACTATTGAACATTGAGAATGTTATTAACAATCAAACGGAACATAAATTCAGAATCTTTTCTGCTCATGCTGCTACTGTTCAATTGATTTTGAATGCTCTTAATCTAACATCATTTGAATGTGTAAAATAGGTGTATTTAAATGAGAAAGTATAAAATAAAAACTGTATCTATACATTTCCTGGTTATGCCAGCAATATTATATTCGAATTATATAGAAAGTTAGGTCATGGAAATTAGTATTATGTTTAAGTATTATATAATGGCACTTTGATGCCAATTTGTAATAATTAATATAAATGTGATTATGAGGAGTTTAAGTCCAGAATTTAATTCTAAAATGTTAAGGATTATGAAGATGAATGTTTAATAGTAATTTTTAATCAAAATTATAGTCTCCAAAATTTAAAAAAGAAGCAGCTTCTTTTATACTTAAGGCAATTAATGTAGTAATAACTATATTGTTCATTATCTCTTTTTGCATTATTTATTTATTGAGAAGATAAAGCAAATTAGAAGAGTACACAAAAATAGTTTAATAATTTGATGCTTGACATTATATAATTTTATATACTAATTTATAAATCGCTTAGCGAAAAAATAGAACTTAAGAAATTATAATTTCAAGATTGCACAATTAAAATCATATAGGAGTAGAGTTTAAAATATATATTTTCAATCTAATTAACTGATATTTGTATAATAAATTTTCTAGATGAAAATATTCTAATGATTAAAAATTAATATTATGAATAATAATATTGAATAAAAGTCTTAAATTTAAATTCTCTAGTTTTTTGAGTATTAAAATTCAGTCCAAAATGAGATCGACAAATCCAAGAAGATCTTGTTAGCTTTGTTGGATTAGAAAAAGAAATAGTATAATGACAAGATCCTTTAACAAAAAGAGATTCAAATGTAGCAATAAAAATAAATTGATTAATACAAAAAAGTAGTGGAAGAACAGTAATCGAAGTTAAAATCTAAAGGAAATAAAGAGACTGCTTAGATTTAAATTGGTTAACTGATTTCATACCAATAAGAATAAAACCAAAAGATTGAGTCTCTAATTGAATAATCATGCAATGAGAATTCAAATTATATTAAGTTATAAGAGAAACTCATTAGTATTTATTGTTCACAACTATTTATTAGAATGTTAAAATGATATCAATCAACTAAAGGAGGAAAGAGAAATGAAGGAGAAATTGATAATATAATTATAGCAAATTACTGGAGTGTACTTAGAATATGACTATCATCAAAAGATTCTTGACATCCAGCTGGAATACAATTAGAATGTACACATTCAAATCAAACTTGAAGATAAATTAAGAAGTAAATAATTTGAAATCTACAAAATAGTTCATACCATAAATCCTAAGAATGAACATTTCTACTAATTAATCAAGGAATTCAATTAAGATAATTAATTGGATAAACTCATATAAAGGATCTAGTTATTTAATTGATATCTTATATGCATATATATAAGTAATCAAAACAAGTCTAAGCCCTCTCCTTTTTTCCTCCAATAATTCCCCTTGTATTTATAAATCATTTCATTTGTGCATGGTTCCTTGATCAAATCAAAATATTAAGGCAAATGCTGTTGACCTGCAATTTGCATCTCCTTTCTTCTCTATCTCTATTTCTATTCAAGACGATGTTTTTCATCAGCAGCCAAATCAATGAAGCCATACTCTAAAGCCAATTGATCCGGTCTTAATCTACAATCTGTACACGGAAGCTATTTAATCAAATCTATATTAAGCAGATTCAAATTAAGAGCGAATTTAGTAAAAAAGAAGTAATTTTTATAGTCTTAAGGCAAATCGTACTTTCTCCAAACCAAAGTTTCTTTTCCTGTTTAAACATTATGAGCAACCAATGAATCATTCCATAATCCTTTCAACTTGTACTTTTCTTAGCCATTACTATCATAAACAGTTCCAACCATTTTATGATTTTCAGAGAGAGTCAGAATGCCTTTGTCATTAGTGGTATAATTGTTAAAAACCACATCTCCAATATGTTCAATATACATGTTGGCAAAAATGATATTGTGTACTTTCGTAGTGCATTTATTATAGGAGAATTTATCATTAAATTGTTTGAGTTTAATATATACATTTCCTATAGGTTACAAAAATAGGATTAAATGGTTTCTTATGCCTATCAATATTACTTGAATAAGCACTGACTCCAAATCCCATTACATAACACATTCTAAGCCACTAATCTTATTCTTGATTAGCTTCAATTAATGTTTGATAGTATTCTAAATTCTCAGCTAATCTTTACAGCATAGACAGAGGCTCATTAAAATACACCAGAACAGCTAATTTCGAAAGATCCTTACCTATCATATCTTTAATAAAACTCCAAACTTTCAGCTTTTCATTTGGATCTTAAGATCTAGGCAATGCAGCTCTAATTTAGGAATTTGTGAATTAAATTTTTTAGAAAACTGGATTATTAATAAGATTTTTCTAAATTTAATAAATATTGATACATATTATATTGGTTGTTCATATTTAAGAGACTCTAAAATGTCAATACTCGAGCTTTATCGGTTAAAGTCGTCAATTCCATTTGTTATATTCCTGAATGATTAAAATACAGTTTAATCATCTCTAAATATTATTTCAAAATACCTGACTATTGAGATTATAACTTCTCTTTTTCCACTTCTAACAATTACAGTACTAGCAAAGAAGATATTCCTTGAAGAGTATTTCTAATAAACTTGTAATTTTATTTTAATTCCACATATTTCGATTGTCTTTCCAATTTAGGTACAAGTATATTTAATGTTTCATCAACTAGTGATGGATAAGTGTAACTGTACATGCTGCTTGGGTAACCCAAATGTCTGTTAGAATATCATTTACTTCTTTGATACAATCTCTAGGAATGGTTTCCTAGGACCTCTCTTTAGCTCTTTTCAAAGCATTCACCCATTCTATTTTTTCTGGTACACTTGAAGCCTTCACTTATATTTCATTTGTCCCTGTGTTAATGATGATTTTCAGAGGATCTTCAGGAACCAATATGATCGCAGCCACTTTTAAATGAATTTAGCCTTTGGACTGCCCTCCTTAATGTTCGCAATAATGGAGAATGTGATCATTCAAAATGAAGTATCTGTCCTGCCATCTAGTAACTATGTTGATCCACTTCTTAAGATATCCCTCCATAATAATATTATTATAAATCAAATCTTTTTGTTGTATGTTTATATATTGAACTTATATAATATATAATAAATAATAAATACTTTATTCAGTTAGAAGCAATAGTTCATATATTGATGAAAGTACTTATCTTACTTCTTTTATGGACGATCGAGTGTTAAGTCACTGACTATTCATTTATATAGGTGTTGGATTATAATCAAGATTTCGATCCAATTCGAATCAAGGTCTTTACTAAAAAATTGGACAAAGACAATCCAAATCACAAGTTGTTTAAGAAGTTGATAAAATCGGCAGCGCTCTTCACTTAGGACACCTATAAAGTGAGACGATCGAAAAATAATATAGTTTTTAATGTCAAAGAATGCCATCATATTAAAGTTCCCAAAAAACATAGAAAAAGAGGAATAAAAAATGCTGATTTTGTGTTGTATGTTACAGAAACTGATGTCGCAGAAAACTGGATTGCAAAATCATCACCATGTTTATATGATCAAAACTATAGACCTGTTGCAGGAGAAATATTATTGAATAATCATCATTTCTCAAAAAAGATGAGTAAATTAGACAAATACGAAAGATTGGGAACTATAGTTCATGAATTTACTCATACCCTCGGATTTCATAGTCGATTATTGAATCACTTCAATATGACTGAGATGATCTAAGATAAATTATATTTGAAAAGTCCAGGAATCATGGAATATGCAAAACAATATTTCAATTGTTCGTCTCTCCAATATTTGCCACTCGAAGATGATGGAGGACCATCCTCACAGTATTCCCATTTTGAAAAAATGACCTTCAATCAAGAAATCATGACAGGAACTGCAAGTCGAGATACTGTCTATAGCAAATTTACAATGTTAGTTTTACAGGATACAGGCATATACCAAGCCAATTTGGTTAATGCAGGCAGATATCAATGGGGAATGAATCAAGGTTGTTTGGCAGCATAAGGAGGTTGCGATTCTCCTACAATTTGTAAATTGGCTAAAAATGAGAGATTTTGTTCTTACAATTATCAGCATATCCAATTTTGCAAGCCATCTTAAAAATTGGCTGAATGTGGGTTGGTTACTGCTTTGACAGATTGCAATTAGAGGAGGTGCTTCAATTATTAGGACCCAACTACTTTGTTGCATAAGGCAAAATGCTTTAAGAGTAAATGCACGAGTTTGGGCATTAGAGTGAAATACAATGGGGAAGTTTAGTATTGCCAATCTGATTTTGCTACTATCTCATTTGATGGGTAAATTATTTAATGTCCAGTGTTTAAAGATTTTTGCAATGACTATTCTGCATGCAATAACAGAGGACAATTAATTGATGGCAAATGCAGATGCGATTTGGGATTCAAAGGAAAGAAATGTAAGAAACTATTGTGATTTAAATTACATATAAAATTTATATTAATGAAGAAATCTGTTCTGATGCACATACTAAATTCAAATAATGAAAATCTCAAAGATATTAGTCGATAACTATTGAATATTGGTAATCAAGTCATGATTATATTAGGTATTCGAAAAGTATTCTATGAATTATCCAGACCTTTTGAATAAGTATTGTTCCCGGAATATATGATCAAATTACTTAGCGTCTTTCATTATATGATTCAAGAAAAAACCTTATAGAAGGACGAATTTGTCGATAACCATATTTTCAGCATTACAAATTCTTAGGAAGGCAACGCCATTATGGAGAGACTATAAACAGATTTAAATTTGACTGCCTCAAGAAGTGTAAATTTGGCTCCCAGTTGGGATGGCACACCCAAATCCTACATCCACAATAATTACTTCAAGGCAAGTCCCGAATAGAAGAAGAGTGCCACAGACAAAAAGATTGAGTTTAAGCAATTGAGAGACCCCCTCAACTATTAATAGATATTGCAACTCTATTACACCTATTTGAAAAAAGTGTGTATGCAATAGAACAGCGGAGTCCCCATCATAGATTGCTTTGTCATTCAGAACATTCAGTGCATGGGATTACGAATTATAGAGGGATAGAGGAATTAAAAACTTGCCTTTTGCTTTAACCTAATCATCAGGGATATGATATCATATCAGTCTTAAATAATAGAGCTGGTGAGCAATTCAATGAACAACGTCGAGAAGACATAAATTCACGAGGTCTACATACAGATGTATCTCAACAGTAAGTAGTTGAAGTACTATGGGAAGTAAAATAGAGTAAAGATAGACTAATCTCAATTCAAGGAGTTTAAGAACAACCAGAACATTCACAGATTAAAACTCAAGCTGTGTGAATCTAGGGAGAGGATGGAGTAGAAGGACTTGAAGGATGAGCAAAACTTCTTTAATTATGAAAGGACTCAACTATACAATTAATTTTGATTAAAAACTCTCAATAATTATGTATAAAGAAGGTTATTATTAAATATTTTAATAATTTGTCATTTTTAATTAAATTTATATAACATTTCCTAGATTTATATGAAATATACTCCTAACAATAATATTATTAAATAAACATATCATTTTAAAAAAATGAATTCCATTTTGAAATCAAATGGCAAGTCCCTCGTTTAAAAGGCGAATTTCTACTATTTCAGGTTATTAAATCTCTCCTACGAAGAGACATTCAGACTCTTATTCAAACTCTTGGCATGTAATTCTATTCCATTAAGACTTAGCTATACTCTCCTTTTTTGTATTTGATGCATTACGCTTCAGATCATATTTGATAATGTCTGATATTGCTGTAATACCATATTCCAGTTTCAGCATCCTGCTATTTGGACTAATCATTGTTCACGTATTATGAAATTTAAATTTTTAGTACTCTAAGTGGACTGTGAATCACCTGTGCCATGGTTTTGTCTTTAGGACAATCTCTAAAGAATATCAAGGGGAATTCAGAGACATAAGAGTTAAGAAAATTTTAAAATGGCTATTTGATGGAGTATACTATTCAACAACATCTGTATATAAATCATTTTTATTATCTTTAGATACTCTGTTGGTATCTCTTCCATGAAGAGCCTTGGTATCCAACTGGATTGGGAGGTACCAATTACACTAGTATTTGGTAAGACTTTCCATATATGATAAATGTAACAGTTCATAAAAATATTTTAGAATAAATGGGCAATTCCCTTTTATATGATTCAAACTGCTAATCATTTGTATGCCTTGGTCCACTTGGCAATAAAGAGGAAGGAAGTAGAAACCAAGTATTGGGAATACATGTTGCATCACACTCTTGCAACTTGTCTGCTCATCTTCTCGGCCCTTTATAATCAATGTTAGAATATCATATTTATCGTTTAGTTCGATTTGGAATTGTCGTATTGGGAATTCATGATGTTGCTGATATCATCTTATCTCTCTCAAGAGCTCAACATGACTTAAAATCAATCAAATCTCTCATGTATATCCAATACGTGTTGCTTTTATTCACATGGATTTATACCCGAGTGATCATCTTTCCTCAAATTATTTTGGAAGCAATTATGCACTACCAAAATTAGTAATTTATAATATTATTATTTAAGTCCTGAGGCAGCTTGGGGAAACAAGTATCTCATAGTGCAAATGTGCATCTTGGTTGGAATGCACTTATATTGGACTTACTTTATGATGCAGGTGGGGATTAACGTATTCAAGAAGGGTAAAAAATATGAGGAAATTAACACATATGACAATAAAGAAATTCTAAAATAAGCAAGAAATTGACAACCATTGAAAATGAAACTTTAACAGTTATTATATATAACTATAAATATTTTTATTACATTAAAAAATTCTTAAATTACATCTTAAATTATTCAATTCAAATTGATGGAATATAATGAGGTTGAGATTACAAATTTAAAAAAATTATTAAATCAATATGTACTAAATTGAGTTTCTTCGACAATTATTGTATCTTAATTATACTTAACTTTTTTTCTTTAATTATCATCATAATCTGTAGATGAATTGCTTTTTGGAGTTTGATCAAAAAATGCTTAAAATTTTCTAATTAAATTTGTATAAATTAATACTCTGAAAAGATGGTCTATAAATCATCTATTAACTATTGATTCATATCAAAACAATTTTCAATATGCAACCAATACTGAAACTTTTTTTCAAATGTTTGCATGCCTAGTTTACATACATGACTAACAAAGTCCTCTCCAACCTTGCTTAAGGAGAAGTATTATTCAAAAAATATTGTACCATATATGCTAAAATATGTTAAAAATTAGTACTTATGTTAATTTTTGTATGACCAAGTTGACAAATCAGGTTGGATCTCTTTTTTGGATTAAAAGTACTCCAGATATTTCTCTCTGGTCTTGCATTGATAAGGAAAAGTCTTGTGTTTATTATCAAATGATAATAGCAAGGAGGGATAACACAAAACTCCTCTCCTCTCTTGTGCCATTGAAGATTATGGATTTTAGAGTGTTTACTTATTCCAATTGATTAATTGACCCCAAATAAATTAAGGCGTGTATTGTTTAGATAATGACAATTTTGATTTATTTTTTGGTTAAGGAATGTATTCAAATTCTGTTTCTTCGAAGGGCTTTCCATCAAATCCCTAATATTAGGTTGATGAGAAGTATGTGTGAGTGAATGACATGAAGTACAAAATAGTGGAGAATGCTTTATTATTGAATGAACAAGATTCTATATTCAAAATAATCTCACTCAATAATAAAAAGAGCATTCTTGTCAATTGCAGAGCATAGTCAGTATTTTAATCTATAATCTTCTTCATCTGATTGATTATTTCCAACCCTATTTAGCATTAATGCAATTGTGAATGTCTCTTTAGGAACACAACAATTTCATTCATAATTGAGGACTCCATTTGAATCTTTTATGTGTTGGTTTCACAATTCTTCCAGAATTAATTGAAAATGTTAGTTACGAGAAAAATGGGCGGTTATATCGTCTTTAAATGTTATAAAACAAATTTGACTTTATCAACGCAGGATAAAATGTTAATGTAATTCTATTAGTGGTTAAGCTCCTACCAATTAGACAACCATTCAGGGATATCATTTTATGTGTTTTGGCTAGTAATTAAAGTGGATTGGAGCAAAATCACATTTCTTTCTATATAATTTGAGTAAATGCTAATTTGATGAGCATTTTCTAATTCTAGATTCTATTTTCGTTTACAATGAATTGATCCACATAGACATTGATCCTGGGAAGTGTAAGGGAAGGGCAAGGTCAACTCCTCAAAGTAATTGATTTTTCTTGATGTAATAACTGCCAACAAATTCTGTTAGTTCACAGTAACTGCTATGAGTCTACAGTTGGGATCACATGAATATGAAATGTGTTGAGCCATATTCCCATACCTAGTGGGGTCGATAAACTTAAACCTATTTTTAAACATTACCAGCAGATCATCGTGAATGAAGAATTCAGCATAGGGACTTTGAGAACATGTTTTTCGATTGCCATCCTGCATTCTCTTATGGAATATCGTTTGTTTCTCGAACCATCTCTACGGGGTGTACACTTCACCAAAATAGAAACATATAAATTCATTTCCTGCTAAGCCTTCATTCAAACAACAAACCATGCCCTTGCCCTTTAAGGTGAAAGGGTTCAAGTGATCCATCATTTTAAATTGCAAATCGTACAGATTGGACAATGCCTGATTAAATAGGTAATGTAGAATTTCTTACGTGTTGCAAATTTCCCTTGGTTATGTTAATTGTGGATAAGAGTTGAGGCAAAACTAGTTCATAATCTGGCAGCAGTTAAAATAGAGTTCTTGCCACTTCTTGACTGATCCCATATGTATCAATCAAAATAACATCGGCATCCTATTTTTTGACCTAGTATTATAAATCTTGTTAATTTGTGTTCACAAATTAGTAATGAGAATAGTTCCAGGAATCCATGGAAAGTGTATTATCTTGCACTCTAATATAAAATAATAAGATAATACGAGATCAATGTTGTGAGCAGCTAATTAATCTCTTCCACTCGATCCGATTAGTTCGGAATCAATTCTTGTACTTTGGTTATTGTTTATAGATACCCTCAAAGTAATGGTTCATCCTCTTTAAATACTTTGTCTCTGTAGAACTTAGGCTTTTCAATGTTTCAAGACAGTGAGTACTTATTTAATTAAACTTGGTTTAGTTATATGCATCGAAACTGGAAATGATTAATTTGACTTAATTCAATACGATATAATCGTCTAAAATATTCAAAATAGAAAGTTTGTGCTTACGTGTTAAAGTCTCCAGTTGTTGCTCCAATTCCACACTAAAATCTTCGTAATTCCATAAGGGTTTAAGTACCATTTTTTAACATATATTTTTTATCTTTTAAACAACCTACTGATATTATAGAATGTCTGTACATCATCATCAATCTCTTGATTTTCATAAGTAAGATAATCCACGATGTACTCTTGCATAAAATATATGAATTCTTATCGTTCCTAAAATAACTCCATAAAATACCTGGTTTAATCTGGTTTTCTCTTGTTGTAGTTGAGCTAAGGAGTGATCATATCCATCAAAACCTTGTAATACCATCTCTTTGTATTCTTATTATGTTTACTGAGAATAAATCATTTCAAAATTAATAAATGTGTAATTAAAATAAAGCATATATTTTAGAATCCTAGTAATTAATTTAATTGGAGAAATTCTGTGCCTAATTTAATACTAAATCCTTTCAATTTGAATGCCTCCAACAAATTGAAACAACTGTCTTTTTTCATACATTTAATTAACTATGATTAAAAAAAAGTGTATAATAATATTTAATCAAAATTAAATAAATTACATTTTTTATAACAATTAAATCAATATAAATTGTATTAGTGTTAAGATAACTTTCAAAATAATTTAAAAATCACCTACAGTATTCACTCCCCAAATAGAAATACAAGAACTCTTATATTCCTTCCTTGCCTTCTCAATCATCAATTTTTTAATCAATGTAATTTTAACCGATTTATGAAAATCTAATTCATCGTTATACTAATAGTTTCATTAAATTGAAAATTCAAGCAAGAATTATTATTGTACAAGCATCCCAGGAATTAAACTAATCTATTATTTATGCTTATTTAATATAAATGCCCTCAACTTAAATAGTTTAAAACTTCATCCTTCTAGAATTCTATTGTTATTTTTATAGATAAGATATTATGGAGGATTTTGTAATAGTTATATCAATAATTGAGAGGACTAATTACTTAGTATTCATGTATTGTACAATAAGCTATTGTCAAGAATAGGATTGAATATCGCTACTGATATAATATTAAGATATTAAGGATATCATATTAAGATATAAAAATGATAGAATTGGTTAGAGTTATTCTACAGATAAGATGAGTTCTAATAAAATTGATTCTTTTATTCAAAAGGTTGAGTTCGAATTGTAAAATTCAAAAATAATGATTTTACAATAATATAAATTGTAAGTATAATTTATGAAATTAAACCTATTTATTAGTGATCAATAATATAAATATAATAATATGAACAACAACAAGACCATGAAAATTAAAAAATCAACAGAAAAAGGATTTGATCTTGAATCCTGCTTCTAAAAAGGTGAGTCAGATCACTAAGACGGTTACATAAAGGATGCTGATTATTATTTTGATTCCTATTCCCATTTCAGCATCCATGAAGAAATGCTTAAAGACAAGATCAGAACAAAAGCCTATTAAAATGCCATACTAAAGAACAAGGTAACTATATATTCCCTAACAAGTCTAGCAACTTTTCCAAAATAAAATAGTTTTGGATGTAGGAGCAGGAACAGGCATTCTTTCTATTTTTGCTGCTTAAGCTGGAGCTAAACACGTTTATGCAGTTGAGAATGCTAACATTGCAATTCACGTTCAAAAAAGATTATAAGTGATAATGGACTCAGTGGTCAAATTACTATTGTAAAAGGAAAGATAGAAGAAATTGAATTACCTGTTGAAAAGGTGGATATCATCATTTCTGAATGGATGGGGTATATATAAAATAAACTAAAATTTAGTTATTTTCTACTTTATGAATCGATGTTGGACTGTGTTCTTTATGCAAGAGACAAATATTTGGCTCCTGATGGCCATATGTTCCCAGACAAGGCTGTCATGTATCTATCTACAATTGAGGATGATGAATACAGAAAGTCAAAAATTGATTTCTGGTAATTATCATATGTTATAATTTAATAGGGATAATGTATATGGTGTAAATATGAGTTGCATAAAGCAATGGGCACTCCGAGAACCTCTAGTGGATTGCTGTAATCAAGAACAAATTAATTCCAACTCCTGTCCAATTTTTGAAATCGATCTCAAGACTGTGAAAGTTGATGACTTGGATTTCAGTCATTAGTATATGTTGAAGATTTAAAAAGATGATTATGTTCATGCATTAGTTGGATGGTATATAGTTTAATTTATCAAAAAGGTTTGATGTTCAATTTTCCACTTGTCATGTTCCAGTTAGATTGACAACATCTCCTTATGCAGAAAGTACTCATTGGAAATAAACTGTATTTTATATTGAAGAGCCATTGGCTGTGAAAAATAATGATATCATCTCAGGCAGCATAGCTGTGAAAAAGAATGCATAGAATCCAAGACATTTGGATATCAAGATTTCGTATCACTTGGAAAATGTCTATGGAAAAAAAGAATAATCTACGTTGTATAAACTCAGCTGATTGATTTTGGTTTTTATGCATTATCTATACATTTTAAATTAAGTTATAACTAATTCTATATACCAAGTGGATTTAGGTTTTTAATACTAATAGTAAAATTAGTTCAAATAATATAATTACTAATGTCAATCAATTCTATTATTGTCAGCTAGTGATTGACAAGACAATAAAGTATTAGTTTGTATGGAAATATAAATATTAATTAAAAATGTCAGAAAAACAAATTCATTAAAAACATTATGCTGAGCATAAGGCTAAATCTTAAGGATAAAAAGCAAGATTTTTAAATGACAAAGATGACCCTGCACATCCACCTCAGATGAGAAATGCATAACGGTTTTTGTAATCTTGAATATCTATTAAGCAAGTCGTAAACCCAAAACTACTTAAGAGTTGATTGTGCTACCACAACCTTCAATTTAATATGTTCATCCTGTAAATATATTTATGTATGCATTCATGTAGTATGTTCCAAAGCCTACTCCAATCCCTGAAGCCATAAAATAGATAGACAAAAAGATTATGGCTTATAGAAGATTAATGGAGAGGGAAAGATAAGAGTAGTTGATGAGAGAGTAGTAGGAATAAGAAAGATAGCTTGAAAACGAAGATGATTAGAAAAGAGCTATAGATTTCATGACAAATCCTCAAATTCAAGGAGTGGAAATTTAAGATGAAGAGGTCCAAGAAGAGGAAATGGAAACTATAGTTTAAGAGCCAAAGTAATAGGAAGTGGTTGCGAATAGAGATGATAATAAATGTTCATATTCAGAGGCAGTAAAAAAGAGAGAATAAACTTATGATCATACTTTGTAAAGAATGTATGAAAAAAGATAGAACCCAACTTTATTTGCTGTAAATGATACTTTTAATTAGAGAAATTAAAAAAGAAGCCTCCTATTCTGAACATTACTGCAAGGAACAAGATTACAAAAGGCTATGGTAAATTAGACCCTCAAGAGCATTTATTAAGAGTTTATAACAGGGAGAACGTGCCTGTCATGCCAGAATTGATCATCCCTTCATTCACTATTAAAAAAGACTAAATGGCCAAAAACATCTTAGCTTACTTGGTATTTTAGTTCATTAATTTAAATTATTATAGAAAGAGTACACTCCTCTTTTTAGAGGGTATAAAAATTATGAATATCCAAAATGTGTTCAAAATATCCTTCAAGAAGAAATAGAAGCACTTCCAAATCAATGATTATTTGTTTTTCTTTTAATAATTTTGTAATTTTGATAAAATTCTTTGTATTCCTTTTAAATGTAAAACAACAACAAACCTAAGTCATGGGAATTAAGAAAAAAGGATGCTTCTAAATATAGGTTTTTTGACAAACAAGATGAAATACTAGTAAAAAAGCCAGGTGAAGTTGATGGCGAGTCCTTTGTATTAAGAAATTGTGTCCGTTGTAAGATCTTCATAGCAGACTTCTCAGCATAAATTCTAATTGATGATTGTTTTGATTGTCAAATGTTCTTTGCTGCTGTTGAATCTAGTATGTTTATAAGAGGATGTAAAAGATGTAAAGTGATTACTGCTTGCGGATAATTTCGATCTAAGAAATGTGAGGATGTTCAAACCTTGCTCTTCACTCAAAGTCAACCAATTATAGAATTATCAGTCAGAATGGGATTTGGTTGTTTTCGTGGTTATTATCCATAATTAAGATAACATTTGCAGAAGGCAAAACTCAACATCTGGAATAACACATGGAGTGATTTGCATGACTTTGATCCTGAAAAATAGGCTGAAATCACTCATTTCTATATGGTCTTGGAAGATACTCGTTATGAGGATATGCTTAAACCTTTAAATGAAGTACTCTCTTTACCTAATTTCACTTGGGCAGAGGAATGCAAAACAGAAAACTAAGTTATTCCTTTCACAAGTGAATAAAGAAAGAAGCCATTTCATGAAGAAGTACTCTTGATTTTTTATCCTGAAGAATCTTCACGTCTGGATGTGGATGTCTTGAGTTCAAGTTTCCAGCCATTACTTAAAGAAGTACCACAAGAAATCTTTGCTGAAGAAGAACAATAAGTTAATGATTAAGTGGAAATAGAGGCACCAGAATAGCTGTATTGCTATCTAGTAAAATCTAAATACCAGCCTTTATTTGCTGATAATTGGCCTCTTTTCAAAACAGCAGTGGAAACTCATCTACCAGCAGACAAGGCAGCCAAACTATTGGATCAAGTAGTTGTTAATAGCAGACTGCAACCAACATTCTCATTGCATATTCGCACTGACAATCAGGACATTAAATTATTATCCTATCTATATTCAGTTATGGATATGAAATTGAAATGTAATATAAATAAAGCATGTGTAATTGTTCAAAATTCAAAGGCCATTGAAGAATTGACAGTATTATTATTTGCAAACTAAAAAGATGAAAGGGCAGGACAACAATGAATAAACTAAATAATTTATAATATAATTAAAAATGATTACTTATAGTTTAATATTTTATAAAAAATGAGTAAAATCCCGATGCAAGAGATGAAGTAATATCTGGATCAAAAAATAGATTTCAACTCAGAATTAACTTAAATCGTAATGAAGAAATTGGGATTGACTCAAAGATCCTTGCAAAGAATGAATTATTTAGAATATATGACATCAAATACTAGTTAGTAAGACTACTTTTTATACTTGCATGCTGTTGCTATGAACATTAAAAAATTTCAATAAACAATTGCCAAAATGAGTTCCAAGGACAAGTCAATTGATTGTACTGATCCTGGAAATGTTGATGAAATAATTGCACTTCTTGATGAAAGAATGAAGCATAAAAACCACACCAGTAGCCAACCTTGTATAACTTCTAATAGGGATAGAACACTTGAAAGGGATGATACAGTATTATGTACTTAATAAAAAATAATACAATTATCAAATTAAGGAATCAAATCTATTACAGAAAGGAATACACTAAAGTACAATTAGTTAACACATCAAAATTCGATTATCAATTCTTCTAGTCCCAATAAGATCATTTTGAAAAGTACTTTATAAATTAATAATATAATTAGAATTAGTGATTTCAAATAATCAAAGCATTGTTGACCTTATTTAAAAATAATAATAAGCTTCCGTTGATGCCAGTTCACTTGAATAACTCAATGAATCATTGCCAAGAAATCAGCCAGTTAAAAACATCGCAATAATGTCAGGAATTAAACATAGATTAAAAGACCACCCATCTCATACTAAATCGATTGATGAGATTATGTAGAAAATAGCAAAATTAAGAAGCACATCTCAACAATCGATCGATTCTGGTAGACAATTACCTAATACAAAAATCATATTAACAAAATAAAAGAATAATAATAAGCAAGAGAATGTCATTTCTACTAAGTTGGAAATGATGTTGAAAAGAGAGAAGTTGATTCGACAAGAACCTATGAAAATACACTAAGTAAAATTAGGTAATATCATGGGCGTAATATCTAAAATACGAAATTAACAAACTAAATTGAAAATATTTCAATAACTAAATAATGATCTTTTATGACTATTTAATATTATTACTATATTTATATATTTTAATTTAAAAGTTACATACTTGCATATTTATTATATATAATCACATGCTAAAACTAGTCTTTTTACGTTATGGTTACTCAACTTCTGGTTTATAATCTGGATTCTTCTTTAAAATAACAAAGTTTTCTAAAATCATATCCTAGACTGGCATATATTCATCATTGGCTAATTCAGCTCTATTATAGAATATATTTAGGATTACCTTTCACCAGCACTAACAATGACTGGACTTGTATGAGTCTGAAATCCTGTGATTCTTTTTGGTTTACCAGCCTATCCAACTGCATCTACAGCCTATCCTACACGTACCTAAACAGGGAGATTTTCAAGATTTTCATTTAACTAAATTAAGCGAGAATAATTACTGTAAAGAACATTCTTGGATACATGGCAATACCTAAATAGTAGAGTAATGTATGATGCTTTTCCAAAATCAAATTCTTAATGTCCAAACATCCATGTAAGAATGAAATAATTCCTGCAATAGCCACCTTATTCATTAAGAACTTATCAGAATAGTATGGTTGAAGTGTCAACAATCCTTTGCCCATATGTAATAATCCCTAAGCAATTCTCACAAGGAACAATCCATTTGAATCATTCATAAAGTAAACTGCCAATCCTCTTAACTTATCAGCAATTCTTGAATTGTTAGTACCTGCTCCCAATAAACCCATTGCCAAGGTTGCTCTATAGGACAATTCTTAATCTCTGTCGTGAGCCAACTTAAGAAGAAGGTCCATGGGTTGAATCTTGGGATTGGATATCTAATTAATTAATATACTGTATTAATACGTTGATCAAAGCTACAGCCAAAGGAATGGCTCTCTTGACCTCCACATCTGAATATTACAATATATGTTAGAAAATTCTATAGACCATTTCACTACCAATATCCTCACTGTTGGCAATTAAGGCAATTCCCAAAATGGCTACTTATTAGAGTTCATAATTCTTGTCTATCTTAGTGCCCTTGTCATCAGATGTCACTTCTGAACAATAACCAAGTAGTTCTTGAACTTTTAACACATTTCCTGTTGATGCATATGCAAGAGAAGTCAAGGTGACTTTTGCATATTTATTGATCTTGTGAGGAATTACAGCAAGTGTATCAATTACAATGTCTGCTGCTTCTGCTTATCCTAAATAGAGTAATCCTAATCCTACTGCAAAATATCTTGATATAGAGATATCTAATTATGATTCTTGTCTCTCCCCCATTGTTTAAACAATGGCATTAGCAACTTCATCATTGCATTTACCAACGAATATCAGACCTAAAGATAATGCAGCCATAGAAGCCAATTCAACACTATCTGCCTCAACAATTAAACTTATCAATTGGTCTTATAATTCTACTCTTGCTGAACCTGCATATGCTAATCCTAATCCCATCACAGCTCCGATCTTAACCTACACTTCAGGACTCTCCAACTAAGCTAATAATATGGCTTAAGCTGGTTAATTTTCATCTACAATTCCACTACAAAATAATCCTAATCCTATGCAAGCTCCTGCCTTTGTGAAGATATCACTTAATTCAAAGTATTCAGATATTTATTCTGTTCCATTATCAATATTCCATAAATTGACTAACCCAATACTTGCAACAGCTGCAATTGCTGTATGATCATTTTTCACACTATTCAACCATGGATTTTCTTTATTGCTCATCAATGCATCCTTCTTGAATCCTGCATTCACGAATCCATTGCAATATGTTGCTGCTAAATTCTTTTAAATTTATTCAAAATTAGCTTCTTTGTTCTTTTCCTCTAAATGAGCCTTGTAAACCTGATCTGGAGTCTTAGGTTCAAGAACTTCTAAATCTTTAGCCAAATTTATGTAGAATTAACTCAAGTATTGATTTGCTGCTATCTTTTTTAAAGTCTCATCAATAATAATTTCTTCTCCAACTTGATATCTATGTCTAGCCAATTAGAAGGCCAATTGCTTTTTTATTGTTTCATCTTAGCATGCTTAAAATACTTTTTCAACATTTCCTGGCTTGTCTATACGTAATGCAATTTTCAAAGCATTAGTGTATTCATTCACCTTCAAACAAATATTAAAGGCAGTAGCAAGTAAAATATCCAATTCGTCCTAATCTGAACAAAATGGAACGAGACTTAATAAATAAACCAAAACTCTTTATATGTTCACTTGATTCACATACTAATGATAAGATATAGACTCTTTACTTGTTCTATTTTTTATAATTGATCCACTTCACTCAATAAATCAATTGCATCATGTTCTGAATTATGATCCATAAAATATGGAACTATTTAATCAACTAAAAACAGTAAATCATCGGCGCCCTCTACCTTTTGTAACCTTATCTAGAATTCTGATCCAATATTGGCAGCTATATGACTTAGATATTCATGTCCCCAAAATTTGAATTCTTCTTATGTTCCCTCCTATAGATAAAACAATGAATCTCTATCGCCTCCATAAGTCATTGCCAACACAGACAGAAAATCTGCCAATTATTTCTATATTTTAGATACCACACTCATACTTTGAATCTTGATGCCTCCAATCCATCGTAAAACTCAACCAACTTCCCATAAGATTCCTTTAAGAATTTGAATGGCTTTGGCACTGAAGTCATTGAAGTTGTAGCCGAACGGACTTCGGTCTTTAACTTCTCCAAACTTTCTGTGTTATTTTAAATGATCTCCTCCGCATATTATTCCAGCCTGGTTTTCAACTCAAGATCTTATTCTGACTAAAATTATGCTTGATTTTCATCATTACCAACTATACAGCCTATTTTCCTGGTTTTTTCTAGGCCTATTTATCGACTGTGACTTTCTTCTCCTCCATGTTTTGAATTCTAAAAAAATTAAATTTAATTAGCTAACACCAGTATGCTTGAGATTTTATATAATATATGTATTATGTTCAATAATAGAATGTATTCTTCATCTTTGAACTGATCTCCTCTTCCTCTTTCAAGTGAGTCCTAAAATTAAATAGCATTATACTTGAACACTTGCAATTTCTTGTTTAACAAATTATAGATTTTAAGTTTCTTCTTAATAAAAGTTTCCAAATTACCAACATAAGCATCCACATCATAATCCACGAAGCCTAATCCCTATATATACTGAATCAACTCGCTCTCCTGCTACAAAAATTTTGCATCTTCCTATTAGAAAATAAGGGTATGTTGATACTTTAATGGCAGCCATATGGATATTAAGGATTTCGTCTTATTCTTCGAAAATCGTATTCACCTTCTCATGAAAGTCAAAAAATTCATTCCCATTACCATTGGCATTATTTTACTCGTTTTTCATCATTGTTTCTTTCATGCATCTTACATCTTCTTTAACTTAACCATTTTTTTTATTAACTAACTCTTCTTAAGCGACTTCGTCATCAGAATCCTCTTGCACTGAATTTATTCTTTTAGATTATTTCGGTGGTGGAACAGGTTGAGATTTCGGCTTCTCTTTATCCGGTCCTTGAGATTAGTTCTTTTTCACATTAGCAGCATTCTAATTATTCTAATTTCGAGCATCATTAATTTTTGGTAATTATAATGGAGTATTTTATTTATCTTATTATGCTAATTTATTGTTATTGTTATTATTGTTATTAATATTGTTATTGTTATTATTATTGTTATTGTTATTATTATTGTTATTTTCTTATGGTTTATTATCATACATATTTTGTTATTACTATCGGTATAATAATTCTTCATTTGAAACTTCCCTTTCCTCTAACTATACTTTTGCTTAATTTGATTTATCTTTTAACCTATCTGCATATCTCAACGTATTTAATGAATGATCAGCTGAGGAGCTTCCAGGACTGATACATGCAATCATAATAATTCTAGATTTATTTGATTTTGCTGTGAATGAGTCTCTCAATACTAAAGTAAGCTTTGAAGCTCTGAAAGGCACATGACCTTAGCCTGAATCCATGGCTCTTATACACTCCTTTAATGCTAAAAGACTCTTATTGATTTCAGCTCCCTCCAACCTTCTCTGTCGATTGTTTGATTGAGTATCCTAAGCTCTTTCTGATCCTGCTAAATCTACCAAGATAAGTTTTCCCATATCAGCATAGCCCTATCTTATCATTATCTAACAAATGGAGTGTGATCTTGATGATGTATCGTTCGCTACAGTTGCATGAGTAGTTCTTACAGAATTGGCAAGTTCCATGAGTTAGAACAATTCATTTTCAGATTCGCAGGGCCTTTCAATAAGTCCTTAAACTTGTATATTATTGTTTTTGTCTTCTAAAATTTATAACGGTGCTTTATTATTTAATAAATCATAACATTTTCCTCCATAAATTTCAAAAAATGATACCACAATCTTGAGTTATGGAGAAGCATTAATCAACTTGTATAGATCAATTGCTAATAGTTCTTGAATGCTTTTCATTGTATAGGTCTTTCCAGAACCTGTCTATCCATAGGCAAAACATGTAACCACACCTTAATTGACCAACAATTCCATTAATGGTGCCAAACTTACTTCATATATATCCTTTCCTTATTCTACTTCACTAAAAGTGTTGTCGAATTAAAAATCGTGATTTTCAATATATTTTGTAATGCCATCTACTTTTAATTTTGATTCATGTACTCGAATCATCGGATTAGCACAACTGATTGCATCTATTTCCCCAGCCACCTCTTCCTTTTTGAAGATGGGTCTCTTCCTAACACATACACATAATTTAAAATATTTTGTGTTGTTTGATGCTCTTATATCAATCCTCCTTTAAGTCTGCTTCTATCAATCATCAGTTCAAATTCGATATCCACATTTTTACCTAGTATTTGATTCTACTCTTCTCTTTCAGCCTTTTCCCTTTTCATTTCCTACATGTTTTTTCTTCTCTCTTCCCTCTACTGTTCCATTTTCTTTATGTTATCAACCACCGACCCTTTTGGAGGTTATGGCGGTTACTGAACTGGTATTTATTGCTGTTAGGGTACCTATTCGCATTTGCTTACTTCAATCCCTTTCATAAATTAAAAAATCAATTACCAATTGCCTTCTTTAACCTCTCTAATTTTTCTTGTTTTGTTCCATACACACCCAGTCCTTTGGCTTTAAGTTAGGCCACGACTTCTTCATCACTTAACTTATTCAAAGCCTATTCTTTTTTATTTAATTATCCTTCCCGTTAAGCCTTTAAGCGATCTAAGATGCAATATAATCCTACCTCTCTCTTTCTGTGCCTAGACTGATAGCTGTTATGATTTTGGCTACTGCATTGCTTTGAAAATTTGAATTATTTATATAAAAATATAAAATCAGTTTATACACTATTTAGAAATTTTCGCACAACTTTTTATTTAAATGAATTACCTGCATAATTCTTTTTAAAACTTCATTTTATACTTTTTAGTTCAAATTTTGTTCAGTGACATTATTGAAGAAGCATGATACTCAAAACTTTGTTTAATGTAACTAATTATAATGTTATAGGAATAGAATATACAGGAATATGGTTAAAAGATAAATAAGTTTAAAAATTAACATTAGGTTTTTGATTTTCCATTTACCTTTTCTCTTTAGACTTTAAATTTTATGATTTATTTTTTGATATTAACAATAAAATTTGATAGAATTAGTATTTAAAATAATATCCAGTATTTTACTTAAGTATTCAAAAATAAAATATAGTTAACCTTGAATAGCACCAAAGGAAAAGAGGGATGCTACAGATATGAGTATTCATATCAGAAACTTCTTTTAATTTCAATGTAATCAATTTGATATCCAAAAACTTATTGAAAGTTCAAAGTTTTAAATAAGAATTGGTTTAGTTATATTCCACTGTCTTCAAAATTTGACTAATTAATTTGTAGTTATTTGAAAAAAAGCCATAATTTGCATTTCTGTTAATTTATTTTATTTTAATTAATAAATTAAAATTGCAATATAGACTATTCATGGGGTCTAAAAATAATTATATCCTTCTTAATTCGTCATCTATTTCTTAGTTTAATGTCAAATTAACAATCAAATTTTGATTATTTATATTTTCTAATGATAAATAAGTACACCCTCTAGTTTTTGGATAATACAGTCGAATAAAAGTATCAGGAATACTAATTAAGCTCGAAGAGGAAACCAATGTTGCAAAAGGTCATAAAGATCACAATTCTTATTGTAATTGTGAAATCAATCGCTCTTATGATCAATTTTAATTTGAGGGATGTATATTCCACTCTCGGCTACTTAATGGTCACTATTGGTTTTATTTTGATTCTTAAATTTCAACCTCGCCTGATCAGATGGGTTCTGATAATCATCAATTATGGTGTTTTAAGTTTTTATTATGAACCTGACGAGGGAAAAACTTAGTACAAACATTAATTATCTTCGGCTTTGATAGTATCTTATCAATTTATAGTGATGAATACTGGAGAATTTATTGATACTTTAGTGTAGGTGATTTCGTTTTATTCCTTTTACCTGGCTTATTTCATGGAGTATTAGCCAGATTATTCCATTTCGCTAACACTGGCAACATTTTTACTTTCATTCTTACTTATAATTACATTTTATGAAAATGCCTCTGCGGAAAGATCAAAATTCAAACTTACAATAATAGAGAATAAGTGGGATGAAATTTTTTAAAATATGATTGTTGAGCCATGTATTATTTTCAATTACAATAACTTTAAAAATTCTTTTATGTTGAAAAAGTCAATCGATTTTATTTACCCCATGGAATCAACTGAAGAATTGAAGTAATTCCTCAGAAATTCAAAAGTGAATCAGAGCCATAAAATTAATTTAGAAGATTTTATATTTCAGAAGGTTTAATAATTAAACAAAGACAATATATAAATATGGAATCAAAAACTCATCATTTTATATCATAAGGAGGTTCACAATATCTACTACTCTATACTTTCAGACACATCCCCTGTCATTCTTATAAAAGCTAAGCCAATTAAATGTTAAAAAAATGAAAACGATTCAGAATTAGAAAATAAGTATTAATATAAATACAAAATCTTAATCAAAAGTATCCTACATCAATTCAGATTGAGTTTCTAACAACCATTTCCTAATCTACATACGATATTTAAGATTACAGTGTATCATTATTTACATGAAAAAATTGATAAATAATTTATTGCTTCTATTAAAATCGACAAAATTCTAAACTAGCTCAAATTAATTTATCCATAGAAGCAAATAACTCTTGAAAACTTCTAAAAAAGATCAAAAATCTCTGGACATAAAGATGAATTTTATTTGATTTTGATGGAAGTCTTTGAAATCATGATATCAAAACAAATTCATATAAGAATTATAAATTATGAATCCTCTTCTAAATTTTTTATTTATGGAATCTTCATTGAAGGAGCTAAAGAGAAGCTGGCCTCTAGGCTTCATTACTACTAGAGAAGCTTGCAGGCTCTCGAAATTTCTAATCAATGTATAATGATCTTTATTATAATTTAGATGTTAGTTTAGTTCTTAAATCTGAGCGTAGACAGGTCAATTGATAAAATCATATTATTTTTAATTATCTTGTAACATTCTTTCTAATTATTATGAATTTTTTATAATTTCAATCATAAATTAATAACTTAATTAGTGACTGAGTATTTTTAAATTTTATATAGGTATTTAAATTTTCTAAACAAAATATGTTGCTTTAATGGAAGTTACCACTAATTCAAAGTATACTTAGGACAATTTGATAGCATTTTCTTATTTTTAAATAATTTTCATTGATTGAAGAAATTCTTAGATTACTTCGTTTTATTTATTTTATTTTATATAATGATATTCCAATTAACACATTAAGTCTCATTTAAAACTTACTTACTAACATTCAAAGTTAAATTGTAACGTCATGAGAAGAAAATAAACTAAAGTATTTACAGTTTTGAAATATTTTATTTTGATATTTATTTTCAATGATTTTATATATAGAAATAAATATTATTTCTCTTATTCACAGGGTTATAAGTTTTAATTATATTGTAAGGAGTTTATGTAGACTTACATCAAACCATTTTATTAGTAGCCTTTTTTTGGAATAATTTAGATTGTTAATTGATTTTAACGAATAATTTACAAATAATAATAGCTCAATTTTGTGTTTATAAATTAAATAATGTAATAGCGGGAAGAATAATTTACGTTGTACACATTACTGAATGTGGCACCGAAAGCAACTCAAAATGAAATAGTACGGAAGTTAATTTTATTTTTAGAAAAAGTCTTATCGATAATTGGCATTGTAATTACATCCAGATAAGAATCAAGCAGATGTAAATGCAAAAGAAAAGTTTTAAAAAATATCCGAAGCTTATTAGATTCTTTCGAATGAGGAGAAAAGAAAAATGTATGATGAAACAGGGATGATTGAGGGGATGGATGAATTTAAAAATGCATATGAGTTCTATCGTAACCTTTATCCGAAGATCAGCAGAGAGGATATTGATAAATATGAGGTCAAGTATAGGTTTAGTAAGGAGGAGGAGAACGACTTGATTGAATTCTATAATAAGTAAGAGTGTTTGCCGTAATCTCGATAGAAATAGTGGGAATGTGAAATGTTTGCTCGAGAATATAATATTGAGTAAGAATGAGGACATCCCTCGTTTTTTAGAGTTTTATGACGAGATGATAAAGCAAAAGAAGATAGCGGATTACAAAATATACTAGACCAGCCGAAACAAGATCAAGACTTTGAGAGAAGACCCTGAGGCATAATAGATTGATATGGACTAATTGACTAAATAGATTAGACAAAGACCGAAGAATACATTTGATTAGCTGTTATAATAGATGGAGTAGAAATATCAGAAGCCAAAGAAGGTGAAGAGTTAAAAAAAATGATTAATATATTTAATTAATGAAATTTGCCTTAATATTGGCGCTAGCAATTTTAAACACAATTAGTGGCTCAAAAATCAGCAATAAAAACATCTTATTGCCCTTGGCAGACATCGAAGTTGAGTATGAAATCACTGCTGAAGGTGGCTGCTTCGATTGGAGTGCTTCCAATAGTGCTATTGCAATCACAGTGCAGGATTAATAGGGATGCTCGAAGTCAATAGGAAAAGTCAGAGTTGTGACTAAAATGCCAAGTTAAACATTTATCTATGTGAAACCGAAGTCCTCAGATGCATCTCAATTTATAGTGGAAGTAGTTGTGCAAGCAATAAGCAGTTTGAGCATAATTACCAAATAAAAATAATTGGATTTGGATACTCAAGAGGAATTGCATGTTTAAGCATATGATGATAAGGGAAACACATTCACAACATTGGAAGGTCTTAAATTTGAATGGAAAACAGGCTAATTGGAAATGGTTAAGTTTACTGAATCAGGATTAAAAGTATCAGAAAAAAGAGCAAGATTAGAGTTCAATAGTGATATCATTGTGGTCAAAGGAAAGAAGGAAGGGAAAGAGACTGTTTTTACTAGAGTGGTCGAGAAGAAATATTATGAAAATAAAATAGAAACGAACGTAGATTTAGTTGTAATTTAAAAATTTCAATTCTACCCTGATTATCCAGTGTTTTACTTACCAACACATTCTGTGATCCAATTCCATCTATTGAGAGCAGATGGGAAAACTAAAATAAGCATACCAAGTGCAGCTCATGTTTGGAGTACTACTTCAAAACTATCAAAAATTGAACAAAATGGTGCTTTGACAACATAGACTGTTGAGAAGAACTTGAATCTCACAGTAGTTAACTCCAATTACAATCAAATCAAAGCTATCTATCATGTAGTCATTCCCAAGTACATTGATATTGATATTTGGGAAGATGGAAAAGAAAAGAGAGAAGGAAAAGTAACTCATTTGATAGTTGGCAAATTATATAGATTTTAAGCTTACCTCAAGGATGAATTGCATTAAAGAATATATTCTACAGATGCATTCTCCTATGAGTCTAAAGACATAGAATTGATAGAGCAGACAGTCATATCAAAGGTAGAAAGACAAAATGTTAAATTAACATTCCAAAGAGGAACATTGGAATCCTCTGTTACCATCCACTTTGTCCAACCTATCCAAATATCAACAATCTTTAAAACATATATTCACCTTCCAATTCATGAACAATACAACTTAGTTGTGACTGGAGGATCAGGAAATTATAAATATTAATCCAGATATCAATCACCTACTATTTTCGAAATTAAAAGTCCCCACACTCTTGTCGCTTCAGAATTAGGAGAGAATATCTTGATAATTTATGATGAATTTAATGTCTATAACAGTTTAGAAGTAACTGTCTACGTGACAGATGTCAGTTAAATACTTCCATTTGAGAGGAGGAAAGAATTGATAGTGAATGAATCTGATGACACATTTTATTAAGCCATTGGAGATCCTAAAGTTGGAAACTATACTTAATGCAGAGCAGTTAAGTTTACTATTGACAATTTTGATATTTTCACCACATCATAAATAGCTGGAGATCTATCCAACTATTTAGTTTGCAATGGTTTGAAAATGCAATCAGCAACACCAGGTTAATATAATCTTCAAATTAACACTCAAAAGATATCTGTAACACAATAAGTAAGAGTTTATGATTACTTGCATTTTGAAAAACCAGTCTATTATGTGACTCCTCATTCCACTATTACAACTAAGGTTTTGGGAGGACCAACAACTTGGGATTAAACACCATACAACGAGAAGTTGTCAGAAGGTATTCTCAAAATAGACATGGAAAAATATCATTTCAATTGTTTCTAGAGCAAAGCTGAATTCAGAATTACAAGAATCAATAAACAATCAGATTTATTGCCTAATCCAAAATTAGTTAGCAATACTCTACCTATTTAGTGTTTATTGCCAGAAGCATTCAAAATTTATAATGAAAAGAATCAGGAAGTAAATTGGTTATTCAAAGAAGAAACTGTGTAAATTAGTGTAGTGGCTGTCTACAAGACTTTCTTATTCTATAATTCCAGCAGTTTGCATTTAGACTATTCAACACGGGGATTAAAATATCAAAATAGATATTTATCATATGATATTTAATCAGGAATTTCTGATTGTAAATTCATTGTGGCTTCAAATTCCTACAACAATCATAAAGATACTTTCATAACCATAAAGAGTGAACTAGACTTAATCATCCATCATACATTAAAATTGATTCCAAGTGGAGAACAATATGATTCTGATTGATTAAAGTGTGTTATTCAGAATAGAATCATCAACCAACAATATACAATGCCAATATGATAATAATATCATAGGGTGCGAGAAGGATTAAGTTACTATAACTCCAAAAAAATTAGGCTAATTCTAATTAGTAGTTTATGACTTATCCTTAAATTACAGTGTGTCAGCAACCCTTAATGTAATTGACCCATCTCAATTGAATTTGGAATTAAGTTAATAGATCACTGTAGTTGGAAATTCAATCAGCGCAACCTCTACATTCCATTATTATAAGAAATAGGTGCATGTGACAACTTGGACTCCTCTTCGTTTGATTGATTCCCATGGATTCGGCAATATTAACCAAGTCAATAATTAGTTTTTGATCACTCCAAATAAAGAAGGCTTATTCAAGTTATAAACACAATACGACTCAATCAACTCTAATCAAGTTGATTTGAAGGTTATACCCAAGTTATAAGCTGAAACTGTCTACATGCCAACTGAATGTGAGACTCATGTGTTGTTCCCCTCCTACTCTTAATTCACTTATTCAGCCATTTCCAATGAGGATTTAGAAACTTCAGTTAGCTAGAACATTGTCACTATCAAATCTAAAAAGAGGAATGGAAATTATTTTGTCACTGTGTTCTTAAGATAGTCTAATATTCTGATAGATTCAGTCGATGTACCAGTAGTAGTAAATAAACCCAATAGGGCTATTTTACACTATGGTAGGAAAATTGAATTAGGTTCATCAGTAAGAATAGTGGCTGACTTCCTTATACAGGATCATTAGATGAACCTTTGTTTGTGTCCAACACACAAGATACATTGGTATCTAGATGAGAAATTGGTTCAGACAGCTCCAAATTCTTTGGGACTTTCAGTTTCCACAGTTGTGGCTGGAAAAATTACTATTAAAATCAAGGCCTATGATTTAGAGGCTTAGACTCTACTTGAAGTAGAAAGATTGAATTCCTATACTAGAAACTTATTTATTAATACCAAGGCCTTGTACCATGTTCCTCTTCTGGTTCCTACCAACAGCAGATTAGCTTTGGGATAAGAAATAAAGAGTGTTGGATAATTGAATATGAATCCACCTAACATTATTGAAAGTGATAGCATCACTTTGTAGCCTCAATTATTGTTAGCCACAACTCCCATGTTAATACAAGTAGAAGAAATCTATCAAATGTATCCGATGTCGGAATTTGTGAATTTGAAAGTCGATGAAAAATTAGAAATTCAAATTGCATACTTGAATTAGGAAGGATATCAATACGATGATATTGAAGACAATAAGCTTGAGGTTCTAGGATACACTAGACACATTGTGTAGATTAAGGTGAATAAGAATGGAATTGAAATTTAGGGTTTGGATTAAGGATTTGCATTGATCAAGTTGAGTTGTGGTAATGACAGAGTTGATTACATCCTTGTAAAAAGTGGGAGCCACCTTGTTGTAAAAGAAAGCATATCTTGGATCCACAATCACTTACAAGATGGACAATTCAGAGAAACCAATATGGAATTCAAATTGTGGTAGTTTCAAGGGCAATCAGTTAACAATCGAAAAGGAATTGAATGAATGCTTTGTTGAGGTCAATGATTAAGGTAACAAATTCAAGGCTGGACTCGAGGTCATCAGACCATCACATATAATTATTGAGTCAAACAAAGTGGATAATCATTTGAACATCAAATTAAATGTCAATCCCAAAATACAGCAATCTGATTAAATCAATCCAAACTTTGAAATCAAAATCGAAGTCGATTAACCTCAATGGTTTGAATTAGTAAAAACTGACAATCTCTATGAATATAATATCAAACCCATTATTGCTTAAGATACTACTCCCATGCCTAAGAAGGTGAAGGTTAATGCATTCATCTCTAATCAGTTCATTTAATTGGATGGCAGCAAAGAAATCACTTATGAAAGAGAATTCTATCTTCCCAACAAGGAAATATTTATTTAAAATAGCCAGCCAATCTAAACTCTAAGTATTCCTTACTATAGAAACATTGAGAAGACCTATCAAGAGAACCATTTGTAAGGATTGATCACAACCTAATTTTCTCAAGGTCGAGTTGAGATTGTGTTTGATTTTAGTCAGTGTCACGAACCTACTGAAGGAGATGTTTATTTTGAAAATGGATAAAAAATAAGAGTCAAATTTGTATAAGAGTCGAACTACGAATTAATAATATTTTTAGCTGCACTAGGTATTTAATATCATTTATAATGTAGTCTTCTTTATCTTAGTATTAATGAATTATTTCAGATGAATCATGTGACATTTTATATCAATATATATATATATTCTATATCTAAAGTTTAATACGCAACTCTTTAAGAAATCTTTTAAAGTAATAACTATTAATTTATAACTTATATTTCATATTTTCCAATTATTTTCCTTGCCCCATTTTTTAATTATTTTCAGAATGTACTCTACTTAAGGATTGTCCCCTGAATTTGTAATGATGTTCATCACTTCAATCAGATGATCCAAAGTTTCCTTTGATGTAATGACCATTTGAAACACTCCTACAACTGACCCTCTCAAAGCATCTTCATACTCATGTTCTCCATTATCTGAATCCAATCTCTGCAAAATATCAAAAGCCTTGGCAGCATAATAGAAATGCCCCATCTTATAACAATCATTGGCAATTAACACTAGAATCTAAAAGGATTCACTTGAAGTCTCCATATTAATGTACAATTCCCATGCTTCCCTAAATTATAATGCAATATATTTTACTTTGCCTTGCCATTCATGATGTATGTTCTAGTCATCCACTTGATGTAGATATCATCAGACTAAATAGAATCAAAATATTACTCTGTATTTTTCAGATTGAATCTACGTTAATGCATCCTCAGCTTCTTTGTAATCTCCAGTACCAGCACATGCAATTCCATAATTCCAATTGAAGTCATCATCATTTTAGAAAAATTGTTTAATTGATTTCAAGTAAACCAGAACATCTTCATATTGTTTCAGAAGGAAGAAGCATTATGCCATACATTATCTTCCAGGTATAGTATCACATTCACTAGCCGAAGACCCTACAAGTTAGAAGAGTTATTGTGAAGTTTTCAAGGCTTCCTTTTAATCAGGACTGGATTATCCTTTCATAGCAAATACAACAGCCTTTAAGATATATTCTTTTGGGTTGGTTGGCTAAAGATCTTGCACTAAGTTAAATGCTTCTGCAATATCCTCATTTTTCAAATAATAAACTATCAGGTTGAGTTTAGCCTCTGGAAAAATTTCAACTAAAGGCGGTAAGACTTTTAAGGCATTCTCTCCAGTTCTAAACACCACTAAATTATGTTTCAACAAATCGTTATCTTCACAAACATTGATTCCTTCATATTATTGTTGCAAAGGCTTGAATACTTCCTCTGCCAATTTACCACTGTATAATTAAAATTGATTGCAGGCTTTAAGATTGATGGCTGTGACACTTTGTGGAAACTATTTTAGGTAGGAGGATAGGATTTCAATAGAGACATCAAAATATTCTAATTTATAATAGCACAATGCGATGTAAACATTGATTGCTGTATACTCTCTATTTTCAAGCAATAATTTTTTGTATGCATCAGTTGCCTATCATATTTAAAGTAACAGTTACTTCTTCGTAATGTCCTCTCAGATAGTGAATTGCTGCCAAGCACAATTAATCATGGACGGTTTCTTATATCTTGTGATGATAGGTCATGAGATTCTTCTCGTCATTTTTCTTATGAGCGATGTGAAATTGTCTATGACTTAGAATATAATCAATTACAATCTCACAGACAGAGGTGTCTCTGGACCTTTAGAACACTCTCTCTTGGCATCTTCGTATTGACATAGAGCATAAAAGCAACAAGCCTTGTAGATGTGGATCTCCTTGTTGTAATCAGGCTTGGTCATCATCTAATCGTAAACCTAGATGGCCCTTCTATTTTCAAATGTATAAAGTTATTTACTTATATTCTCCATTATGAAAACATGCATAAGCCAGCCATAATTTAGGTTCAGCTCTTGAATCATTAAAACTAATCTATAAATAGCCGATCATACTTTTATTCATTTTCCAAGAGTGAGATTGCCCCTACCCAATCTCTATTTTTAACATATTCTTCCAATGTGGGCATTCTCTCTTGAACAACCCTCGCAGCCATTCCACCAGAAACTGGCGCTGCAGCTTTTGTTTATTTGGCCTTACTCATTGAGGAACCTGGACGAAGCATTTTGTGATTTATGAAAAAAAATTAAATTTCAAATTAATATTCCTCGAATCAAAAGGTCTTAATTATATAAGCAATTCTCCCTCATCAATTATTTATTCAATGAGTAGTTCGGTATTAGGGAATAAAAGAAGGCTATAATAATAGAGACATAAATATTATAATTGATTAATCGTAAAAGAACTTCTACTTCTACTTCTATTGATCAATATAATATACCAACAGTTGCTCCTCTTATTGAAGGTATTTAGATTCAATTTAGAAAAACAACTATAATTTTCTAAGAAGTTGATTTTAGTCCTATGAAAACATTCAATTTCAATTGCTTTTAAAAAGTATTATAAATATCTCACAACAGTATCCTTAAACCACTCCTTCAGTAATTTATAAAATATATTTATTAAAATTATGCTGACAAAAAATATTACAAATTGAGATATATATAAAAATTAAAGCCATAATTTAGATTAAAATTATGTCACTGATCATAAAGACCTAATGATATTATTTCATAACTTATTAGTTTCTGTAATTTATCTTAATCTATCTTCTTCACATTAATACATTTTACATTTGGAGTTAGATATAAATAAAAGATTAAATTTAATATTTAAGTAGTCCTTTGGATTACAAAATTGGTAGTTGCTTTAGACATTATTAAAATTTATATTATTCTTTAAAATTAAAATAAGCTTTAATCATTTAATTAATATTGATTTTTATTTATTAAATACTTCCATGATTGTTTTACCAACTTCAACTTAAATCTAATTATATTTGTTTGGCTGGTTTGTATTAACAAATTAAATTTTATGGCATATATTTATATGTTGATTATATTTGATGATCAGATGAATTTCAAGTTGATTGTATTTTTAAGGAACTTTAAAAAGGCCCTATTATCTGTAGTTGTAATAAATTTCATCAGCATTACAATTAGAATTTGAAGAATTAGAGAATTTGAGATTGGCTTTACAAAAACAATTGTTACTCTAACTATATAGCGAATTGATGATTTTTAATTCGAAATATAAACACATATGGCCATTGGTATTTCTTAAGATGTTTATAAAAATTTATGATGATATTTTTTTATTAAATTAATTATCTATATTGAATAAAAATTTAGTTGACCATTAAATTTAATTTTTAAATGTTACAACACAAGACAATGTTATCTTTTTGCTAAAATAAAATTGTAAATATTCATTCCATTGAATAGCTATTATACTAAATACTTATAATTTAAATTTATGCAACAAAAATTTTATGGTCAAACAATTATTATTATGTTATTCTAAAAATCTGTTATTAAATTCGTCGAAATTATTAAAGGCAATTTTTTTCAATTCTTTAAATTCATAACACTGATTCGACTGAGAATTAGGATCAATTAGGTTCAGAACTTATCTACGTTTCTAGAAAATTATGATTAAAGGGTAGTTGGCCATATTACTTATTAGAATTCAAAATAACACATTTCATAATTAATATTTTTCTTGCATGTGAGTTGTAACTGTCAAGAATAAGGAAGGACAACGAAATTCTTAATCAAAATTTACGAAATGTGAATAGCTGTCTTAAATCTCCCCTCATCAAGTTAGGTTAGAGATTTAATACATAATTATGGGTGTAATACAAATTCATGAAATCATAGTTGGGGTGCAGACTGTAGTTTGGGACATCTTGTTTTTCTTTTGCGCTCTTCTCTTGATGATAGGATTCCTCGTTATATTAAATTTTGTATTGTCCTTTTAGAGATTTTATTCAATCATAGCTTCATTCTAAGCAGATTTCAACTATATAAGCTTGAGCGATATCGACTATCTGGCCTTAGCTTATGAACAACCCATTTATTTTAATATTAAAGTGATATTAGGATTTGAAATTTTTAAATCACTAATTGTGATGTCAGTAAATAAATATAATTATGTTAATTAATATTCGTGTAAGAGTACCTATAATTTAATTATTACGATGAACCATTAAGATTACTAAATGAGAGAGCGTATCAAGATTAATTATGTAAATTATGCATATAAAAATATCAATAAATTGAACATTATTATTGATCCAAGGCAGGGTCTCTATTGGAATTCTTGGTTTACCTATGATCATTGTCGCCAACCACCATGGTTTCATCTTAGAATTTGATTCCATCTTGCTCTACGATTTTGGGCTGTTCCAAACTGGAATGCTAGGGCTTGGAAATGGGAATTGGATAATTGGGAGCAGTGTATAGATTGGTGCTGCTGGGTATTGGACTAAAGGGCTATTAGGGATAGTATGGGGAGTAGCCTGAATTTTGGGGGATCGACGATAAAGGAATTGTTTGAAAATTGGATGGTAAAGTATTTAAGGGGTAGTTGCTGAGGGTTTAAGGCACATAACTCTGGTATTTTGGTTGAGTGTAATTCATGGTGGTGATTGGAGTATCGATGGAGCTGCGATCAGGGATGTAGGGTTTGTCATAAATGATTTAAGAGTTTGGAAAGGAGTGCTCAGATGGTCTATTTGGTATTGGTCCAAAGTCGTATTTCTTTTCAATTTGATGATGGATGGGAGGATAGGAGTCCATATTTTGATATGGTTGGTAGGGCTGATGGGGTAATGGATCAAAGTCGTATTTCTTATTTGATTAATTAAATGGGGGTTCCATTGGTAGGTCTACGTTTGAATATTTATTAAAAGTGTCTGGTGGATGATCATAGTGTGTCAAACTAGGGTGTTCTGAAATTTATGGGTAATGATCTTTATTGGATATGAGGGGATCTTCAAAATGATTATTATTATAGGTTGAATAGATGTCATGATTTAAATTGAAGTCATTTTTTTTAACTGTTTATTGAATCCCTGGTAGAGTAGGTGTTAAGGGTGAATATGGTTGAAGGGGTGAAGAGACATGCATGGTGACATCATTGATGATTTTTTCAGGTTCCACTGATGGCAATTGTGGAGTGACACCATACTTGTTCCAATTGTATTGATCTATGATGTCATCATACTTGGTTCGACTAATGATAGACAGATGATAAATTACACTAAATAATCAGGATTTGAGAGGCCTTTGTACTGTTATTGTTGTGGATTGTACTGAGTCTTCATGAAATTCTATTGGTTGGGGATGTTATTTTAAAAGTTATTGTAATTGTTGTTGTTCGTCATATGATGAGGATCAGGTTAAATGGCAGGCTGAATTTAGAATTCCTTATGATGATATTCGGGCACATAAGGTTGTGGCTAGGCAGAAGCATAGACAATCATGGGATACAATGGGCCAATCAATTCTCCCTCATTTGATAATTTAGGGGGATGACCATATAAAGTAGGTTATGGTTAATTAAGTATTAAATGCGAGGGTTGCTGTGCGATTTGATTAGATTGATTTGGTTAATTGCGTATGACTTGATTTGGAGATTGAGCAAATGGCAAAGAGGATTATGATGGCTATTATTAAAGTACTGAGAATGGATTCTGTTGGTTCTACTATAAACTGTGATTTAATTAGGTGTCATTCTCAAATAAATGAAGGTATTCCGGGGATAGAAATTGGATCTTCTCCTTCTCATATTTGGCTTTGGTTGTAATTGTAATTTTATCTTCAAGATTGAGCTTTTTTATTTAATCAAGCTTTAAAACATTTTCTCCAATTTACTTCAATATTAAATTCACCTCTAAAAAATAGATTTGTTCTAGAGACATTGGAAAGTTAGTCACAAAATGCTTGATTGCCTATTCTATTTTTTCAGGTTTAATATTTGGGTTATTTGAACTTAAATCAACAATCATAATCCAGCTTTCTACTTTGCCAGGCACAAACATATAGTCTTCCATAATAATAAGTTTGTTTGTTATTGCCTTGATGAATAAGTCATCAAGAGGTAAACTCAAAGATATGTGTAGCACAGGTCTTAGCATCTCATCTCTCCCAATAATTTAAACTAATTTAGAATATTATGGAATATCTTCCAAATTCATAGTTTCAGGGTTGTTTAACCAATTTAAGTGATCCACAAAGTAGTTTACAGTGTCTTCTTTGACAAATTTATGAGCATACAAGAATCGTAATAATACGGAATCATTTTGAACTCTCGAATATTATAAGATTAATCATACTCTTTTAAATATTCAACTGGAATGGAATCGAGATATTCCTTGAATTCCTTTAATTGCTGATTCTCGAATGTGTCAAATTAAACATTCTTAAAGATTCTTCGAAGACTGCCCTTTTTGATGTAATTGGCTTGAAAATAGGAGGAATATTTACAATCAATGGATAAGCTAGCTATCTCATTAGATGAGGCCAAAAGGTATTGATATCTATCCTAAAACATATAAATATTATATTAAATATTATATATATCAACTAGCATATTTAATTTTAACAGAATTGGCTTCTCCATATATGATATAATTGTCAACTAAGCAAATCCCCTCAGGAACAAAGTCCACTTCTTCAGTCTTGGTAATATAATCAATTTGCCTGTATTCCTGTATGCGTATGATGTAATTGTCTCTGTTTTTGCACGACAAGAATAGATAATTGGGATTTTGAAATACCATAATACTCTTGATATAATTGGGAGCTACTCTGACTCTCTGCATCTCACTATAATTCGATGTGCTAATGATTCTAATATCCCCAGAACCAGTGCCTGCAGCAAAAGCCTTCTCAGTGATATTTTATAACTGCAAATAAATAATAGTCATACACAGTATATCCAATCCTCGCATTGAATGGCATAGATGACTCGATCTGATTTGATATCGTAGATCTGGATGGTCTCATCAAATGACCCAGATACAAGTTGATTGTTATTAATTAAGATCACATCTCTGACTGCCATTTTATGATTGTTGATGGTCTTAGCCTTAATGCTTTCCAAGAATCCACTAGAGGATGTGTCCCAAACCTTAATGCTATGATCACCAGAACAACTGACCAAGTATTCAGGTTTGATCAATTGTTTGACCATCAAAATTGGATCAGTATGTCCTTACAAATGACCTTAGAAGGAGATTGACTTATCGAATGTAATAATTCCAATGTTCTATTCTTCAAAATTGCCAATGCTACAAAGATAGAACCTTAAGTATACCATGCAGCTATAGCCAATTTGCCTTAGTATATAAATCCACATATGCTGGTACATTTACCTTCAAATTGGTGTTCCCCAATCTTGCTCTCACCAATGCCTTAATAAATGACGATCAGTCCATCCACATTTGAAACTATCAAGTGATTTTAATAAAAGATGATATCGCTCACATAATTGTCCTGATCTTCCCCAAAATCTTTGAGTACCTTAATAACAGGACAACCATCTAATTTATTTTCAAGTGATTGATCAATCTAGAAATTCAAATTAGCTGATGGTTATCTTTGTAATGATAAATTCATTCCCACAGGAGTTATGGTTGCACCATGATTAGCCACAATATTAGTAGTGTAAATATGTGAAGATTCCAGATTTTAACTTGGTTTCTTTTCAAAGGTTGCAACTATAACTATTAATATATATGAGTACTATCTTCAATTTGTGATACACTCTGTAAGAATCTCTTTGAGACATCTTCCAATTGGATTACTAATTTATTCAAATATTAGACTGCATTGTTGGATGCATCAAAGGTAACCAATTAGTTTTTGATTTCAGGATGTTGTATCAAATAGGCAATGATTGCTACTCCTCTTTAGTCTAAACTCACCATGCTCCGATTGGCAAATACCACTAATAAAATATCAATATGTACTAGTTTTAATTTATTTAAGTAAGCTGGCAATTCTTACTTCATCTAGGAGTCGAACCCATCCAATTAAGATTCCCCCATCACTCGTTTAGAATTTTATCCCAACATTTCGATTTCCTTGATTGCCTATCTCATTATGTCTTCAAAAATGGCTTTCACTTTGGATTTAGCCTCAGATATCTCTTGCTTCTATGAGTGTATTAGATATATATATACTTTCTTCTGATATTTCATCGCCGCCTCTATTATTGCAGCTTGATCCTAACCGAAAGATTTCAATTTAATCCTTTATCCAGCATTGCACTTATGAGTTATCAAACATTGACCGCACAATCTATTATCTTTATTCGGACATCTGTCACAACAGATAACCTAGATTTTCTGATTGTGATCACTGCAATTCAATGAGATCAATGATCCACTCATCCTATTAGTATCTACAGTTGTCAAATAAGCCGAGAATTCATACGAATAGGTTTTTGGATCTATATTAAGAATGGAACCATTGAATTATTTAGACACATTGTATGGTAAGGAGAGAAGCTCCTTGAAGAATGAGTCTTGCAATCTTCTCAACTTCTACTCGACTTAATTCTGATAAACTGAGATTTTTCTGGATGCTGAGTCTAAATTGCTTAAGATCTATTTAATCAATTATGGATTATTGTAAGTGTTGAGTAATATTTGACATCCTTGCTTTTAGATGTAACCCAAATCATTTTTTTCAAATGCCTCCACAATTTAACTTGCCGCTTCTCCAAATACTTCAGCATCAGGTATTCCTTAAAGGAGATACTGATTCAAATAGATATCATAATATCCTTGATACGATTTGAAACTCTCAAAGAAATTATTTTTAAAATTTGCTAATGTTTGAGTTAATCCACCTGTTGCATGTGGTGAATTTTAATCTCTGTCGAACTTCTCCACTATTTCCTGGATCCCATAGTTGTCGAACTTTATTGCTTAGGATTTAGAATAACAAATACCATCGTCTATAGTAATGCGATCATTGCACATGTGATCAACCAAACATTCCTCGCATAATCTTCTATCTCCTTCATCTCTCGTGCATGCTTTGCCCAGACAGATTGCAATGTGAGGTTTGTTGTGATTGCAGGACACATCTATGGTGTTAGCTGACTTGCAATTTCCCATTTTTAATAATTAATCCGAATTTTTACGATAATTTCAAATACACAAATGCATTAGTCACATTTAGAGCTTGTGAATAAAATCAAAAATATCATTAGAAATTACCATTATAATATTATTTGCTTAATCATTATTCAATTAAGAAGTGATATTATTTTATTTCATTTTTAATTTAAATTATATGATATCATGTACGTGAAAGGTAATTCGTTGTCAACCAATTATCAATTAATGCTTGTATTATTTCTCGATTGATCTCTGCCATTAAGGCTATTTAAATTAAACAAAGGCTCTCTTTCTATTAATAAAATTATGCTCTAAATTTAAATAGGGGATATAATCGACAATCAATACGAAATATTAAAAAAACTATCGCAAGGATCATTCGGAATAGTTTTTTACGGCAAGAGCATCAAAACAAAAAAGGGAGTAGCGATTAAGGTGGAGAAGCAGGAGATGGCCAACTTTGGTAGTTTGATTCGAGAAGTAACATATCCTATGAGTCAAGGTCGAGATGCTGAGCAAATTGAAGGGAGTTCCTCAAATTCCTGAATTGGTGTGGTATGGGGAGTACAAGAAATGCAATATCATGATCACCAAAATGCTTGGTCATGATCTCATCTATTATCAGAAATAATATAAACAATTTTCGTAGCATAGCATCAACAGCATCGCCTACCAATTGCTGTGGATCTTGGAATAGATACACAAATAGTATAACTATGTGTTTATTTTTAGGAATATAATTCACAGAGACATCAAACCAGAGAACATATTAAGTAAGAACGAATCAGATAAGATTTATTTAATCGATTTTGGAATTTCAAAAGACGCAGATTCTAATTTCACCCACAAAAAGAAAGTGTTACCTTTCATCGGCACCAGTAGATATGCCTGTATCTCAGCACACCAAGGCATCGAACAAACACCCAAAGACGACCTAGAATCCCTCGGGTATGTTCTTATCTACCTCACCACTCAACATCTACCATGGATGAATATCGAGAAAACAGATGTACAAAGATTAGACAAAATTGGCAAGTTAAAGGAAAGTGTTTTATTGGAAGAGTTGTGTTTCGGGTGTCCCAACTCTATGCTTAAGTACTATCCCTTGCAAAACTAGGTATATGAGGTATGTAAAGGAATTGAAGCCCACTTCTAGACTTAAATATGGAATGCTGAGAGGGTTATTCCTCTCCAAGCTCCAAAACACCAATAAGTTGGGATTGGATTGGACCAATTAAGGAATGAAATTAGAAAAAAAGAAACACCACAAAAAACAAAGGAACTCATGCGATCTCAATTTTCAAAGTTGTGTGACCATTAGAAGGTAAAATCATCATTCTTATGTTAGACCATTTCTAATTGAAACTCAAACCAATTTAAATGTGAAAACCATTGCAGCTCAAGAGGAATTAATTGTGTCCTCTGACAATGGCACTAGTCACACTTAGTTCAGCATTGTGGAAACAAAAGGCAGTAAAAACAGTGTTTAGTATGGATTCTCAGTCTCTGATAATGTGGATTGCTTGGCTATTCAATAAAATAATAACATGGCAAAAGTGTCTACATTTGAAGGCATTGCCGAAGTGTGCTCTCTTCAGTCTCAAAGCTTCGAATAGCAATTGATGGAAAGCGAACACTAAGATATAGAAATTAAATGTAACCTACTTCATTTTACCTCAGTATATTTTAACTTCAAGAATCCTATTCAACAGCAAATATTTAAGCAACACTATTAAGTTAAAGAGATCAAATCCAAGAATTGAAATATACCTCTTTTGTATTTTCCCTTTGTTTTATTTATAAAATATGGATAAATTTTTCTGATGATAACCATTTTTCACTGAATAGTTATTCATTAATTAATAATAAAAAAATAGATATGGGATGTGTAAACAGCAATTCTCATTATAAAAAAAACAAAGATTTAGATATCGCAAACGTTCCCATTATGCTAAATAATCAGAAAACTTTGAACATTGAAAAAATTTAAGATAATTGGTTAGAAATGAAAAATAACTCTATACTGGCTAGACGACATCAACAAAGCAAATTATCCATTAAGGTTACGACTAATTCAAAATCTCCCTTGTCTTGTGTTAGTCGCAATTGAGAAATCTATCTTAAAATGATTACATCATATTTGCGTGTTTTATTAAAAACATCCAATTTGAAAATTATCTCTAGTTATATGTAAATCAATATCACGAAATAGTATAAATTGTATTTTCGGAAAGGTTATAAATAATTTCATAGAGCTTTCTATAAAACCTTCAAGGATTAAAAATATATATATGTATATTATTTGATTTGATAATTTTTTCAATTAAATTATGAATAAGAATGCTAAATTTATATTACTTAATAAAAAATCGAAGCCCATGAGTAAAAAATAAGTAGAAATTATCCCTTAAAGAAAATATAAGTTAGAATGGGCTGCAATTATCAATTAAAATTGAGCAATAAATAGAATAAGTGAAATATATGCCCAATCTAGGTTATGCTTATATGAATATCCATTTTCTTTAAAGTCACTTATTGGATTTGTTTGGAATACAAAACTAAAAGAGCAGTTGCTATTTTACGTTAATTAAATTTAAGAGACTGTCATTCAAATGCAGTTGGCTTTCTTGGAGAAGAATTTGATGATGAGGAAAGTGATATTAAAGCTGTGATGGGAGTAGTAATTGAAGAAATTAATATATATTTCAGAAAATAACAAAAATTTCATTAAGTGATCTTTAAAATAGGATAGCGATTTATATAAATAGAAAAAGGCTTAAGAATTAGTATAATCTTTTTCTTGTTTTGGATTATTAATGCTCAGGTACATTAAAGTAACAGAAATTATAGATGGATACTAATTTCTTATTTTAGTGACTTAAGGATAGGAGTAATATTTGTATATGTTCACCAACAGTCTTTCATCTTTTTCAAAGATTATCCAATAATCTTGATTTGTAAACATTTGATAATAATTTATACAAAAAAAGATATAAATTAAATAATCACTCATTTGTATTTAACAGTATTTACTTAAATGTCTAGTTTTGTTTTGTTGAGTGAGAAGAAGGAAAGGAGTCAATTTGAGATTATAAGATGAATAAAAAGTCAATTTAATGAAATTGAATTACGCTAAAATGCATAATAATATTTTAATTATAAAGATTACATTAATTTATACAGATATGTGTTTTACATCTTGAGAATGATCACACTTACAGAATTTAGAATGGTGTGGATGTGAGTGGACTATTATATTAGTTGTGATATATATATATTATTTATATTGCCCCGATTAAATAAAAGATTTAAAATAAATGTTCAATCGAATTACTAGGTTGGCTGCATTATAACATAAAGTTGTAAAATGCTTTGATCTTCATGAATATCAAAGTAAGGACTTGATGAGAAAATTCAATGTTCTAGTGTAGAAAGGAGAAATTGCCTTGAATGCTGATGCAGCAGCCAAAGTCGCTAAAACTCTTGATCCAAGCGGTGGATTAATTCTGAAGTCTTAAGTTCATGCAGGAGGAAGAGGCAAAGGTATACGAAAAATGTAATATTCAAGGAACTTTGTCAAGTGGATTGAAAGGAGGAGTTAAGATCTGCAAAACTCCAGAAGAAGTAGCCAATTATACCAAATAAATGATTGGATATAAGTTGGTCACTCATTAGACACCAAAAGAAGTATGCATAATTGTCTATTGATTAGGGTTTATAAGTAAATGCAGTACTCGTTCATGAAGGAGTGGATATCGTACGTCAATTATATTTAGCATTCATTTTGGATAGAAATTCTCAGAAACCAGCTATTGTTGCTTCAATCAACGGTGGAATGGAAATCGAAGAAGTTGCTAAGACTGATCCAAACAGTATCATCGTATTACCAATTGATGTCAACACTGGATTGACAGATCAAATTGCTAACAAAGTGATCGACACTTTGTAATTATAAGCAGTCAGATAATAAGCTATTGAATAATTGAAGAATCTATACAAGATGTTCATTACTCTTGATGCTACTCAAGTTGAAATTAATCCATGGGCAACAGATCCAAAGAATAAATTATTTTGTATTGATGCTAAGATCAATGTTGATGACAATGCTAAATTCAGATAAAAGGAATTGATTGAATTGAGAAAGACCTCTGTTGCTTCTGAATAAGTAGATCCTCATGAGGAATTGGCATTGGCAGCTGGATTGAATTATGTTGCCTTAGATGGAAATATTGGCTGCATGGTTAATGGAGCAGGATTAGCTATGGCTACTATGGACATCATCAAATTATATGGAGGAGACCCTGCCAATTTCTTAGATGTCGGAGGTGGTGCCAATGTTGAATAAGTCAAAACTGCATTCGAAATCTTGAACTCTCATCCTAAGGTTGAGACCATCCTCATCAATATCTTCGGTGGTATCATGAAATGCAACATCATTGCAGAAGGTATCATCAAAGCAGCTTAATTGGTTGATCTTAAAACACCTTTAGTTGTTAGATTAACTGGAACCAACTCTCAATAAGGTAAATATTATGATCATTTTTAGGAGCTAAAATGTTGGATGAATTTGCTAAATCACAAACCAAAGTATCAATTACAACAGCCACAGATTTAGATGATGCAGCTCAAAAATCTGTTAAAATTGCTAAAGTGTCCAAGAAGAAATGATATAATCATCAATTATTATTATTATTCTTTAAAATTTAATTACTCTTATTAATTATTGGATATTTGAATTTTAACAATATAATCAAAAATGCTCAGATTTTCTAATATATCATTAAAGTCAAATATAAGTAGTCTAATATTTACACTCTTAATCAATTTTATCTAGTTTACATTGATATTAATGATGCAATTAATTATCATATTGAGTTTGACACTACATAAATGCAAATTGACTTTTTTAAGGATTCAAAAATTGAGTTATAGATTATTTTTAAAGAACACTTGAATTGAAATAAATAATCATCATTAATGATCTGATAATCTACTGATATCCATTGTTTGGTTGACATCATATAAGAACTACTTGTATTGCTATTTCTCATGAGGTGGTACTATCACAATCATTTATTGTTGCTATTAAATTTCATTTTAGTGTAGTTTCTCCTATTTAATAAATCGATATCCTCTTTGATGCAAGCATGCCATAATAATGAAGAGCAGAATGCAGAAGGAAATAAAACTAACTATTTATAATGTAATTGATAGTTACCCAGAACTGTAAGTACAATATACATTACTGTCTCATTTAAATACTCATAATTCTTCTATTTTGATTTTTTAGAGGCAACAGCTGTATAAATAATCATCTACATTAGGCAAATCAAGATTGTCATTAATTTACTAATTATTAATTAATTTCTGAACTTAATATAAAATAATCATATAATTCCAATTACAAAGTTTAAAATTAAACATAAGCTATTTTTAGAATTAGAAACACAGCGTTTAACTTAGTTATCTCTATTTCAAATAAAAGCATATTATTTTAAAATTTTATTAATTTGTTCATATGATTTTAAGATTCTTTATTACAATTTTTACTATCCTGTCAGCTATTCGAGGTGGGTAAGTTAAGAATCTTTAGTTTTGAAGAGAGTCTGATTTTATTGGAATTATAAACCCAATTTTAAAGAAGGATAATAATTATTTTATAAAAATATTTAAATTTTTATAAACTTAAATATATTATAATAATTAATTACAATTGTGTATTTTAAATCATATAATACGAAATATCATAACCCCTAATATATCCCTTATGATTTGGAATTTATATAATAATAAATAATTTTGTATTTTGCAATGAGTAAAATTGTAAGGCAACGTGTTAGCATGCATGACGAATCAACTACGCTCTCTTTATAATCTAAAAATGTAAACAAAAAGAGTAATTATATATCAATATTCAATAGAAAATACCCATCGTAAGCGCTAACCTATAAAATAATTGATTTGTATAGTATCAGTGCCAAAATCAGTTGGAGAATATGTCTATATTAAAGCTGACGTGGAACTAAAGCTGGCTCTCTCTTATATACCTGATCACTGCTTGGGAAGTCTAAAAGAAACTCCATGTACCTACAACCATAGAGTTACTCGCACTGACTAACTTGATGATGTTTATTTTTACACTCTCGAACTTCTCGACCAAGACAACTATTCCATAGAACAAATCGTTAATCTTCTTTCTCATAAAGACGATCCATGTGCTTAACTGGCAATCCAACTTGTCAATCAAAGATTCAACATACTAAACGAATACACACAACATTACTATATTTCAAACGAAGAATTGTTGGAAGTTGAACAAATAGCCAAAGATTACCCCTATTAATGTATAATTCAAAAAGTGAATAAGGACAATAGTTCACTCTCACAAAGAATAGTCAATGATCAATTTTACACCCTCATGGGAGTGACTTCCGATATGATGTTTCATCATCTGCATGAAACCAAAACTCTACCATCCATTTTTGATATTGGTGGTTCCTTAAAGATGTGGTGCGATCTCACCATCGGATCCATCTCAAGTGTTTAGTATTTTGAATAGTATATTAATACATACGAAGGCGCTCAATACAAATGCCGAATAGAGCAGAGATAAATGTTCAAAAGAACTCAGGTTAATCCAAACCAAATTGTCTTTATAGAGTTTTGGATATTCAAACTGGATGAACCATTGAAGTCCTACCTATTAAATCCCCAGAGACTCTACCTAAACTAGATAGACTACTTCAATAAAAAGAACACAGAGGAAGAATATCAACAGTTCTAAAAATCAATGAAATACAAAGAAACTCCCCACTACAAAAATTCACAGTGTTGTGGTTATAAATTACTCCCTTGGATCTGAATTTTATATATATATAATTGAATACCATCATTTATTACAAAATAATACAATCACCCTTTTACATTTTAGTAATGGTTAACACTGAAATTATTAATCCATTCAAAAGGTTGCAGATGAATATCATTTCTTGCGTTTGAACTTTGAAATGCAAATTTGATAATTAATATTACTTCGACCCTAATTTATTTGTTGACATTAATTTTATTTTATTAATAATCCTAAATCGAATAATGATAATTTATAATATTAGCGATATAATCACTTCTACATTTTTTGTATTACAACACATAAATAAAAAAAAAAAAAATAATTTTATAAAATCAGATACTCTTTTATTAGCCCAAAAAATATTAAATACAAAGAGAGTAATTATTCTTCAATATATTATAATTCAAATCATTTCCTTTATTTAACCTATTATTTGTTTATAAAATGAGAGTCTTTATTTTTATCACAAAATGTATTTTTATAATATTTCTAATAAATGTATATAATAATTGCAGTTAATTTCAGTACATCCATTTATAAAAAACCAAGAAATCCAAATTACTATTTAGGTTGAATAAATCATACAATAAATTGGGATTAATTTATTGAGTATTAAAAGTTTCCTTTAGCAATACCGCAAACATAACTTACGGGATGTCTACAATATAAAAAACCAAATAATTAAACTTGCTAATATTTCTTAATTTGATAGAATAGAAGGATGTCTCTTTGAAGCTTAGTAATGGACAAAGAATCTCTTTGAATATTTTGAAAAATAATGTGATAAATATTCATTTTATAATCAAAGTGTCATGTTGAATTCCGTTGTATTAAATGCTGCAAAAGATACACTATGTATATAACTATAGAAAAAGAATCTAAGTATTTCTATTAGTTCTATCCTATAAAACTAAATGTTTCTTACATAATATGAAAGAGCAATATGTCAGGATAACTTTAATATTAGGTTTGATAATAATATACTTAGTAAAAATCAATACTCTCATATGGGTGTCTTCTCAAATCCTTTTGCCTTAGAATGAGTAGCATTCTCACTTATTTGATGTCTACCACCTATAAAATAATGAAGGTAGTTAATCCACCTAAAAACATTTATATTGTGGAATTAATGTAAATATATGATCTTATATTTCATTATTGATCCTAATTAGCTTTAGTGGCTATCTCTATAACCGAATTCCATTCAAAAGCTGTTAGAATACTGACTACTGACTTTTGATTTCCTTTCATCAATCTTAACCAATCTATGATGACTTATCCTCTAGCTTAGCCATCAGAGACGATGGAAATGTTTTTTTATAAAGAATATATTATTAAACTAGGTAAAAATGCTACCATTACAGCCAATTCTATAATATAAATTTTAAATAAACATACCATCACAAAGTATATAATTTCCATCATGACTTACAGCTTTGAAAGTGCTTTCGACGAATTGAGATTTCTTTGTATTAGCTCCATTCTCAAAGATGACTTTCCCATTTTATTTGTCTAAAGTGTAAGCTAAAACGACATCAAATGGCAACAAAATCTTTTATTTAAACTTTGCCATAGCTACCGCTGCCGTAGCTTCGACATCAGTTTACACATTAAACTCAGCTACAGAATTTGCTGCATTGCCTACACCCATATATGTTCCTCCCATGGCAAATAAACATCCCAGCTTATCAACAATTTCTGGATACATTTACAAAGTTAAATAAATGTTAGTCATGGGACCAATACAAATTATACATAAGTCCTCTCCATATTTGTAAACTGAGTCTTTTATAAAATCGCAAGCGTGTTGTTTTTCGTGGAAAAATTCCAATGGTTTATCTTACAATCCTAATTCAGTTAGTAATCTATATTGTTGTCCACCTAATCCGTCTTCCAAAAAGTAATTATCTCTGTAAAATCTTCTTAGAGTATCTGTTCTGCACCCCTTGTATATTTTAGGAGGATTATCACCAAAATGTCCAATTCGAGTTGTAATATACACCTTGAGTATAAATTAGATTAATTACATTTTTTATCACATTTTCAAGTGCAGCATTACCTGCCACTGCTGTAATTCCAATCAATTCTGCATCCGTTCTTATATATTTAAGAATGTAAGAGGCAATGAGAATTGCATGAGCATCATCAGATCCAGCATCTGTATCTATAATGTATTTCGAGTATTTTTTAAATTGAATGTTACTGTCATCAAATAGCAATTTAGGGAAGGGATGTGAAAATTTTATTTGCTCGGCCATTATATTATTATTAATACATCATCATTGTGTAATTATTCTTATTAAATATTTAATATTTTAGATAATTTTTTGCTCACCAATGTTCTCATCATGAATAATTTCGAAATGTAAAATTGGTGGAATGCTTTTTCCATAACCTGTCATAATTTTATATTAGAAAGAATGTGTCAAACTTAATAATTTGATATTTGATAACTATAGAGTTGGTTGCAATCAGTTATCCATTCATTATATCAAGATTTTAAGTATTCTTCAATATTTTAAATAATCAAGGAATTTTATTGAAAATTATTAATTTCGATGAATTTTGAGTATGAAGAAATAACCCATGATATAATATGATGCAGAAAACTGTGCTCTATATGATTAAGTTAACTTTTGAATTTCTAAGCCAACAGACTTAGCAAACTATAATTAAATGTCAAATTAATTACCTTAAATATCAAACTCTGGTTATCCTTCACATTAAAGAAAATTTCTGAAAAAAATTAAAAATTATTCTATTTAAAAAAAAGTCTGTTTCTCTCTCCTTTAAGATCCTAAGATGAATATTTATTGATAATTTACAATTTAAAACTATATTATTAATTTAAATAAATGAATTTAGATAAGGATTGCATAATCATTTTAGATGAAAAAGAAGAAATACCTTTACAAGTAGAAATACAAGATTTGAATACTAAATAATACCTATGTCAGCCTCTAACGACTGATAAAGTTGATCTCACAATGTACATTTCTAGATATCAACAAAATTAACTTTAAAAAAGAATAGATGAGTTAACAAAAATTATAGAGATAGCTAACCAGAAGAATGGTGAACTAGATCAAACTTAAATGATTTAAAATCTACCTGATATTATTTTTGGTCCAAAGTAGCTCTAAACAAATTCAGGGCAATATGAGTTTCGCAAAAAATTTTGTAAGGAAAACGAAGAATAAAAATAGTAATCAAATCAAAAATCAAATGTCTCAATATTAATTTATCAAGGAGAAACCTATAAGAGTTTATGTCAATAAATTTATTAATATAACAAGGATAGCACGAAAATAACACCTATTGTATTAATCAATGGTAAAACAGCATTTAAGAAGCTAATGAGATCTGATGAGAATCTATTTTTAAACTTTTATTAATTTAAGTACCTTCCATTCCAATAAAAGTTTGAGACTTCTAATCACCATAGTTTGTATTTCCAAATAGAAGATGATAATACTAAGAAAACAGTGTATTATTTTGTATTTCCATAAGAATTAAATAAGTTAGATTTAATAAAATTTATCTATTAAGGGATTTTAAGGTTTATTTAGCCAAAATTTGCTGCAATAGCCCCAAGTAATGTGACTTATCTTTAAAACATAAATGTATTATAGCTTTTTAAAATATTGGAAGAAGACAATAAATATTTTGGAGTTTAATCTTTAAAGAAAATTGGTTACAAAGGGAGTTTTTAAGATAATTTCTTAGGAGATTTTACAGATATTTCACTTAATCTAGATTGTATGTTTAGGTTAAAATAATTCCATGATCCCCTCTCTTGTATTTATATGTGGGAAAGAATAGAAAATTTTATAGAGGATTATGTAAATAGAATTACTAAAGAGTACTCTTTGAATATGTGGGCAGTTGGATATAATGCAATTTTACCTAAACTCATGCTTGAAGTTGCAAATTAAGAATTAAAGATTATCCCAAAATAAATTAGTGTTTAATAATTTAATTAGAATTAATTTGAAACCGTATTTAATTAATTTTGTGAGCTCAAATAAAATATCAACTATTAACTGAAGAAGTGCAGATTTGGATCTTGTAGGAATTTGTTTTAATGGTTCATATCAAAAGTCATATTCCTCTAAAGTTACTTCGCAATTTCCATCTGTAATTTATTATCTTAACTTCTTAATAGGTTTCTTTTTCTCATTTTAATGTCCTTATTAAGTAGTCTATAATTATTTGGGGGATTCAGTTGGATATACTGCAATAACTATTTTCCTACCTTTTTTTTATGCCATTAATGTCTTGCTATTTCTACTGCTCACATAATTATACCATCTTCAAGACAAAATTATTGAGAAGAATTAAAACAAAGAAATAGCCCTAATAGGAAAAAAGGATGAGGAGTAATAAAGCTTTGACTTTTAGGCTGTCGTACAATCTCAAAATATTGATTTTATGTACTATAAAAAATAAAAAGAACGATATTAAATTAAAGTAGAACTCTAAGAAGACGAATATTGTAAGGATGTCTCTTATTCTATGAAAGATGATTTATTAAAAAACGAAATATTTTTAGTGTATTAATTCCCTTAGTTGAAATACATAAGTAGTTGCGTCAACATTATAATTGAAATTTAGAATTATTTAGATTTTGCAGTTGTACTTTTTATTCTTGCTAATTTAATCCTCATACATGGTGAATAGGCACTCAATGAGTAATCTTTATAAGAATTAATATTAATAGCATCGGCGATTTTTGTGATATTATTCCATTTCATTACTTAAGGATCAGGAATATTTCGCTTGATATTTAAGTTCTCGTTATTATCATACTTTTGGCATTTTTTAAAGCTACCTAAAAGCAATAGTCCAGCTATTTAGAGAACTGACTAAAAAAAATAGCTTGGATCTTAATTATTTTTAAATTTTGTTCTATTTTATGCTTTTATTTCAATCGAGTCCTACTACAATTATTCTGGATATATATTGATTGGAATTTTCGCATACTTATCGATTGTATATTTACTTACGGGTTTGTTTAAATGTATTTCAAATTGTTTTTATAATGCTTCCATTCCAAAAGATTTATCTGAAATAATCGAAGTGAAACAATTCAATAGTTTAAAATTTTAAGCCGATAACTAAAACACACTTATTGGAAAAACAAGGTAACTTATTGGCGAAAAGGTTAAAAACGATAATAAGCATTAAGAAGAACTGAGAATAACATAATTTCTCAAGAATAATGCTGATATAATGAATTTAGCAAACACTATAAAAATCAAAGTTCAAGAAGATCTCTAATCATAAAATCTAAAAATGAATGACATATAATTAGTCACTACATAAATCGAACTAGCAATAAAAAAATATTGTAATCAAAATAATTAGTAATAAGTGCAACCAAAGCAAAATGAAATTATTTAAAACATAATTTAGAATTAATAAATGCAAAGCTAATAATTGTAGAAGGTTTCAAATATAAATAGTGAATTGAAAGGGGATAATTCTAAATTTTCAAATTAATCTTCATAAGTCAATTAATTTTTATAAAGCAATAAAAATATGACTTCAATACTCAATGAGAATAATAAATTAAATTCATAGATTAACTAGAATGACATTGATGGTCAAAAATTTAGATAAAAGAAAAATTGATTATTTAAGATATATAATATCAACAAAAATATAATATTTATGACTTTATAATGATTATTAATAACTTCTATCATTTTTTGGATGACTTAGTTCCTGACTTGACTGACTTAGCAACTTAATTGGACTTTTATGATTATGCATCTTTAGGCACTGATTATTATTATTATTAAGATTATTATTGAATATCATTCTGTTTTTTTACACTTTAAACAGTAGGTAATTCTTATTATGCTTTAGAATTAATAACAGATTCAGGCATCTTCCAAATAAAAATAGCTCCTTCTGCACCAACTGATATAATAGTCTTTTAATCAGGACTTATAGTAATCTAATTTAGAATTAATAATTACTCTTGTTATAGTACCTGAATGTCCTTGACCTTTGAAATAGCAAATTCCTTCATCATATCCCCATAATTTAACCTCCTTGTCTTCTCCTCCTGATACAAAATGTTCTCCTTCCTTTGTAATTGCCAAAGCATTAACTTCTCCTTCTTCAGACCCATCCAACATTCTGATAGCTTATCCATCAAAGGTTTCCCAATAGGTGATCTTTTATAAATTAATTCGATACTTTTCTATCACTTCCAGTAGTCAATAACTAACTCTCTTCAGGATGATACAGAACCATTTTGAATAAGGTGCTTTCAAATAAGCACATGACTCTTGTAAATGATTTAAGATCCCAAATAATGCAAGATCCATCTGCACTGGCACTCACAGCTTAGTCATTGTTTCTCCTAACTTAAATGGACCATACTCTTCCTCTATGTTCCTTCATTGAGGATTTCATAACTTAAGTTTGTTTTCCAATTTCCCATACTCTAACTTCTCCTTCTGATCCTCCTGAAATAATTCTTTAGCAATCCGAAGTGCAAGTCAATGATGTGCATCCATGGATATGTGCATCATTAATTACATAGAGTAATCTACCTGACTATGGTAAGAAGGCTCTAATTTTTCCATCACTCCAACCACTTACAATACTTTTACCGTCATTCATAAAGGCTACTGCCCAGCATTCAAGATTTGGAACTTGAATTCTCAGTAATTCTTATCTATTCTTAGCATTCCAAACCCTGATATCATTCAAGGAACTGGTAGCAAATACGTCAGAATAATTATGAGGAAAGGCTACATCATTAATTCTTTCATAATGGCAAGTATTTCTCAATTCTGGTATCAATTTTTCAGTGTCCAACCAATAAATATTGCTTTGAACTGTTCCTGCGAAAAAATGAGTCTAATCATTTGTAAACGAAATTGATGTCACACCTCCAAGTAATTCACTGCTTGCTACGATCTGCATTGTTTGAAAAGACACTTTTGCAATCATACCATCTCCTGCTCCCACGATGATGTCTCCGTTTTGCAATAATCCCAAACAGTTAACTCCTTATGAAAATAGCTTCTTGACTGGAGCTAATCTTTTGTAAATAGCATTATCCATTTAAATTTCAAATACGTCACCGGTCTTTGTTCCACAATAGCAAAATTTATCATTTCTATCAATTGCAACACAAGTAAAGGTTCTTTTGACATTTCCAAAACTCACATCTACGGATTGAATCTGTATATATATGTATATACTATACCTTTTTATTTAATTTGTCAATTGTTAAAATCTAAACTCCAGTATTTAAAACTGCAATCATCTTTTCATCTGATTAGTTGTAAAATTAGACTTAATTAACTGGGTCTCGATTTGGAGTTCCATATAATGCCTTCCCTGCCTTAATATCCCAAATAATCAACATGTTTTTATCATCAATCCCTCCCAATGATGCCAAGTATAATTCATTATATGAGAAACTGAGAGATTGGATCAATACTTTATGTAATTTCAACCTATGAATCATGCTTCTCTCCTTGAAATCCCAAATTATTATATCAGCTTAGAACCCCATATAAGTTTTCTACCCAGATGCTACATAATCTCCAGTTCTAGAAACTGTTATTACAGAGATCTAATTGTCGTGTCCTCTAATTTGATATATGATATTTCCATACCTTAAAAATGTTTATTGTCTTGTAATTATATGTCTAACTACTATAGTAGAACCTAATGGATAAAGAATATGCTTTGGACTATTATGATATATCATACCTCATTGTCAGGATGCAGAACTAATCCTTGAGTTATTCTCCCTTTAAATATATGAAGTATACATACCTGTGAATCCTATCACTGCCTAAATCTCAAGTTCTGATTACATTATTTTATTTATTTTCAAATATATTTTTTTACTTAAAATTAAAACTGCAGATTTTTATGTATAAATTTATGACTTATTTTGAATCAAGCTCACCATTGTTATTTTGTTGTTTCCATTGACTTATTCTCATAAGTAAGTTGTAAATTGTATCCGAATTATATTTATTAAACGTTCACTACAAAAATGTAATACTATTTCTTTAATTATCATAAGTACTAAGACAAACTAACTCTATTTGAGTATTTATTTAAAAAATATTGATATTAATCAGCTTAATTTTTCAATACATATCATAAATAGGAAGAAAAACTGGAAGGATAGAATAAAAAATTTGAAGAAGGTTAAAAAAGAATAATATAAATTAAATAATATATAATGGAGTGAGAATTTATTATTTGATTAGTAATAGTAAATACTCAGATTATTATAAGTAGTTTATCAAAAATAAGAGCTATAATTATTGCTATATTATAAAAGGTTCATATAAATTATGTTAAAATCAATCAGTATCAATTTTTAAAAAGTATTTTTATTCTGATCCAGTTGATTATGTTTCCTTGATATGAGAGCTTAGGACTTTTTAATAACCTTATAATTGAGCTTTGGAAGCTTTCAACAAATATTATTTAAGTTTTTTTATCAAATATTTCGATCTCTTTTTTCTCTAACTAGACTTTTGCAAGTAATTTTTTAACTTTAATGTCAAAGATGAATCTTATGAAATCATATTCAAAATTAAATATAAGTAATTTAAGATTAAATTAGCATACTTGTTCGAGTAAACTTCTAATATGCTCTTGATAAATGCATAACAAAGTTTAATACAAAGAAGGACAATAATAGTCTAAAGTGATATCGATGAAAATTAATTATTTTCTTATTCAGCTACATATTTGGCAGCAGCAAGAAAAATTGTGATAGAGCAAATTTGTGCTGAAGATAAATCTTTGCTATTGAAATTGGAGAGAATGTAGGGTTTCTCGTTAAAAGCTAATAACTAATAAAAAAGCAAACATAATCCCAACAACGATGCTTTCAGTAGAATATAAGTCTCAAAATATGTTAAAATTAAAATAATGATTGTCTTTTTAATTAACTTAATTTCTTCCCAAAAATAACTTCTGTTATTGTATTCATTAATTAGATAACAAAAATGCTTTCTTATTTAGATAGTGTCGTGTTAATCTTTCTTAATGTACATAACCATAAAAAGAGATAGAGGAATGATCATACTAAAAACGCATAGTCCTGGAATTACAAAGGCAAAAATCCAGATTAAATGCTCTCTCGATCCAAAAAATAGTGAAACATCACCTTGTATATAACTCTAACTTGAAACAGTTCTTTTTGAGACAATTGAAAAATACCTAAAAATAATCTTTGTCGAATTACATTTTAACTAATCCACCATAATTAGAAATATAAAGGTAGAGAATTGTATTAGAAATAGTTTCCAAGTTAAAATTACTCAATCCAATCTTCTTATACCAATTATAAATGAGATATCCCATTATTATTAGTATAAATTAGAATATCATGAGTACAAGCATTGTAATAATTTTAGAGTAAATCAACTTTATTTCTTGATTTTCTGATAAATAACAATCAAGATTATTAGTCATAGAGTAGGATGTATTACTCGCTGAATCAACAAAAGTAAATGAAAACGAGAATTGTATATTGAATGTAAAGATAACAGAGAAAATCCATAAATAGTTTAATAACATTTTTATTAAAAAACTTTCATGTCCTTAAATTGAATCATTAATTTACCTTATTCTAAATTAAAAATAATTTTGCTAAACCTTTATTGTAGTTTTAAACACTTGAATAATTGATTCGACTATTCAATACTCCTTAAAGTTATAATAATTGATATAAACGACCTAAAATATGAAATTAAATTACCAAATTGATGCTGCTATAAATGGGATTATGCTGTCCTCAACGCCAAAACAAGATATACACTATGAATCTTATTAATTTTTTAAATATTTTCCATCTCCTCTTATATTATAAATATCACATTCTTCACATAATGCTCCAATATGTCCTAAATCACATATTTAATTTCCATATCCCCAACCACCTTTACAAAACTTAAAGTTTTTAAAACATTATTCTATAAAATCGGATAAATAATCAGGTCTCCAAAAGCCCTCTAATAATTCTATATTATTTTCAGTTATGTTATTAAATTTGGTTTTATCAAATATTGAACACTTTGTTGCATCGTATACTACAGAGTAAAATCCTTAACTTGATGAGCAAATTTAACAACCGGAATTTACATAAAATTCTCCAAGTTAGCATTTCAAACTTTTAGCTTATATAATGTAATTCAAAACTTTTTAATGTTACACTGATTTACAACTAATTTCAATTTGTAATTGTTTGTTTTCTTAATTATAAGGATCAAAAACGAAGAAAAGAGAACCTAAATTATAGTAATCTTTTTCTAAATCGAATTGCAAATTTTGTTGCTCAGCCAACCCATCCTCCTAAGTCAAACCTAATTCATTTATAGTCTTGCTGGTTAGAGTACATGTAGTACTAAGAAGGTTGGGAAGTTATTCGTTTAAACTATTCTTTAGAATAAGAACAAAATTTGTAATATAAGATGAGTATTGAACTTTAGAAGGCTAATAAATTTGATATTAATCGATAACTTAGTTACTTGGGATCATTAAATAATTTGTAATAAAAGGTTTTCCTTATTCGATAAGACTATAAGGTTGAAGAGCTAAATGATGACTGAGTATCGACTTAATGTCTTACTTTTTAGATTGCATTTGTAAGTTGTTAATCAGCAATGTCAAATGGCTAGGAGATTCAATAAGATTATCTCCAAACTATGTTGCTTTATTAAATAATAAGAAAGATTTAATAAAATTTTGAAGGAGTATAGTTCCATCTTCATTGAAGTAAATTCCTCCTCCAACTAAGGCCTCATTATTAGTAATAATTGTTTATTTAATCTAAAAATCTGTATCCTTTAGTTATAAAAACAATCCTCCACCTGATTTGCTTGCATAATTAGAGATTATTTTGCAATTTGTCATTCTTAATTTAACATTTTAAATTAGTATAGCACTTCCAAGACTACCCTTATTCTATAGGAAATAAGAATCTTTGATTATAATAGTTGAATTAATAAAATTTTAGATCAAAAAGTAGAAACAACCATTTTCTTTTACATCATTTTAAAAGCAAAATATATTATCTATTTTAATAATTTTGAACTGTTCAACTTCAAAAGTGATCATTCCATTTGAAAAGTCTGATCCATCATTATTTATTATTTCTAAATGCGAAAGCCTAATGGAGTTTTAGTCAGAGATACTTTTAACATATATCAACTGATTTGATTGATCAGCAGATGATTATATCTAACTTATTATATTTGAATAAACAGTTTATCCTGTTTATGAGGCGCTCCTCCACACACTGCATCCTAAAATTTTATAATTCAAATCTTAAAAGATCGGAATTCCATCTGATTGTTCTTTATATGTAATACTTTAAAGTATCTTTAGTTTTTCAATAGAAATCTTTGATTCAGCTATTATAGTCTAAGTTATGTGTATGAGATCAAAGGAATATAATTTTTTTATAAACATTAGTTTACAATCAAAAAGCCTTAAAGTAAATGCATTATAAAATTTAAAAATTGGAGAGATTACAATTCCTTCAACATTTAGGTTTTGGATATCAACTTTACAATTTTCAAGAAAAATCATAGCGTTCTCTAAGCTTAAAATACTCTCTAATTCTGATAATGATATATCACCAATTAAGGAAAATAGTTAAAACCACAATTCTTCACTTTAATAAATTGATAAATTATTGATACTTACTAAACTTTATTTCATTACTTCTGCCGAAAATTTGGCTAACATGACTGTATTCTTTAAGGAAAGACAATTCTTTATTTCAATATTATTTAAACGAATAACATTTTCTTTTAAAGAGGGTGTAATAGAAAATAATGAGGTAGACATCCTATTGAAAATATTGGTAAATTTGATTTGTCTCAGATCAATAGATAAAAGGCTGTTTGTTGAATCTACACTTATGCAACCTGAACTCCCAGTATCTTTTAGATTAGTATATACAGAATCTATCTCAAGGTTACTTATTTTTATTATTCCTTGTCCTTGAGTTTTAATCTAAAAAATAGAAGCTTTAATAGCAATAATTTCTTAAAAAAAACAATCTTCACAGCTAAAGGTGGAAGCTGCAATATAGATGCCTTAATTTAAAATTTTAAATGTTGATTGAATAATTGAGTTAATTTCTTATTGATTATATTAATTCTCTAATTCAAAATCGTAAAATTGTTACCATAAACTTTATGATAAAAAATTAGAATTCATGAAGATTAGATTTGAAATTTCAATCAAAGTTGCAGTAAGAGTAATGATTGGATTAGTTGAATTCGTTAAGGCATTTTGATTAAAATACAGTTGTTGAATTTAAAGGAAGCTATCTAAGGAACTTATATGTAATAAATTTGTTTATGTGTCAAGTGGTTCATCAATTTGTTAATTGACTATGTTTTGGATAAACTAAAAATTGGTCAATTTGATATTTAAATTATATTGAGAGAATATATTTATCAATGATAATGATGTGGCTACTTTGTTTTTTAATATTACATTTCCTCTAAATTATACATTTTCTAAAATTATTTATCCTATTTTGTCAATAATAAACTGAGTACTAAAACTTATATCCATTAATGAATAATTAATACTAAATTGATTAACTATTTGTATGTTTAACAGCGATAATTACTAAAAACCAATAATGTATAATGGTTAATTCCTGAATTCACTTAAATCAGTACAAGATTACGAGACAGGAACTTTATGATCTTATTAAGAATTCTCAAAAATTACCGAATTAAAGTTTATCTAATTAATTTCATAAAGATAAAACATGGCTAAATTTTACAAATTTAAAAATTAAGCATTTTAAACTATTAATGAGTGGCAATGAAATTTAAATAGGTAATTCTATAAATATAACTTATCAGGTAGGCTATTTTCCTGAACTTTTACATTTTTAATATTAACATAGAAATTATTGATTTGAAGACTAGAATAAACAATTATCAAACTTGATTATTAAAAATTACTAGAATCATCTTCAAAATCATCCAGTGTGAACATAAGCCTTTATTCATTTATGAGTATTAATGTCGATAAAATTGAAGATTCAATTAGAGTGTTATAACTACTTCTTACCTTAACTAAATCTAGATTATCATTAAAAGTAATAAATACAGAATTTTTAAGATAGTTATTGTGGAAAAAGAGATTGTTTGCAATTATTTCAAACCTACTGTCGCCTTGCAGAAGAAAAGAATAATCAAAGTTACATTGAGTTATTTCAATGTTAATTAATCTAATTTAGGTTGCACGGTTTAAATCTGTTTAGGATGTGAAAAATGCAGAATTTAATAGTACGCAATTTTCAATAAGGATATTTTCAATAGTGAGAATGTCTTAAATATAGTCAATATTAAACAATATTGAATTTTCTATTCGACAGTTTTTAAAGGTTAAATTTTTTATATGAAATGATATTAAAACAGTTTGTTTTGAAAAATCAAAAAATGTTGAATTAACAAAGACAGAATCTAAAAGGTTAACATCCTAAATTACAATATTTCCTAATATTTTAGTTTGGAAAATTGTCAGACTAGTAAAGCTGGTTTTAATGAAATTTATATTATTTAATGTTATATCGACTTTGTTATCAGGATTTTCTAAATTACAGCCATAAAACTCAACAAAGGTGATATTTTTGAGCTCTACTGCATCAAAGTTTAATATTTCAATTCTACTGCTTACACGCATTTCATATTCTTTAACAGGAAATAATCGCATATTTGTTTTCTTTAGAGAAAATATCTTCTTCTTTAAGCCATTCCATAAAGTTGCAGCAAAACCATCACAAATTTTAATATTATCTTGGAGTGAGATAATATAATTTATAGTCATTTAATCTACTCCTACTAGGTTACAATATTAAAAATTTATATCATCTTAATAACTATCAGGGAGATACCTATCTAACATGCATTCAGTAAAATACACGGAGAATGAAAACCAATTTTAACAGCTTTTGTTAAAACAGTATTTAGCATTTCCCAAGTTAGTATCGAGGACTATATTCGGATCTTTAACTGATTTTAAACATTTTGTAGTAAATTGAGTATTTGATTCCTGCAATTCGAAATTTGGTTGTAAAGCCTAATATATTATTGAGATAATACAGAAATTTCATCCTAATTTCTCACACTACAATATTAGCATAAATTAGAACAGGCTATGCATTGTCCATTAAGTTCAACCAACATAGGTCTTTTGTAGTAATTTAAAGGGCATCTCATGCAAATGAAACTGTAATAATCCTTTTAACAATTTAAGCATTCGCTTCTACAATATTAAAAACACATTGACTAAATTGTCAAATCATACCCATTTTTACATTTAATTGTCTAGTATGATATTTATTCTGGAGAGTATGAATAATAATATGAGTCAGGTAAAAATTACATTAAAAAACTCTAAATCAACTGAACATATCCATCTTAATCCTTTACACCACCTTCTATTACATAAGTGCTGTTCTAAAAAACTAAAGAAAGCTAATTCAACTCGCAGTTCCCAGTTATAATAGAACTCACATAACCTTCTCTACAGAGTACACATTGTAGCTTTGATGAAGGAGTGAGAACACATTATAAACAATTGGAGTAGTATGTATCACAATTTACAATTTCAGGTGCAACACTAAAGTCATTTTAGGTTGAGAGAGTACATATTTCAATACCATCCAAATTGATAAATGATCTTAAACAAGTTTAAATTTTTGATTAATATCTTAGACATTCCCCAATTTTAAAGTCAAAAATAAAGCCATCTTCACACATTGCACAACCAATCTATATCATCTAATCACTATTAGGGCTTTCAAAATCCTTATACAATGTGCTTTTGAAAGAAGATTCGTCATCTTAGTATTCGAAACAGTAGACACAATTCCTTTTAGGGCATAATTTACACTTTCTATCAAAACTTTTATAATAGGGTTTTTGACAAGGTTCTTCCATATTATCAAATATAAAGATACAGTCGATGCCATCTTATATATAAAGATCAGAACACCTATTACACCTAACTCCAAAAACTGATATAACATATTCTTTGCATGTTTAAGACATTTTTTATAGACACTTATAGTCATCAGATAGGCAATTTAATTTAGAAGGGAAGGAACTATATAAAAAGCCTGAGTACAGATAGTTAAAATCATTTATAGCAGTATTGTTACACCCTATGCATGGATACATACTAACATCATTTCCATCAAAAAGTAATTAATCAGGAGGAGTCCATTATAATCTTTATGTCTATTGAGATTGACCTATGTATAAATCATATTCACAGAATGGCTTTTAACTAAAAGATTTAGGATTTTACAAACATTCTACACAAACAATTAAATCATCCCTTATGATTGAAGGACTATATCTATAAATAATCTAATAGTTACCATTATACGCATTCATTATCTACTTCAAAATAACCAAATTGGCAATCAGTTTTGGTGTAAGGTTCATCAATAAACTCTAATTTTGTTTCTTAATATCCGATACAAATTTAATCATCAACTGTATTGTAAGGACAGACACATACTTTATGTTCAGGCAAATAAATTCTCTTGGATTCTTCTGAACAAGATAGACAATCTTCATTAGTTGGGCCATCGCATTCTTAACAACTGTTATGACAATTATGCTCAGAAAAAATTTGATCGCAATTTAAAAAAAAGAAATTTCTCATTAATATACTTAAGTAATTTGAATTTAACTACTTAATATTACCATATACTAATTTTAGATAGTACGACTAAAATTGATGAACTTCTACTTTAAGGCTATACTCGAAAATCATTAACTACTCATAAAATTTTATTTAAATATCCATTGAGTTTCCTATTAATTTTACTTATATTTTATGCCATAAATGTATGTTTTGGATTATATCAAAGGATTCCTTTATCAGGAATGGATCAGCAGAAAAATCAATTGAAACTTTTGGAAAAGTGTAGCTATAAGTTGTTACTATAATTTAATTCTAATTATCTGATAATTTATATTGAATTTAAAATGGGGATAAGTTATCATTAGATAATCTTGAATCCTCAAAACTAGCAGCTAATTTTATAAATGGATATAGAAATTAACTGTCTTCTTTAATTATTTCTTAGATTTTTACCCAGCCGGAAAAAATAAAAGAATCACAAATTATATTTTATGAGACAAAATCTCCTTTTTATTAAGAGTCAATATTCAAGTCTTCAATTTTTGGAAAATAATTTGGTTAACAATTACATACTTCATAATCAGCAAATACACCTTTTACATAATCAAACCAATCAATGATCGTCAGTTCTTCTAATATCATAAAATTTTATTTAATAATGGTTCCAGGAAAGTATGAGAATTTTTAATCTTTTTAGATAGATTCTATTCTTGAATTACTTACAATTAAACTACTTCCAAAAGTAAATTAGAGGTCTCTTCCCTTGAATGGATAATTCATCTCGTCAATACTATGAATTATTATTTTCTCTTATGATATTATAAAAATTTCAAATCGTTATTATAGTGGCCATTCAAGTACTTCAAGGAAATACCAAAAACTTTCATATTTAAATATTTCCACCTCAATTTAGTATGTTTTTTATTCATCTTTATCGTTAACAAACTTAATTGTCTTTGTTATTTTGCTTGCCTCAAAATCTAAACAGTCGTAATATATTAGGTTTAATTCGTTGTTCTCTTTATCAAGTACATGGTGAAGGTGATAACAATCGCTTTCAAATAATCCAACTGGACCAGTTTTAGGTATTGCACTAAGTGGAGTATATTTTGACCAAATGCCATAGCTAAAGTATTTATTTGGTTAAAAATCAACATCTTATATCTTTACCGATTGATGTGCTACCTAATACAATGGATCTAATTCTTATATTTCAAAGGCCTATGTAGTTTTCAAAACAACCATACATATGAAAATCATCAAAAATCTAAAATTTAATAAATATAATCTTGGATCTCTAAAAAGTATTTTATATACTGCTACTGCTCAAAGCAAAATCTCTCATCAAAGTCTGAGTTAAATTATATATTTGACATCAATTAAATACACACTTTCTTAGTTATTAAGAGAATAGGTGAAACAAAAACCAATCAAATGCAAATATATGAATAGAATAAAATTGTCATTGAGGAAAATTAATCTTTATTACAACTATTCATAACTGGAAACCTACTATTTATTATTTAAAAATTATTACAAAAATTGTGCATCTTTCAATATAAAGAATACTCATTAGTACTCATATAAAATTTAGATTTTATATCAAATTTTTTTGTTTTTTTGAAAATTTTTTTTTGGTGGAAATAAATTATTTTAACTTTCAGCAGATCTATAAAGAGAGTTGTTTTTCTAATATATATTTAGATTTAAGTTCTTAGTTGTTGATTTTAGAAATAGTATTTTACCAATTTAAAACTATTATTATTTATTTAATTAAATTTAAAAATCAGAATATAAAGAAACTCAATATTTACACTCTTAAAATAGGTATTTAAATTTTTAGATTCTAAAGAAGTTTATAACAAAAATAGAATCAATCAATCCATTACTGTTGCTTTTGAAAATTAAATCAATCAATTCATTTTTAAGAATCCGCCTGTGCATTCGTCATCTCTATAAAGTAATTTTTTTAAAGAAAAAAATGAATTTAATTATTTAATATATAATTATTATACACTTTTAAAGCCGATAAAATTATATTTGTAATAGAATTAATATATATGAATTAAAATCAAAAGCAAGACTATCCTTTTCTTATTTGGGTTGATAGCCAAATTTTTAATTGGGAAAACAAATTATATTGTGAGAAATTACAAGATGTTCACTAAAATGCATTTTAAGCTTTTAATGACATATCTCAGGCATGTGAATTATTGTAAAATATTGGAGATAAAAATATAACTATCCTAACTAGTGGGTAATGTGCTTATTAACTTGTAAAACACACAAAATAAAACATTATCGTATTTTGCGGAAGAAGATAGAATCATTTTGACTTATTCAAAAATTATATCTAAATAAAATCTATAGTATCAGATTCGTTTTAATAAGCGCATGATGATGCTATTATGAGTATGAATTAATTGGACATCCAAAATGAATTCATCAAATTATTATCACCGCCGTAAAGGCAAACAATTGAATATCAACATTCAAAAAGTCATGTGAGCATCTAATTTCTAGTTGTCATAGAAGAATTAAAAAAAAACAAAACACTTAATGAATCAGAGGTCTTTGAAGAAATAGAAAATTTGCTTTCTATCTAAAATAAATAAAATTAAAAGCATGTCATTTTCTAAGATTTAGAAAATAAATAAAAAGAAAAACCTGAATAGAAATTTTAATTGTTTGAGAAATTGATTTATCTCTACACCAGAGAAGAGATTAGTCTAACTTTTAACTAATAGTTTGCTGAGCATAATTATTCATAAATTACGAACATTATATTGTGTCTTTACAAAGGATTTGAGGAACATTAAAATAAATACAATAAAATTGGAAGTCTTTATAGAGGAATATCCTTCATCGATGAAGATATCTTTAAATAAATTATGAGAGATCTAAATTAATCAAAAGATGACTAAACTTCATTATTTTGGAATACGATTACTAGCACATCTACATCTATAAAAGTGGCAAAAACATTTGCTTCTGAAAAATTTTATGGGATACTTTACAATATCATTTTAGATTAAGAAATTCCTCATCCGTGTTTCTAATTATAAAAATATCATTCCTATTATCCAACGGAAGAAGAAGTAATATTATTCCCATAATTGGAATTTATTGTATAAAATATAGAATAGCAATAAAATTAAAATCAATAAATTTACACTGTAACAATCAAATAAGTTAAAAATAACTATGCTTTTGCGCTTGATCCATTGAAGAGAAAGACCTATTGGGACTCAGTAGTTGAGTAGAAAATAAAGCCTAAAATAGAAACATTGGTGAATTTTTAATGTAAAAGAATTTTTGAATTTCTATCATTTTGTGAATATGAACAAAAAAACTAAGGATTTGATTAGAGAAAATTTGTCTCTTTAATTAAGAAAGAATTGGAGAATGTATTTCAATAGATTCAAATTTAATTAAATAAGATTTTCAATGAATCAAAATACCCTGATATTTCGAACCAATTAAAAAATCTTACTAGAACCTATATTGAAGTATTTAAATTTGAATATTAAGACTAATTCGGTTTCAATTAAAAGAAATTTTAGGAAGAAATTGATGAAGTAATGAAAACCTTAAAACTAAATATTTGCATATTGGTATTAAAAGGAATAATCGACATCGAGTAGGAAAAAAAATCTTTGGAATGCTTATAATAAGACTTCACGATAAATCAAACCAATGCTTTAATTAACATAATGGCATCTTAGTGCTTGATTTCTGGAATTGGTTAATTAGGCTTTGAGAGTGGCATATTATGAGGTGCTCCTTTTGGACCTGTTGGAATGGCGATTGGAGGAATTATT